TGAGAGGACAGTGAGTGGGCACGGCTATTAAACATCTCAATCCCTGACAGTAGGGGAAAGTTCCACTGAAATTAGTAGGGCAGTTTTATGTACCAGCTGCATAAAGGAACAAGTGAATGAGTACCATTGGCACATCAGGGGCTTTCCCCATGAAATATTTTAATCTTGTATTTATGGTTCTTCATCTTCCCAGCTGAAACTTGGGCCTGACAGTTCAGACTTCCAAGCCGTGTTTACATTGCGAATTGTCTCCTGTGCCTTTATAAAAACGTTGGCTAGATTGCTTATGTTGCGTTTCTGTCTTGCTCCTTCCCGTCCTCCCATAGCTATGGCATTTTTGGACTACCTCTTTTTTAAAAAGTATCTTTCACAAGGTTTTTTATTGCAGCTTGCATGTCCTTGTGCCTTCCTTGTAGTAGTAAGGGGGGGGCGGACTTGGCACAATTTTTCTGCCCATGTATAACACTTAAGATCACCCAAACCCCAGGTTAACTCTTAAGACATTTGTCTTCTGGTGCAAATTGAGCCGCCTCCAGTTGTTTTGTAGGGCTACCTTAGTTGTCAGCTGATACTTGGATAGATACGGGAAGCCAGTCCTTTGTTAAGTCAGTTTTAACTCAAGACAGCTGTGTAATTGGAAGGCAGGGCAAGCTGACCTCTAAGTGGAAGACATTAAAGTGGAATGCACTTGTGCAGGTCACTTTTCGGGGCTGACGTCATACCATGGATCTGCATATTTGCTTGCCATGGTGAGTATTCCACCCCCAAGATCAGGAAAATGCTTGAAGCTTGCAATGTTCACCAGAGAGGCAAGGAACTCCCAACATGAGACTTGGTGGGTGAACCGCAGGGCATGAATGCACAGACTGGTCACAATTGCACTAGAGGGTTTTCAGTAGTAACTGAATTCTAATATTCCAAGTACATTTCCACCTTTCTGGAAACGCGGGTTGTTTTGTGGAAAGAAGAGACAGACATGGGACAGTTCTTCCTCAAAAATTCCAGGCGCTTAAAAGCCGGAAGGCAGGAAGTTTGCTAGTATGATCTACAAAGATTCTAGATAGAAGAAAAACTAAAAGGACTGGGGTGGATTTTCGTGGAAACAACCAAATATAGAACATGGAAGCATTTTTTTTGCTATATGAAAGGATGCTGTTATAAAAGTAAGAACCCAATTTCCTACAGGCAGTGAGGAGAGCACGAGAATGATGGGTTCATGTTGCAGCCAACCAGATTTAGGGTAGATACCTGGGATTGCTTTCTAATTGTGAGGACATTTGGACAATGGAACAAGAGGCATAGAAACTTCTGGCAGACTGAATAAGCTTGTGTTGGGAGTAGTTAAGATCCAGGGAACACTGCCATTGAAGACCAGGCTGTGGAGTTGAGCTTTCTTGTTATAAGCTCCAATTTCAGTGACCTTCCAGTTGCAATAGAAGCCTGAATGGGGATCTCTGGTCCAGCTTTGTGTTTAAAGAGTTGTCCACTTACATGCTATATTCAGCAGTAAGGGCACAAAATAGGTTTATTCAAAACCTCATGAAATTCTAGCTTAAAAACCTTTGGAAAAAGAGACAGAGCCTTTGCTTTGTAGAACACTGTGAAACTGAGCAGGCTGTAAGTTTGAAGAGAACTGAAGACTCGCAGAGGAGAGAATTGCCTCTGAATTAAATACCAAGTGAATTTCTGCCTGCCCCTGTAAGCCGGATTATTTGCATTATGTGACTCTAACCTACTTATATTTGTAATTTGATATTGATGGGGGTGGGGGGGTGGGGAGACCAGCAGGTCAAACTGCATCCGGCAAGGGTGGCTGTTTTTAAAAGCATGTTTGTGATGAGAGTGTTATGCTGGCCATTTTATCTCTATTCACTTGTATGCAGACAAATGTGCATAATGTTATTCCTGGACAAGTAGAGCTGTCATTTCTCAATGCAAAGAAAATATACTTTTGCAACATAAACAGCTGCCATATAGCAAGCCAGATCATTTGTCCAGCCAACATAGTATTGCCTACCCCAGGGGTGGAAAATCTGTGGCCATCCAGATGTTATTGGAGCTCCAACTGCCGTCAACCTCGAGCATGGTCAGTGGTCAGGGATGAGGGGAGCTGGAGTTCAAAAACATCTGGAGAACCACCGGTTAGCTAATCCAGATCTACAAAAGAACTGGCAATGGCTCTCCAGGGTTTCAGGCAAGAATCTTCCCTAGCTGTACTGCAGATAAAATCTGGGACCTTTTTGCATGCAAGGCATGTGTTTTACCATCGATCTGTGTCATTTCCCAGCTTTTAGCAACTTGCAGCATTTTAAAAAAATATGTATATCCTGTTCTTCAGAAACGTACTCTCAAGGCAGCTGGCTATGAGAACAATTAAAACATAATAACCAAAATAGCAAACCAAAATAGCAAACAAAACCAAAATAGCAAAACAAACATATTAAAACAGCAGAGGTCTGGGGAAATGAAAAGGTTTCCAGCTGGCACCAAATGGTCAAGAAAGCCAAACACCTGACTTCAGAGACCTGCGGCACCTGCAGAAGAGCCTTTGATGGAGACATCTGTACACAAGACAGGTTTGGATGGAAGAAAGCAGTCGTTCAGGTTCCAAGCTTTAAGGCAGGAGTGGCTAACCTTTGGTCTTCATATGTTGTTGGACTCCCAACTCCCTTCAGCCACAGCCACCACGGCCCAATATTCAGGGATGGTAAGAGCTGTAATCCAGCAATACAGTGGTACCTCAGGTTAAGTACTTAATTCGTTCCGGAGGCCCGTACTTAACCTGAAACTGTTCTTAACCTGAAGCACCACTTTAGTTAATGGGGCCTCCTGCTGCCGCCATGCCGCTGGAGCACGATTTCTGTTCTCATCCTGAAGCAAAGTTCTTAACCTGAAGCACTATTTCTGGGTTAGTGGAGTCTGTAACCTGAAGCGTATGTAACCTGAGGTACCACTGTATTGGAAGGGCAGCCACTCCAGCTTTAAAGGTAAGCACCAACTCTCTGAGGTGCCCCACTCAAAAACAGAATGGCAGCTGAAAGAAATAAAAAAATTAAAATTGTCCAGTAGCACCTTGGAGACCAACTATGTAAGTTTGTTCTGGGTATAAGCTTTCGTGTGCATGCACACTTCTTCAGATACACTGAAACAGAAGTCACCAGACCCTTATATATAGTGGGAGGGTGGGGTGGGGTTTTTCTCAGAAGGGTTGTAGGATGATTGACTCAATATGGCAGCAATTGCAGTTGGTTCAAAATTGGCCAGTCTTGGAAGCGCGGCAGCTAAACTAACTAAACAAAGTTAAGAATTCTGTATTTTATGGACTGCTTTAAATAAATAACATGCTGTGATTTTGAATAAATAGGTCATATAATTTTGGACCCCAAGAGCTGAATGTAATGCAGATTTTTGTAAAAAAAGAGTTTATTGCTATAGGGCGCATACACTTTTTAGCTAATGCACAAGCCTCTATGCATACTGGCTGTGCATCCTGAGTTGGTAAAAGGTTGCATATGGAATAGACACCTTTCAAATGTGATGCAAGCCTGCAGTGGACCCTATACCATATCACGCCACCGCCCCATTTTAAGCAGGACACCCTGGGTTTAGAGAAGCCACCCAACTTCTGACCTCAATCTCGGATGTCCCCTTTTGGCAGACCAAAAGAATTCCCCCCCCCCCACTGCACTGTGGCGGAAGTCAGTTGTACCTGCATGCCTCCACTCTTCTTCCTCCTTCTGCGGCGGCTTTCCAGCCAACATACTTCCAAAGCTTCTGGAAGTATGGTGGAGGCAGAGGCTGTGTGATGGCTGTGGCGGCTGCCACTGCGAAGGCGGTGGATAAAGGAGTGAAGGGGGAAGGTAACAGAGGGTGAATGAGAGGGGTTGCAGCCTCTGTTGAGGTTGTGTCCCGATTTCCCTCACTCCAGTATTGGAAGGTATGCTATATGAGCCAGTGCTTGTGTGGCGAGTTCCCGCCCCCCCCCAGTGGAAATAAAGACACATGACACAATTATTTAAGGTTAATGGGCTAAATAAGGCCACAACTTTATTGGTTACAGGTGATGAGCAGTATTGGCTTAGGCATTGGCCCTAACCAACTATCCGGCTTCGGCCTGTCCGCTTGAAGTCCGGGAAGGGTTAACCACTAGTAGGGGGAGTCCTGCTGATGCACATCAACTAGGATCTCCCCCAGGGTCACCGCTTGGGGGCGTGCCTTGGGCCCACACCTCCATAGGCTTTGGACAGGGCCACGCCCCCCAGAATCCTTTATTGGACTACCCTTCAATATGCAGGGGAGGTGATGGCGCTTCCTCCCTCCTTCATCTACATAACAATACCAATAGCAATGCCTAACCGCCAATACCAAGGAAGTTGTGACGATTTGCTACAAGGTAGGCGAAAAAGTGAAAAAGGTCCATATAGTTAAAGCCATGGTTTTCCCAGTAGTGATGTATGGAAGTGAGAGCTGGACCATCAAGAAGGCTGATTGCCAAAGAATGGATGCTTTTGAATTATGGTGCTGGAGGAGACTCCTGAGAGTCCCATGGACTGCAAGAAGATCAAACCTCTCCATTCTTAAGGAAATCAGCCCTGAGTGCTCACTGGAAGGACAGATCCTGAAGCTGAGGCTCCAATACTTTGGCCACCTCATGAGAAGAGAAGACTCCCTGGAAAAGACCCTGATGTTGGGAAAGATGGAGGGCACAAGGAGAAGGGGACGACAGAGGATGAGATGGTTGGACAGTGTTCTCGAAGCTACCAACATGAGTTTGACCAAACTGCGGGAGGCAGTGGAAGACAGGAGTGCCTGGCATGCTCTGGTCCATGGGGTCACGAAGAGTCGGACACGACTAAACGACTAAACAACAACAACAAGGCGAAAAAGCAAGTGGCTGGTGCCAATTTGCCAAGTGGAAAAAATTCCTACCCGGCCCCTTAACGGCAAACCAACCGAGGTCTATGGCAAGGTCAAAGACGAAACCTTAAAGGGTGGGAGGGTGGGAAAACTGGAGCAGCTGGAGGTGGCAAAAGAGGGAGATCCCTGGCCGTGCCAGTGTTAAATAGCACAGGCCACACACCCTGAGCCAGCCGATTGGCTGTCCAGGGGATGATGCGGCCGGGGATTCCCTCAATCACGCAGAGGCTGAGAGCCAGCCACCGCTCATGTGGTGGGGGCATGCAGCCCGCAACCCCACCTCCTCTTAAGGCAGAAGTGGCTTTTTAGCACAACTCATTTAAATTGGACCTACTTACTGAGAGGCAGACTAGAGGTGAGGCAGTGCCCTGTGCTTTAAACATAAAAATGCTCCAGTTGTGCTGATGGCACTATATAACTGATGATAAATTAGGGAACAAGTTTCAGCATGGAGTGCTCCAATCAGTCAGCCTCGCCAGCCTCCACCATCTTCCATTTCCTTCCTCCCACACCTAATTTCCCACAGATGTTGGATAGTCTTTGATATGACTTTCTGACGTTGATTTAACACCGAGCTTCCAAAACTTTGATTTATCTGAAGAAGCCAGGTATCTGGGTTTGCTCGTTACACTTTCCATCCTTCCTTCAAGGAGCTCAGAGTGGCATACGTGGCAGCTTCCCATTATAGCTTTACAACCTCTCTTGGAGTTGGGCCGAGAGAATGATTTGCCTAAGGCTGCCCAGGAAACTTGATGACAGGCTGACCAGATGCAGTGCAAAGTATCATATAGAAATTGAAAAAGACAAATGCCGCCTCTTGAACCAAAAGGAACCAAACAGAGATGATAAGTTTAAATACCGTATTTTTGGCTCTATAAGACTCACTTTTTCCCTCCTAAAAAGTAAGGGGAAATGTGTGTGTGTCTTATGGAGCGAATGCAGGCTGCGTAGCTATCCCAGAAGCCAGAAGAGCAAGAGGGATCGCTGCTTTCGCTGTGCAGTGATCCCTCTTGCTGTTCTGGCTTCTGGGATTCAGAATATTTTTTTCTTGTTTTCCTCCTCCAAAAACTAGGTGCGTCTTATGGTCTGGTGCATCTTATAGAGCGAAAAATACGGTACATAGGTTTTGGTTCAGCCAAGTATGTGTGGAAAGGCAACTGACCATGCTTCAATAGCACTGTATTTTGTAGGGAGAAATTTCTTGGTGTGTACACACATTTATCAGAAAATTGGAGCTGGAAAGTTTTCTCTGTAATCTGGTACTTTTTTAAAAAAAAAAAAAGCACCAATAGATCATGCCTGTGACCATTCCCATAAATTTCCTGCACTGATGCGCAAGTGAGCTGCGTCTTGCAGTATGTTAAGTGTAGAGCAATAGGACATTAAGGCACCCATGCAGATTAACCTTCAAAACGTACTAGCCACCAGAAATGTTTAATGGCCCACCTTTCCACATGTACCAACACTAGTCCTTTTAGGGGCTGTAAACTCATTTCCAGTTTACAACAGCTTCCTTTCAGGGTTGACAGGATGCAATTCTCACTTGCCATAGATGACCAAATTGGTAGCTATACACAAGCCTGCTCTCTTTAGTGAGACAAATCTATAGGGCCGGAGAGAGCAACTCTCTCTTCTTAGACCACATATTAAAAACCACCAGGCTTGTAGAATGCAATTAATTTTCGTTCTGATTTTGTTGATGGAAAAACTTGTGTATTGTGCAAATCTTCCAAACCACACAAGATTTCTATCAACAAAATAAACTTTAAAGAACTACAGCAGGTCCACGAAACCCCTGTGTTAACAGTGGCCAAAGCTCAGCAAATAAATTAAACAAGCAGAATGTTTAAGAACAACTGATGTGTGTGTTAATTAAATACTCCATGGAAACCCTTTCTTTTCCAGAGTGACAGTGGCACAGTTAGGAAATTTTATACGATGGGTTTATTAGCCTTTAGGGCTCCTCCTCCTTAGATGGTTATATATATATATATATATATATATATATATATATATATATATATATAAAACTTCACTTGTTTCCAACTCTGGTCCATTTCAGGGCCATACTATTGGGGCTGCTATCTCGCCAACTTAAGTTCACACCAAAAGGTGAGGCAAAATTGTACACTCCCCACCCTTGGAGCGCCTTGTTTTCACTAGGGGGCACCCAGAAAGCAACAACAAAAGTGGGGGGCAGGCTTGGTGCAGCCCAAATGCAGCAACTCCTCCCCTTTGGCCCACCACAATGCAGCTGCACTGGTTATATATAGGTCCATGGCTGAAAGTGTCCCTAACAAGCCCCAGGTATCTTCCTGCATCTCCTCCAAGTTCCACCAGGCTTGTTGCTTCCTGGCTAGTCCAATGTGCAATGCCATCGGTGGCAAATTGCTTGGACTCTGGAGGGATGCTGCTTCTGCTGTTCCACAGCTCCCTTTGCCACTGTTTGGTAGTGGGGCAGGAGAGCTGGAAATAATGCCAATGTATTTCACACCTTTTGTTTTAGATAGTACGCAGGTTGTTGTTGTTTAGTCGTTTAGTCGTGTCCGACTCTTCGTGACCCCATGGACCAGAGCATGCCAGGCACTCCTGTCTTCCACTGCCTCCCACAGTTTGGTCAAACTCATGCTGGTAGCTTTGAGAACACTGTCCAACCATCTCGTCCTCTGTCGTCCTCTTCTCCTTGTGCCCTCCATCTTTCCCAACATCAGGGTCATTTCCAGGAGTCTTCTCTCATGAGGTGGCCAAAGTATTGGAGCCTCAGCTTCAGGATCTGTCCTTCCAGTGAGCACTCAGAGCTGATTTCCTTAAGAATGGAGAGGTTTGATCTTCTTGCAGTCCATGGGACTCTCAGGAGTCTCCTCCAGCACCATAATTCAAAAGCATCTATTCTTCGGCGATCAGCCTTCTTGATGGTCCAGCTCTCACTTCCATACATCACTACTCAGAAAACCATAGCTTAAACTATACGGACCTTTGTTGGCAAGGTGATGTCTCTGCTTTTTAAGATGCTGTCTAGGTTTGTCATTGCTTTTCTCCCAAGAAGCAGGCGTCTTTTAATTTCGTGGCTGCTGTCACCATCTGCAGTGATCATGGAGCCCAAGAAAGTAAAATCTCTCACTGCCTCCATTTCTTCCCTGATAGACGAGTCTAAAAAGCATGGGACACCAGTTTTCACAGCCCTCTAGCAGCTATGTTGACTCATTTACCAGAAGCAATGTATTTAGCGTTACCTCTGGAAGTGTATACTCCTAGGAGGCTAAGTTTGGTCAGAATCAAGTGTACACTTCCAGAATTAACACTCAATACATTACTTCTGGTAAATGAGCCATCGTAGAGGGATGTGAAAATGTGTGTCCCGGGCTTTTTACACTCATCTACCCATGTACTATCTGAAACCAAAGGGGCACATTGGTTGCCAGATGTGAAATATATTGGCATTATTATCAGCTCTCCTACGCCATTATGTGGCAGATGGTGAGTTGCTGGGTTTGGGGAACATGTGCCACTGCTGTCTGATCCTTGGGAGGCAGGTATACCTGGTGCTGAGATTTTTTGGCTGTCGGGTACTTCTAAGCCTACATCAGGCTGGCACTGGAAGCAAAAGGTGAGAGGTTTGTCTGGAGAAACCTGTCTCTTCCTAGCTGCTATTTCAAGAGAGATCAGGAGTGATGGCCTTGTAGGCAAGTTACTAGTTCTAATGCCTTTTTCTACACTGTCAGCCAGTTCCATAAATAACCCCTGTCAGCTTTCTTTTTATAAACTTACTTAAAAAAAAATTCAGAGGGAAATGGGAACTGTAAGGAAGCTTCTAATAATGAAGAAAAAGCATATGTATATATATGGTGATAGTTTTAAGAAAACACTAAACACTGGGGACAGAGCCAATAAAACAAATTATGGCTTAGTGGAACAGAATCTCTTGGCATTCACCTTTTAGAGTAGGTAGACATAATTGCGTATTGCATACTGTTTATTATATTTACTGTATATGGGCATAATTTAATTAGTTGGCTTTTAAAAAACTACTTTTAGTTGTGTTTCTACAGTCCTTCTTAATTTCTGCTTATATCTGCTTCCTGTTGCTATGGTTGTGTTGTCTTAAGGAGTGTGTACAGGTGTGGTGCTGTGAAAATGGTAGAGGCAGTTTTGCTGCTTTTGTAAAACAAGTGTGCTACTTCTGTTTTGAGGCAAGTTTTTGTTTTTGTTTAGGTTCCATAACATGGTAGAACTTAAATATCAAAAGATCTGCCTAGAGGTGGTGTCTTGTGGCATGATGAATTTACCATTCTTCACAATCTCCACCGCAATTTTTCAACATTGTACGTTTTAGGGGAAAGGAGGAACATGGCTGAACACTTGATTGAATAGTTTGCCACACTAGAATTAAAAAAAAATAAAAAATCTGACCAGCAGCCACTTGCTCAGGGTGTTGAGCTGTATTTGTAATTTCATTAAAAATGTATTTCACAAAGAATAGATGGAGAAAGGAGGTGGTAGTTGACAATTGACAGCTGGAAATTGGCAGTTGGCAGTTGGTTGGTTTTTTCTGTTAGTTCTGTTTTGACTGAAGGTGAGAGGTGTGGAGACTTCGTGCAGACCCTGTCTGGAGGAGTTTGTAAATAATACTGTTGCCAACCTGACAAGTAAAAATTAAAAATATTTTCAACAATTTGCGTAAGATATACTTTTTTTTCATCACAAATAGCCAACATGAGCTACTGTCAAGCAATGTGGGACTGAAGCTGGGGACTGCAGGTAGCAAGTCCCTTAGATTTGAGCAGCCAGGATTGTGAGTTGAAGGAGGGAGCTATGTCGTCGTTATTATTATTATTATTATTATTATTATTATTGTACCGCTCTTCATCCTAAAATCACAGGGTGGTTCACAGGATAAAAGAACAAGGTAAAATAACAAACAAATACTCAAAAACCAAAACAAAACCCCATAACCTGCCCTCCCACAAACACATTTAATAGCATGTAGAATATTCATCAGCCAAAGGCCTGGTTGAAGAGAAACATTTTCGCCTGGCAGCGAAAGATATAGGAAGGCACTAGATGAACCTCCCTGAGGAGAGCATTCCGCAAACAGGGAGCCACTGCAAAAAAGGCCCCGTCTCATGTTGCCACCCTCTGGACCTCTCATGGAAGAGGCACCTGAATGGTCTCAGATTATGAATGCAGAGTCCGGGGCAGTTTATATGGGGAGAGACAGTCCTTGAGGTATTGCAGTCCTGAGCCGTTTCCCATCAAGTAACAGGCAGTATTGGCCAAAATCCTCCTGATTTCAGAAGTCAGGTGACCTAGGAGAGCCAGCCCTATATACCTTTGCCATCTATATAGCACCAACGTTTGCTGCACTTCTCATTCAGGATGAGTTGCTGGCTCTCCATGTTACTAGAGTCTTCCTGTGCCTGGTTGTTGTTGTTTTCATGACTTAGGTTTCTTGGCCTATCCATCTTCCCAGACGCCGCAAACACAGGAATCATGTCAGTGGCTTTGCCACCTCCATCTCAGCTATGGACTCTACTACTCTGGCAGGCCTCATCTGCTTTGAAAGCCTGACTAGCTCACCAAAGCAACCCTGCCTGAAACAACAACAACAACAATAATTTATTTATATCCTGCCCATCTTGAAAAGTCAAGGTGGGCTCTGGGCAGCGTGTGTACAGCAGCCCTTTGAAAGGAGCAGATGTGAAGCTAAGTGGGAAAAGAGAGATCTACCTAGGTTCCTTCATAGCCAGGCACAATTAGGGCTGGATTTCCCTCCCCCCAGCCCCCTGCGGTGGTGCTTTTAGCAGCGGCTTTGGCCTGTAGGAATTAGCAAGTGAGATTGTAAAATCCCTCATGCTGCAAAAAGCTTCACCTGCTGATTCCTAAAGATCAAGCCTTTCTAACAAAGAAACAAGAAGCGATTCACCACGCTTTGGTCTGCATGGATCGGAGATGGGTTAGGAGCAATTTGGGGACATGCACAGACTTTGTGTGATGGGTTTCCCTACGTCCTCAAACTGCTGGCTGCTGGGAGGATGCCGAGTGAAAATAGGGTGCTGTGGGTGGCCCCCAACCCAAGCAGTGCAATGCAAGGAGGCCGATCTAATCCCTCTCTCAACACTGTATGGTCAGCCATACGTTGAATGCTGTAATACAGTGGTACCTCAGGTTAAGTACTTAATTTGTTCCAGAGGTCCGTCCTTAACCTGAAACTGTTCTTAACCTGAAGCACCACTTTAGCTAATGGGGCTTCCTGCCGCCGTGCCGCCGGAGCACAATTTCTTTTCTCATCCTGAAGCAAAGTTCTTATCCTGAAGCACCATTTCTGGGTTAGCGGAGTCTGTAACCTGAAGCGTATGTAACCTGAAGCGTATGTAACCTGAGGTACCACTGTATTATGAAAGTGGTAGAGGGGAGGGGATCAAAACTCTCTCGCTAGTGCTATGTTGGCAGGTTCAGAACCAGCAAGCTGTGTTGCATTGTTGTAGAGGCGGGAAAGAGAATTTGGAGGTAGTTGTGCAGCAAACTGTTCAACCAGCTCCCAACCTGAGAGCAATTTGGTGTGGAAGAGAGCTCTACCCACTCCTCTCCATACAGGGGCAGAGTGTGAGGAAAGGGAATCTTCTCTTTAAGGTCTAGTCTCTCTTCCCCTGCTTTCACCACCGCCAGAACTTTGAAACTGTTCTCTAATGTTCTTCTTGTATGGGAGCTGTTATGTACTGAAGTTCTCACCCTGGGCCAGCAGGGGGATACTGTAGATAGTTATGCAAATAAGGGATCGAAAGTGACGTTCAGTGATTGGATAGTTTTAGAAAATTGTTACAGTTACGTTGTACTGGAGCTCTATATAAGCAGGCTGACTGAACCCTTCAGTTCAGTTCTGTTCTGGCCTGGGAATAAGCAAGAGCTGTTTGAAGAATCGCTGTGTCGTCTGATATGTTCACCCACAACTTAACAGGAGCAATTTGAGCACATACAGCCCTCAACAGGGGTGCATTCTCTCTCATCAGAATAATATTTCCCCGCATGCCTGACAAATCCCCCAGCACGCAGAACAAAACCAAAAGCCTAGTATGGATCACTGTCCCACTGTTTGGCTGGCATGCATTCACCAGTTTGAAATTGGTTCCTCCCACCCCTTTGGTTGCTTTTATACAGTTTATGTCAACCGACTCGTCCTGGAGTGAAGGTTGGTGTTGTGGTAGCATCATGGGGAGTTGCTCCCATTTGGATTTTGCAAATCACATTTCTGCAGCCTAATGCTACCAGAACTTCCTACTGGAGCTTTGAAGGATGTAGGTACATTCGTGGGTAAGTGTATGTCATCCTACAAGGGGAGGAATCTATTTTTTTTCTATGTGCCACCACCTCTTTGAATCTCTGTGGATGTTTTTGCTTCGGCTGCAAAGCACAGCAGCAGAAGGCCAGCATATTATTTAAGTAGCTGGGCTCCTTCCCTTTGAGTAAATCTGTCTGGGTGGGCTGCTGCCTGCTACTTCTGGCGGAATCTGCTCCAGATCCGCTTCAGCTCTCCTCCCAGAGGGAACATTTACTAATGGATCATTTCTCTGGCAGGGGTGGAGCTCCATCTTGCCGTTTAAAACCCTCCTGGTTGACAGATCTACCTGATAAATGGCTGCAGCAGATCTGTCAGAGCTGGGCTCCGTTTCAAGCCGTAAATGGGAGTCCTTCCCAGTTGGCAGGTCTGATGGTCCCGTTATGTGTGTGTTCTGGGGCTTTTGCCCAATTTAAAGAAATGGTGTAGCCTAGTGGCAAAGAGACTGGCCCTGCAAATCAGAAGGTTGCTGGTTTGAATCTCATGTGTCTGCCATGAACACACTAGGTGGCCTTGGGTGACTCACTCTCCCTGTCCCAGTTGGTAATATGGGAGATAATTATACTTGTCGTACCTCACAGGATGCTGTAAGAATTACATCTAGATAATGCATGTGAAGGGTTTTGAGCACTGCATATCGCTATGCAAATGTTATTATTAATTGATTGATTAGCTTATTAAAGCTGCATATATTTGCATATGATTAAAACAAAGATCAAGAAGCAAAAGGAAAACCCAGTAGGGTACTGCATGTGTCAGACTTGGCACTGTGTATGTATGAGAGAGAAGAAGATAGGATGCTTCTTCTGAGATGGTACCACCGTGCCAAGTTTGTTGTAAAAATATAATTTAATGCATTTAAAATTTAAAAATCTGCCTCATTTATCACATAGGTTTTTTTTAATTTATCAACAGGTTTCTTGATGTTTAACTGGTTTGCTGTGTTGTTGTTGTTTTTAAAGTTGCAATGCTAGTTTTATGTGCCTCTATAAACAGCCTCCTTGCCATCAGAGTTTGGAGTGGGACACCGGTCAGCGACTCCATCCTGGATCTGATGCCAGCGACACCAGCTTTTTCTCTTACGTGTCCTGCGGGAGACACTGGTGCAAATGCACCCCGCCCTTCCTTGTTGCACCCAACTTTGGGTTTTACATTTTCCATTCTCACAAGCAGCCTAATTGCAGAAGCTGCTTTCCCCGTGCGACTTTTAAAATGTCAGTAATCCTCTTCAATTTTCCGATTCCGCCCAGCTTCACTAATGGCTGATGCACTCAATGAGTCAGGCGCTCTCTCCTAATCAGTAGCATCTATGCGTGGTGGCAACCCGTACCGCTTGCTTCTGTGCAACAATTCAGAGCCAACTTGAAAATTATCTAAATATTGTAATTGCCTTTCTCCTATATTAAAAAAATTAATTATTTGTCGTTTGGCAGGGTGCAGATGCATGTTGACTCTGAGAGTCCACGGCTAGCGTATCTGACCAATGATGGCTTCATCTTATATGAAGCAAATGAGCTGAGTTATTCCGTATGTTGGAAGCCAGCTGGGTAAGACTCGAGTCAGAAAGGCAGGATGCTCTTTGCCACTTGAGGCAAAACAGATAATACCTTCCCATCCCCCACAGCCGCCGCCTCTTCTGCAACCCCCTGCCCCCAGTACTGAAGGCAGCAGGGGAGTAAAGTAAAGAAGTCTGGAGAGGAGCAATCAACAAGCATTGCACTCCTCAGAGGCTGGATCTGCTGCCTGAGACAACTGCCTCACCTCGCCTCATGGTCGGGCCCAGTGCTTTTTTTCAGCCGGAGCGCAGTTCCGGCACCTCTCAGGCGAGCGCCATTGCAGGCCAACACTCCTCCCACCGCTTCTTGCCTTGACATACTTCCGAGAAGCCCAAAGCAAACATTTCAACTCAAAACCAGCCAGCATATGCGAATCTACACTTAAAAAAATAATAATCCATGACTTCACCTAGCTTCTAGCTGCTGCTAGCCGCAATTGGTCAAGCTACGAGGTGGGGCCAATTCACATTTCCTTCTCTCCCGTGTAGTAGCGGCAGGCTTTAAGATTTCCACCCAGGCCTCTAACATTTCACATGTGTGCGTTTGCACGAGGGCCCTTCTGAGATGCCCTAGCCATCCACCTGACTCTAAGAGAACATGGGAGGTGGGGTGCATTTATTTGACCTGCGCCAGAACCAGGAGCGACCCCCAAACCAATTAGTGAGAGAGTTTGCTGTAGTTTTTAGCAGCTCTGTGGGTGGTGAATGTGACTGTTGTCAGATTGGCATCCGTTCAGGGCTGCCCCATGGTGAGTTCCAGCACCTACTTTTCTTTTTAAAAAGCACTGGGCGGGTCAGCCCTGTAGGTAATGTGCAGAATACTAAAGGTGCAATATCCTGTGAAGTTCTCCAGTAGTAAGGTAAAGGTAAAGGAACCCCTGACCATTAGGTCCAGTCGTGACCGACTCTGGGGTTGCGGCGCTCATCTTGCTTTATTGGCTGAGGGAGCCGGTGTACAGCTTCCGGGTCATGTGGCAAGCATGACTAAGCCGCTTCTGGCGAACCAGAGCAGCACACAGAAACGCCGTTTACCTTCCCACTGGAGTGGTACCTATTTATCTACTTGCACTTTGACGTGCTTTCAAACTGCAAGGTGGGCAGGAGCAGGGACTGAGCAATGGGAGCTCACCCCGTCGCGGGGATTTGAACCGCCGACCTTCTGATCAGCAAGTCCTAGGCTCTGTGGTTTAACCCACGGTACCACCCGCGTCCCATTCTCCAGTAGTAGCCACATGGTAATCAATGAGCAGTAGTATGCTTTTGCACAACTCCCACCAGCTTTCATAGGGATTGCTCCAGAGAAGATCCCTGGGCACTGATCCCACCTCTGGGAGTTTCATGAGCATTAAATGGGCACATAGATGCACTGCCCACCTGCAAAAGACAAGTCCAAGTACTTTGCTGGTCCAAATGACTCTGGACTATGAAGTGGCTGAATATGGATGTGAGACCAGTAGCCCCTGAACTGCAGAGAGGTTTTGTTGCCTAGCTATGGGAAATAAGTTCCTGCTATAAAACGAGAGAAGAGCAGCTGCAGGAAAGCCACATTGCTGCCTTTTCCATAGTGATGGGCTCCAGGCCAGATTCAAGGGGAACCCTGTTTTACCCGTAGGTGCCACACACTTCAAAGTCAAGATTATCCTGGTATCTATAGAGACCTCATGCTCCTGTCCTGACTATTCCCTGCTGAATTCTACATTTCCTAGTGTTTAATATCTGATGCCAATGGGCAACGCAGGAAGAACTCAGATGTAATCCTCTCCACAGGTTGCTATACTTGTGTTTGCAGAAGCACATTTTTGGAATACTATATAAAATACAGGATTTGTAAGCATCTGGGAGGGGGGAAAATACTACAATATTTTTAGGTAAAGGTAAAGGAACCCCTGACCATTAGGTCCAGTCGTGACCGACTCTGGGGTTGTGGCGCTCATCTCGCTTTATTGGCCGAGGGAGCCGGCATACAGCTTCCGGGTCATGTGGCCAGCATGACTAAGCCGCTTCTGGCGAACCAGAGCAGCGCACGGAAATGCCGTTTACCTTCCCGCCGGAGCAGTACCTATTTATCTACTTGTACTTTGACGTGCTTTCGAACTGCTAGGTTGGCAGGAGCAGGGACCGAGCAATGGGAGCTCACCCCGTCGCGGGGATTCGAACTGCCGACCTTCTGATCGGCAAGTCCCAGGCTCTGTGGTTTAACCCACAGCGCCACCCGTGTCCCAACAATTTTTTTAGCAGCCAACAAATAATACCAAGCCAGTCTAGTTACTCTCATGCACTTATACCCACCCTTTCTTCCATCATGGCTATGTTCTGCCTGCACTGTTGGAGGCAGTGGACCTCTGGATACTAGTTGCTGGAAATCCTGAGAGGGGAAAATGATGTTGCACTCAAGTCCTGCTTGTGGTCTTCCCATAGGCATCTTGGTTGTGAGTCCTGGAAGACCTGCTCCGTGTCTTGCAGGCCTCTTTCCACCTGACCAGGGCGGGCGGGACCTGGACTGACTCCATCTACAAAAGCGGAGGCTTCTGAACAGACACTTGGGCTGGGGTGTTGTTTAGGAGGTTTTGGTGTGGAGGTATTAATTTTTGTGTATCCTTATTTTAGATGCTGTTGGGATTTATGTGGAAATTGCTTCAACTTGGTTTCTTGTACTTCTTGATGTTTTATTTATTGGTTATGACTACTTTTGTTATATGGGACGCAGGTGGCGCTGTGGGTTAAACCACTGTTCTGCTTGGGCTTGCCGATCGAAAGGTCGGCGGTTTGAATCCCCGCGACGGGGTGCGCTCCCGTTGTTCGGTCCCAGCTCCTGCCAACCTAGCAGTTCGAAAGCACGCAGTGCAAGTAGATAAATAGGTACAGCTCCGGTGGGAAGGTAAACGGCATTTCCATGCACTGCTCTGGTTCGCCAGAAGCGGCTTAGTCATGTTGGCCACATGACCCGGAAAAACTGACTGCAGAAGCGGACAAACACTGGCTCCCTCGGCCTCTAAAGCGAGTTGAGCAACGCAACCCCAGAGTCGTTCGCGACTGGACTTAATTGTCAGGGGTCCCTTTACCTTTACCTTACTTTTGTTATGTTTGTAATCAGGTATTTTTCATGTTGTAAGCTGCCTTGAGCATGGTTTTAACAATGCAAAGGCTGGAAAGGCGGCATACAAATAGAATTATATGTGTATCTTACAGGATGCTGAACTAGATGGGCCTTTGACCTGATGCAACAAGAGGCTTTCTTAGGTCCTTAAGGTGGAATACATGTGATTTCCAGGAGGTCTCCTGTGAAGGATGCTGACCAGGACAAGACCTGCTTAGCTTCAGCAAGATGATGGCCTTGTGCCTTCCGTTCAGACCATATCTTGAGAGTTTAAATGCTTTAGGTCGGACAACTGGTTTGCTATACAAAGGCAACACACTTTTACTTGCAATATGGGCAATGCACTTTTATTTGATTATAGAGAATGGCAAACGCTAAAGTCATGTGGGCAGAAAAGCTGTGATTAATGCACAGGTAGAAAATTAGGCTTATAAAAATGCACTTGAAAATATGAGCTAATGGATCATTGCTGAGCAGGAAAGGGACTTACTTGGCTGGGGAATAAAAATAAAATATAACATCTGTTGCCGCAAATATGATGCACTCAGAGCAATGAAATAAAATTAACATTTTAGAAGGTAAAGTTCTTAGGGATCTGGGTCACTTTTTCTTTCGAGCTAGTAATGGGAATCTCTGTGTCTATATTATTGTCATCAAGTCTCACAGGTGCTTTGTGTGACTAAAGTTTCTTTTGGTTTATCATCGTCTCTCACCTCAGGATCAGATGTTCTGCTTTCTCAGTTTCAAACCTTGTTTCAAGGCTACCTATACATGCATCCTCAGTCTGAATCAAATGTGATCTTTGAATAGTTGGTCTCATGGTCCCTCTTGCAGGCTTCTACATTCCTCCTCACAGATGATAACTGGCTTTATTGCACTCAAAGGAATGAACACAAGACAACACGATATGTGCCATTCAAGCTGTTTTTCTTTTAAAACCACCTCTCTTGTTTGAACTTCTTTTAGCCTTAAGAATGATGGTTAAGGAATTAGATATTTGCAAATTCCTAAATGAAATGACCTGATCCACATCTCTTGGACTAATGTGCAGGTCAAAATTTGTCTACCCTTCACATTTCACACTCCTCCAAAATCTTCTGGTGCAGTTCAGACAGACTCTTGAGTAAGCTTACCAGTCATGGAATATGAGGAGATCTCTTCATGTGGATAAGTAGCTGCTTAAGAAACAGGAAGCAGAGGTTAAGAATAAATGGACAGTTTTCTCAATGGAAGAATGTAGAAAGTTGAATGCCCCAAGGATCTGTATTGCATCCTATTTTTGTTCTGTTATTTTTCTGTTTAATTATTTTACAAATTTAAATTTATCTTTGTTGTAGATTCAGTAAGGATTGCACATAGTCTATTTCTGTTTGGCATTTGATATTTGATATTTAAGGGTGTGTGTACAGTCCTATATTATTTGAGCAGTTGAGTGGCTGTGGAACATGGCTCAGAATACTACATACATATCGGTTAAGCCAGTTTGTAGCTGAAGCTGCTTGTGAACTGTACTAGTTGACCAGCATGTGGGGTACCACTAATCCTTCTCCCTAGAAATGTTTTGCAGCTCCCTTAAGATGGATTTTGCTTTAATAACAACAAAAACAAGAACACATTTGTGTTTAATGTATATACATTAGCGCTATACTTAAAAAAATAAATAGGGTAAACAGCCAGCCGGATGAAGGAGTGAGGAGCAGGAAATATGCTTGATGGGGTCAGAATTGCTAGTAAGGAGGACATCTGTCAAACGCATTTTGAAAGCTAAAGGAGCTGGGTTACCTTATGAGAGGTAAAAAAATAAAAAGCCCTCCACTAAAGGTCTGTCTGAACACATCCTATTTGAAGCTTGCCTTCAAGCAATCCTGAATAACCTATGTTTTATCATCAGTCACATTTAATAATCTGTATTTTAAAACAGAATTAAATTTATCGTATTCCTTATTTGAGCAATTATATTGGTTGTTGATAACCAATATTTGAACTTAATATTTAGAGTTTGTGCTGATTTCATTGCACCTGGAGCAAAGTTGTTTTACCTCTCCGCTTGACTAGTATTCTGCATTGAAATACATCCATTGTCTTTAGTGGATGGTGAGCCCGGGGATTTTTTTAATTTTTCTTTTTGAAAAAGAGCCTTTCCTGGCCCCCACAGGTATTTCTCCCGTTGCTGCCCTGTAAGATTGTAAAGTAAATTTGTGGACTTTGATTTGTTAACCATAAAACAACTCCCCGTCCTCTCCTTAATTTTAACAAGAGCGTGAGTTATTGACCCAACGAATGGCTTGTATCATTATGGCTTGGATAAATGCAGTGGTTGTTCCAGTTTTGGAATGAAATCTGTATGATGGAAGCAGCAGCAAGCTCTGACGCAGTTTCTGTGCGATTGCAGGAAACGAGGTGATTGCTGTGGACTGGAAAGGACTAAAAGATGTTGACCAGATCAATATGGACAGCACCAGCTCACTCCATGGCAGCAGCATCCACCGGCCGTCCACCGAGGTAAGGATCCATTCCGTGTCCTCTTAAGAAGACAGAGTATCAGGATCAAGTTTGGAGAACATAAAGTGACAGAAGGCAATGTGCTTCTTTGTTTGCATTAGAGAATGAGTCCCAGATGTAGTTAGTTTTATTCATTTTCTGCACAATTGAATTTTGAGTTGCAGCAGACTACTTGATTAGAGCCAAATGAGTTTGATTCCAGGTACATGAAACTTTGGGACATCTCAGATGTTCTCCATGAAGTGGGTGTCTGGGACAGTCTAAACAATTTGCCCAATGGTCTGGATGCGTGTTGACAATACTGTGATATTCTCTATACTGTGGGCCAGATCATTATCTCCACTATGACAGGTGGGACCACCCACCTGTAATCATCTGATGTCGCAGTGATGTTGGTTGCCCTGTTCTGCCTGCATGGATCTGAAAGAGCACTTTGCAGAGTGCTTCACGAGATAGCCACTTTCAAAGTGCCACTGGTGGCTGCCCAGTGGGCGGCGTGACAGGGCCTTTTCAGTGGTGCTTCCCCATTTGCAGAATGCCCTGCCTCATTATGGACTTTTGGAAGGAATTTAAAAACATTCCTGTTAACAGAGGCATCAGGTGGTTGAAAGCCACTGTTCCTGGCAACTCTGAGATCTCTAGTTGATAATATTTGCAATGGTGTTTTTTTAAAGAATGCTTGCAACTGTTATTAGTTGTTGTTGTTGCTGTTGTTGTGTTTTTAATGTTTTATTATGTTTTATAAATACCTTGTATGGCACTTTATAAGACCTGGCAGAGATGTGTGCACAGCACTTCATATAGGGATTTGCAGGCATCACCTTTTGACTGAACCAGGTTATTTACCTGATGTCATAGACAACTGATGACAAGTTGCCATGACTTAGCCAGCATAATTAGGTCTGGAAGTTGCCCATCTTTGGTATAGAGTCAGGGATCTGATAACCAATTTTCAACAAAAAGAGGAGAAGCTTCCTTGGATGGCTGCAGCTATGCAAAAGGATGCTACAGAATGTATAGCATATTCTTGCCTTGCTGTTGCCAGACAGAGAAGAATCTCCTCTTTTTGCTCTAAATTTGCTGTCAGATATCTGCCGTTTGATTACCAGGCAGTGGTTTCTGTAGACGGTGTTATTTTTGTTGTTTGTCAGCCGCTTCACCATCTGTAATTTTATGCATGTGAGTTATCTATGTAATAAGCTTCAGTGAATGCAATCTGATGAGACCTTTGGTCTTTTCAAAAGATGAATACTATTTTTATTCAAACAAGCCACTTTAGCTTTATGAATCTCTCACCATTGCAAAAAGCAATGAGGTTGAGAGTTTCATTTCAGTACATCTATGCTAAGCTGTAGGGGATGACTCCAGAAATCCCTCTCTTTGTGCGATGATGGTTGGTGTCAGTGAGTTACCAGGATGCCACCTAACCCGCTGGCACTAGAGAGGCTCAAGAGGGGACTCATTCGGTGCCATCTTGCTGATCTTGTGAACTTTCCATCTCATTGTCCATTGTTGGAGAGCAACTGCTGGACCAGACAGACCCTAGATGTGATCCAGCATAGGTACTGTCTACTTTGACTGGCAGCACCTCCCAAAGTCTATGTTTAATATTCAAGGCTTATCTTTAGAATAACTAGCGAGACAAGCTCCCTCCCTCAGCTAAGGAGATCTGTGCATGTAAGCAGGCCTGTGAGCACACATCTACTGCCTGGATTTGGATAAATTGGATGTGCATTCAGAGCCGCACTGTGCATGAATTTGAATGGTGGGCACATTTCCGTGTGCTTTCAAATGTGCATCCTCATTCTCCTTTCCATGCAACTAACTGTGCATTACCGTCATGTTTATTCATGACGAGCTGGATTGTGAATAGGGTGTGTGTCACAGTTTTTGCCTGCGAGTTTGTAATTTGAAGAAAACGGGACAGAGCATGAAAGAAACTGAAGAGGGGAATTGAAGGGCTGAGCTGAGATGGGGAGGGAAGAGAAACAGTTCAGTCAGGGCAGGGGTGGTTAGCTTGAGGCTCTCTAGGTGCCGCGGGACTACAACTCTCATCAGACAGAGCCAGCAAAACCAATCATTGGAGTTGATGGGAATTACATCCCAACAGCCCCTGCAAGGCCACCCTGAACTGGGGACAGAAGCATGTGAGAAAAGCTAAATTTTAATGTGTGTATAGCCAATGCAGAACATATATTTGCAGTGAAAGGGAATTCTGAAAGTAAGATGGCACAATAGAAAATGGAGGGCTAAAGGAAAGAACAAAAGGAAGACAGGGCTCATGAAGAGAAGTTGGAAGCAGCAGAACCAAAGGAGCTTGAATGAATGTAGAAAAACAGGAAAAAAATTGTGCAACATGCAGGGGAGCAGAAGAAAGCCTCTAGCCTCAAGGTACAGAGAGCTCCATATTGTTGTATAAATCTATATGCACTTAATCATCCGTTACTGTTGTGAATAAGCTTTTAATCTTGCACATTCATCCCCTTTGAATGTGCGTCTGCTGGTGTCAGAGATCTAGTGTTCAGCCATAAAAGACTGAAGGGGTTTGATCGCCATGGGATTCCTAATCCCAGAAGAGTTTTATATATATTTTCTGCATGTCTGTGGTTCTCTCTCCCTTTCTCCCAGCCCACTTCTGTTCTTCTCTTTGTCTCTTCATCTTTCTTATTCTTTATGTAGCACATGATGGCTGCACACGTACGGCTGTGGCCATCAGGAGCAAATTGGACAGGGATGCTCTTCCAAGCATGCACCCTTAAAGTGAAGGAGTAACACCCTTTTTCAATAAGCAATTAAGTAGTAGGTTGTTCATAGTAACCAGTAGGATCAGCTGGTAGAGGAAGTAATGTATGTTATATGCAGAGAGCTCACATGTGACGTTAACTTGGCCTCTTCTTTCTCCGTAGCAAACACGGACAGATTTCTCCTGGGATGGCATTAACGTGAGTACTGTCCCCATTCCCTAAGACAGAGGTTGGCCCTCTGGGAATTGCTCAACTACATCTCCCATCATCCTTGAGCATTGGCTGTGCTGACTAGGACTGATAGGAGCTTCAGTCGAACCACATCTGGAGGGCTCCAGCTTCCCCACTGTTGCCCTTAGAGATTTTCTTGCATAGACTCCATGTGTCTGTGTGGGAGCCTATCTTGCTACTGGTGGGTTTTGGATTATATCTCAAGATGGGTGTATTGCTGCTTCCAGTCTGACCCATAGTGATTACATGGGTGCCTGCTGAACATTTAGGAACCGCATCAAATAAAAATTGGCCCTCAGCGGGCATGTGAATGGCCCGCCACCTCTCCCTGCAGTCATTCCAGTGAGGACTGGCACCTCCTTGCCACCCACTCCTGCTTTGCATTAGTTACCCAGAGGCAGGGAAGCAGCAGCAGAGATCTGTACTTTTGAATTAGGTGGATGGATAAATGAATATTTATTTTGCTAAATGTTTTAATTATGCTTTCCTGCGTTTAAGGATTTCGGTTATGGGGGCATCTCTGCGGCACACAAGCACTATAATTTGAAACCACAATTTGCCTACTTTTCTCTGTTCAGTAATAGAAGTAGTGATTTGCCTCATACATTTTAGTTTAACTCTTCATATTTCACTCTTTCTAAACATAGGAGGCTCTCCCATTTATTTTGAAATTTTGTCACTCTCCTTTACTCAGTTTGGACGTCAAGCCAGCTATGGTTTGCACTACTTATAGTTATATACTTATAGGAAAGCCATGGGCTTCTCCTTCAGAAAGGCAAACACAGAGTTAAAACTATAGTTGCGTAGTGGTTAGAGTACTGCCCTGGGACTAGGGAGACCAAGATCCACTCTGCCATGAAGCTCACTGGGTGACCTTGAGCCAGTCACTGTCTCTTGACCTAACCCCTGTAGGGTTCCTGTGAGGATAAAATGTGGTGTCACCTTGAGCTGATTTGAAGGAAAAGTGGGATACCAATGAAATAAATACATAAATAATCCTCACAAGAACCCTGCGCAGTAGATTTGACCAAGTGACTGGCCCAAACTCACACAGTGGCTAAATGTTGATCAGAATCCTTGTACACGGAACTTACATTCTTAGCTGTCTTAGCTAATAGCTGCTGGTGAATCTACCCTCTGTGAATTTGTGCCTCTAACCCCTTTTAAAAACAACCCAAGCCAGATACAAATAGGATGTGGGCAGGAAATGCAAGTAAAGCTGAAATATACTCGGAGTCGAGAGTGGATTTCATGCTCTTTATTCAGCTTGTAGTGGCGAGGAGGAATGGAAGTTCCCCCAGAATGTTTGCCTTATATACATTATTTACACAATGGGCCTCACGTGATTGGCTAATTCCGGGATTCTCCTGTAGGTCAATCAGGTTGCGGATTCCCTTCCACCTGGGGCTGGATTGGGTGGCTCCTGTGGACCAATCCGACTGCTGCCTTTTGGATCCTATTCAACTCAGTACATAACAAAAGCTTTCCTTCATTTTTTTTAAATGAACAAATCCCTTCCATTTTTATACAAGAATAATAAATTCCTGCTGAAGTGAACTTTATTATGTTTGGCTTCTGTGAGGAGGAGGTAGCTTTATTCTGTTGGGCAGAGCCTGGAGTTGCAGAGCTGGGATGGCCTGGGGCTTATTGCCACATACACCTGTACACTTGCTCACCTAAGTTCAATAGTTGCAAACAGCTTTGCTGGATAGCATGGCAAGCATCCTCAAGAATGGCCAATTCAGACACCTATTAGGCAAGGACATGGGTACAATGGTGTGAGTGAAGCATGCTGGCATGGCCTGAGACTCACCTGCCCGGTATGGCTCACCCTTGTGATTCATTTTTTACTCCCTCTTTTTCACAATGAGATTTGTGCTTCTCTGAAGAGGCGCTAACCTTTCAACAATTACTTTGTACATCCCCTCCCCCCAGATCCAGAGGGGTAGCTGGATTAGTCACTTCCACAAAAGCTTCTGCCATAGAATACATTTGTCAGATCTTTTAAATTGCCGCAAGACTCTGGGCTGTTTTTTAACACAATGTTCTTCACCCCAGCCATTATTCTAGTCTTCTTCATTAGCAAAGCCTCTTTATTTAGGGAGGGAGGTGGAAATAGAGAGAGATTTTCTTTTGTACAGATCAACTGATTCACCATCAACACAGTGCTTAAGGTTCTGGAATGGTTTTGTTCAAGGGCAGGAAAGGAAAAGGTTCAATTTTTTTTTTTACCTCAGCATCACATTCCCATGGAGACATCTCCAGGTGATAGAAATCCTTATATAGAAGGCTTTGACTACTCAGCAGAACTATACTATAAATGCAGCCCCACAACTTCAAGAATAAGAAGCATGAAAGTGACCATATAGATAAACACAAAGCATCCCCTTTCAGGTTATCTCCTTTCCCTTTGTAACATTCAGTTCCATTTGCCCCATGGCCCATGCCAATTGCACTGAGTGTTGCTCCTCCAGTGATAGCCAATGTTTTGGGGGCAGAGGCAAGGAAACGAAGAGCACAGTGACGTCAGAATGTTAAGTAAGTTATGCCACATGTTGCTGAACTTAACACAGGGCTACAGTTTTCAGCAGCAGTCCTCTGTTTATTGTAATTTTAAAGCCCTGCTCTAAACATGGGGCAAACTGAAATAAAAAGTATGTGTGGCACCAGGGACACTGGCCTGGACACCTGCTTAGTTACATTTTTTAAAAGACCTTTCTGACCTCCTTGCCTCAGTAATATCTTCATCCAGTCAGTATTAAACTTCTCCCATTCTTCTCCTTTCGCTCCAGTGCTGTGTATACAGAACAATCTTACTTTAGGGTTGTTGTTGCTGCTGCTTGTTGTTATCTTCATCTTTTCATAAATACTTCACTTGAACAAATTTCTGGCCAAAAAAGCACACCCGACTAGTCATGAGATACATCTTAGCACACCAGGGCTGGCCCAAGACAGGAATATCCAAAATGGCATACACAATCCAATAATTCCCTCCCATGGGCAGTTCCTGACCAAGCCCCATGCAGGTTTTCAGTCTAGTTACTAATTTCCCCATCTGTATTTGTCCCTTCTCCTTTGGTTTCTTCTGCTTCCCAGTTCCTTGTGTTCTTAGAAGTCCAGACTGGAATGTCTCCTTCCCTCCCCCTCTTACCTTTTCATTCCTTTTACATGATCTCTCTTTGCAGCTCTCCATGGAAGACACAACCTCCATCCTCCCCAAGCTGAAGCGAAACTCCAATGCATATGGGATTGGAGCTCTGGCAAAGTCTTCCTTCTCTGGTGAGGATCTCAAACCTGTGGCTCTCAAGCCATCTATCTCACTTTTCACCAATCTTGGCTTTATCTTGTGCATTTATATGTATATGTATATCCCTTACTTTACACTGAACGACACATACCCTTTTTAAACCTGAAGTGACTTCATTACCCACTCAGATTCCAGGCTTGTGTGTCAATATACTCACCAGTTCCATTAAGACTTGCACTACTACTTCCCATGACAAATTTCCATTGTGGAACAAGTATGTCAGAATGTGTAAATAGTAGAACATCTGTCCCCACCTCAGAAAGACATTGTGACAACTCAAACGCCTTTAGTAGCATATGGCTTAATTGCATTTCATATGCATGCATTAGCAAAAGAAATTGGATACAGGCCACCAAGGACCCATGGAGATTTGTGAAATGATGTGTTTGCACAAAATTTATCTCCAAAAATATCCAATTGCTTATATGTTGTCAACTAATGGAGAGTGCTTAAAACAGGGGGAGGGGGCTGCTTTATATTTGCTTATGTCTGCTTAATGTTATATAAAATCAGTAACCTTTTTTTAAAAAAAGAAGGAAATTGACTAAAATTGTTTTGATGTGAATGATCTTTAGACTATGGGGAAGTTGAGGTTTTGTTTATTTGCTCATTAGTGGGTCTGAGTATTGCTTTGTTCACTATTTGAGTATTTTAATGGATTTTATATGAAATACTAATGTATTACGGTATATAACTCCCCCCTCTTTCCCCCCCATGGTAATATGTGTGGTATACATTTTTTCCCTTTTTTTGCTGTAAGTTGCTTGGAGATCCTTGGGTAACAAGCAACTAATAATGAAAATGAAATAAATATCAGTGATTACACTGTAGCCCCAATAACCAGATGCCCAGTCCATTTCCCCCTTTGCTATGATAAAAGACTACAGTGTCCATACTTTGTCAGATTAAAACATGGCAACTAAGTTCATTATGGGGCCCCACATCTTATGACTTTTATGTGTTTCCTTACTTAGACCAGTATATAGATAGAGTTTTGGAAGCAGGTATGAAGGAGGAATGGGAGAACTGGGTGAAAATGAGCCCATTCTAGGTTGACGATCAATGTCTCTGGAGCAGTATAATAGCCCCTTTTTGTTTTCCTAATGTCTGGCGCCTTAGGGATATCCCGCAGCATGAAGGATCACGTCACCAAGCCCACGGCCATGGGGTCGGGTCGCGTCGCACACATGATTGAGTGGCAAGGTTGGGGCAATGGCAACACCCAGCAGCAGCAGCACACCCACGAAACGGTGCGCAAGGATGCCGACGCTTACTCTGACCTGAGTGATGGGGAGAAGGAGGCCCGATTCCTTGCAGGTAGGTTGCTACTGTTTGGCCGTCCATCAGTGGATGTGGTGGAACAGGAGGGCACGGGAGTGGGAACAGTTCAACTGGACTGGATTGGCTGAGCCACCTGGATCCGTTTTCTCTGAATGCATCTTCTCTCTGGATTGCATAAACCTTAACCCACTTGATGTCGTGGGTGCAGGGGAAACTTAGAAGGAATGACCTTTTGATCCCTTCCAGCTTTCTGGGAGCAAAGTGGAAGTAGCCCAAGAGGCATTTCAAAGGAGAACACACATGCTGAGGAAATTGTTGTTGTTGTTAAAATTAATATACTGCCCTTCATCAACAGATCTCAGGGAGGTTTACAGAATAAAATGAAAACAAGTAAATAATTAAACCAAAACAGCAAAGCAGTAACTCTTCTCACAGGCACTTTAAAAAGGCTATAGGATATTAATCAGCCACAGACCTGGTTGAAGAGGAACATTTTTGCCTGGCATCTAAAAAATATAATGAAGGTGTCAGGAAAGACTCAGCGCACTTATTGGGCCGGATTTAACTCACCATCCTCACCAGTGAAAGCTTGCATGAGGACCGCCACTAACTCAAAAGGGCTCCCCAACCTCCTGTGCCCACGGTATTGACTTAGGGGGTTAGGAGAGCCCCCTAGGGGGGAAGGAGAGGGGAGATTGTTTCACCAAGCAAGCCAAAATGCTTGTGCTGGTGGAGCGATCGCCTTAGTGCTATGCTGAATTCCTCTAGTTATCTGGCTGTGAGATACACTGGGCACGTCCCAGTCCAATTCCATATTGCTGGCCTGCCACTGGTGGCGGGGGGGCGGGGTAAGGGGAATTCTCCGTGTAATGACATCAAGACATGGGGTAAGTATACTATGCACTACAGAGCAGGGAGGAGGAAGCTCAGCACAAGGCTGCCGTTTGCCACTCTCTTCCCTGCATTCCCTATTAAGGTTCAGTTGCAACAGGATGCTTACAAGGGTTACATTTTGTCCACGGCCCTTTGCAGACATGCTTATGAGAATTAGTGGGACCAGGGCAATGGCAGCTATTCTGGATTGGGGTTCTGAACCCTTCAGAAAACCAAATCCTGATACTTGGGTTGGGAGCCTGGGCAATTGCACGGAAGATCAGGCTACTCCATATTGCTAAGTTAGGATCCCAGCCAGAGTTTCTCAGGAACTGGCATGGGCAATGGGACCCAAGAGGCAGGATCTGCGGCTATTGGCTGGGGGAGAAGAATGGGGCAATTCCATGTACCACTATCCTTCTCTCTTCTCTGCTCAACACAGGGGTGATGGAGCAGTTTGCTATCTCAGAAGCCACCCTCATGGCCTGGTCTTCCATGGATGGCGAGGATATGAGCGTCAATTCTAACCAGGAGAACCAAGCTGGCAACTACAACGAGAACTACCAGGAGATGATGGAGAACCAGGGTGAGCATTGGCTTTTCCTCCTGGATTTGGTTGAAGTGAGCACAGGTCCACAGGGAATTATTCAGCAAAGCCAATTGGCGTAGGCAGCTTGACTTTCCTGTGTTGGCTAAGGCTATATTGCATTTTTTGGGGTGGGGAGGGAGAAGCCTTCATTACCCAAACCTGCCCACTGTTGACACTTTCCTTTCTCAGTTCCTCTTAGGACATCCATCTGCCCCATTCTAGCCATTGCTAGTATAGTATCATAGCTGAGAAGGGTGAACTGTGCTCTTAACATCAGCAGTGAACATAATAGGTGGTCTTAAGGAAGCTGCTCTCCTCCATCAGGCGCACAACCCTCCCTGCCCCCATCTGCAATTCGGGGTGGGTGGGGGTTAATGATAAGGACCTACATTATATGGATATTGTAAGAATTGTTGAAATATGCATGCACACGAAAGCTCATACCAATAACTAACTTGGTTGGTCTCTAAGGTGTTACTGGAAGGAATTTTTTAATTTTGTTTTAGCAATAAGCATTCTGAGTTAATTCTGATAAAATAACAGAAGCCTTCTCCACAATAAGTCAAGGCAAGTCTTTCATTGAAGCTGCCCCTGTTCTGTGGAACTACATCCCCTCTGGAGATACAATAGACCAGTCGTTCCTAATTGGTGGTCTACGAACCCCACGGGGTCTGCACTGCCTTTCATATCACTAAAACTATGGTAGAGATACCAAAATTTTCAAAAGTACAGGGCCCATGGCTAGGCTTTTGAAAAACCGGGAGTCTGCAGTACTTAGCAAATTGGGAGCCACTGTGGTGCCTCTCTATACTTCCCAGAAGGCACTTTTGTTTCCACAAGTTTTTCCACCAGAGTGAACAGGCCTCTCTGCCTTATGTGTTTATTCTGTACTGTTTTAAAACTTGCATTTAATTTGGTTATTTTGCACCATTTCGAAAGCTGCTTTTAGTTGTTTTTTACGTAAAGCACCTTGAGATTCAAGTGGATGGTGATTTGTATATTAATAACGTATCTAAATACTAAAGCACTAAATAAATGCTAGATGTTTGTTTATTTCTATATTTCTATTTGTAAACCTCTTTCCCCCAACCCTTTCTGGGATCTGTGGGTCTCAATCCTCTCACTAAGGGGAATTCTGGCCTAAACTTGTGGAAGGGGACTGTCTGAAGCAATGACCCTTGGGCATTTGGGGAGGCTCCTCACCCATTTTAAAACCCTTTAAAGAGGCATGGTAGCCTCCCCGGAAAAAAAGAGCTCTCTATAAGAGTTAGAAGGTTAATTTAAAAAATGGTGGAAGGGTAGAGCTAACACATTTGTTCCCATTGCTCACACCCACACCCTGGGTGTTTTATTAACCCTATTTGTAACGTCCGGAGATGGCTGGACTCTAATTTCCTTTCTTCCATTTTTTAATTTTGTTTCTCTCTCCCCCTCCCCCACTCTTCCCTTCCCTGCAGAGCACCTGGCCCAGGCACAGTATGACAGTTGGCCTCACTCCTACGTCTCGCAAGGCATGTACTGCCTGGGTTCATCCGACGCCTGGGAGACCAGCGACCAGTCACTCATTGCGTCCCCAGCGACTGGCTCCTATCAGGGCCAGAACTTTGAAGAGTCCCAGCCCAGCTTGCAGGAAAGCGTTCTGATCCAGAACAACCTTATCCAGCAGCATCAGTTGTTGCAGCTACAGCAACAGCAACAACAGCAACTACAACAGCAGCAGCAGCAGCAACAACAACAACAACAACAACAGCCACAACAGCAGCAGCAGCAGCAGCAACAACAACAACTGCTTTCTAATACCAGCCTTGTGGATGTATGGCCTGCTCAGACAGTTCCTAGTGGCGGCGGCAGCAGCACAGATTCCAGCACCTTTGTGGGAATCCACACAGAGGAGGAGGAAGGAAACCCCTTGCTGGAGAAGGCTCCCTTACTGAACAAGAAGCCCTCGCCCGAGGAGGACGATGCTGTCTGCCGGGACCTGGAGTCCCTGTCCCCCCGCGAGGAGCCGGAGCCTGCTGCCCTCAGCCGCAAGGTCTCCGACGTTACCTCGTCCGGGGTGCAGTCTTTTGACGAAGAGGAAGGTGAAGCCAACAACTGATGCTGCCATGGAGGAACCCTTTGCTCTTATGCATGGGAAACACACGGGTGGGGTGGGGGAAAGTGATAGGGAAACCCCCTCTCCAGCTCCTGAAGTCCCCAAGCGCACGAGCACACTTGTTTGTTTGTTTTTAGTTTCACGGCAAGGTAAGCTGAGGACCAAAAGTGCTGGGCAATGCTAAGTCTCCCCCACCGACCCACCCCTTCCTCCTGCACATGTTGGGCTGAGCCTTCAAGACCTACTGCCTTGGACACCCAAACACAGAGAGCTCAGGGAATGCAAGACGGTGGCCTCCACTGGCTGTGTGGTGGATACAGGTTGTGCTTTTAGCAGAGATGTGGGTTTTTTTGAGGGGAGGCACACATTCGTACTTAATTCAGCGACACAGAAGATGCTGCTACGATGTGCTTTGGCTCTTGGGACTGGAGGGTCATTGAGGATACAGGCAAGAGTTTCAAACGGTGGCATCATGGAGAAGGAACAGCGAGGGCGTGCGGCTTTGTAGACAAAAATGTACCGCAGCAAAATTTGCAGCCCCAGGGCCCGTCCTAAAGTGAGGTGCTGCTTGGAGAGGCACTCTGGACTTGGGTCCGAGAAGAGAGTGATGTGTGGAGTGATGTGACTCTGTGGATGTGCAGGCCATGCACCAGAATGAGGCTCTGTGGGTACCAACCATCCTTTGATGTGGACAGAGCTGCTCTATGAGTCCAGCCCAAACCTCATTCTCCAGCCCGTGTGCGTTGTTGGCCTCTTCAGAAACCTTCCTTATTAACCCCCGTTACCTCTGCCTACCTACCTGGGAGCTGGAGAGAGGGGTTTCTCCCCCTATTTAATATTGGATACTGCATGCAGGGTAGGGGAAGGGGGAGGGTGGGTCATCTGCCAGTTTTCTATTTTACGCAGCCATGGAGTCCTCTCCTTCCAGCAGTCTGCAGGTGCAGAAACCAATGGAAGCAAGCATGCGCGGCTTCAGCACCACCCTTTCCCAGTTTCTGTTAGAACTTTTGTCGCTGTTCCCCTCTCCCTAATCTTTTTGTATTTCCAAGTAACAGTTTTTGAAGCAGAAGCTAACAGAGAGGGAATAGCCTGGGTGCCACTTGGCGTGAGGTCATATTCCTTTCCTAGCACCGCCAGATCTTCTGTAGTGCCAAAATACTGATGAAGCAGAGACTGGGAAAAGGGCAATTTTCCTTTTTCCGTTGAAATCTCTCTGTCTCCTTTTTATGTTGACAATGTAAATATTTCTCAGGCTTCATCTTGATTAGGAACGAAGAAAGGGTGAGTTGAGGGTTTTGCAGGGCATTTTTTTTTTTTTGACCGGGAGTGATTTTGTGAATGAGAAGTCATGGCTTATGGGACATACTTTTTAGTCTAAAGTCAATCCTCAATTGCTGCTTTGCTGCAAAAGACAAGAGGGGTAGTGTTTTATCAGCATAAAAACCACATTTTTATCCTCCTGCAAGTCTCCAGAAAATTATTTTTAAAAAATGGAAGAAAAGGATGGAGTGAACAGTTACATTTTGCTGGGCAAAACCACACGTTTGTTATTGAAGCGGTGGAAGCTTATTTCTGATGAGGAAAGTCTTGCCAAAGGTGACTGTAGGTTTATCTGATGAAGGGAATCCTTCAGGAAACAGCCCTGTCTCTGCTCCTCTAGAGCCTGACCTGGTCTGAGGCTTGCCGCTAATTACTTTCGGCAGACTACCGGTTGCAAGACCGAGGAGTGAACCAAGACGGAGGAGTGCTTCGCTTACCCATCTGGGGCGCTTTGTGCAGATAAAGAAGATGAGTCTTCAGCCCAGAACACTCTGGTTTGCATCCATAAGTTGTGAGTAGAAGGTGAACGGGACGCTATTGTTCATTCACTTTTGATGGAGAGACTAGTGGGAGGTTTTTCACTTCATGGATCTCAAAAGCTAAGAGGGCCCAGTCTTCCCTCTCCACTGCACTTTCCTTGAAAAAGCCTTCACGACCACGGACACGTGCTCAGGCAGAAGCAAGCGCAGCAGATGCCTGAATGAGAAGCCTCTTGGCAACCCTTCCCCACCTTCTCTCCTTTCCCTTCCTCTTCCTGGCTCCTCCAGTGGAGAGGCGGCTCGGATTCTGAGCTCTGGGGAATCCACCTCTCTCTTTTAAAAATATGTTTACATGCTACAGTGCCAACCTCTGAGGGCTAAGAGGATTGGATACAGCACTGCTCTGAATATGAGGGCGAACCCTCGTGTTCCTGCATTTATCTTAATTGCTGCGTTCTGGCTGGCTGTCAGTTTTTTTTGGGGGGGAGGGGGGATTCTGCTGGTGATGATGTAGAAGCAAGAAAGTGCAGAGCGCAACTTCTCTGCAAGTGAAGAATGGATGGAATTCCAGTTGCCCCAACATTTTAGAGCCTTCAGGTTCTCCAGAAAGCTTTGAGATGTCCTCAGTATTGGGGTTGGGGCAGGGGGCAGTGAGTCAGGCAGCCTGCTACTTCTTTCCTCCAAACCATTCTTGCTCCACGTGCCTATCCAGGACCAGGACTCAACCTGGATGTTTACGGTAATTCTGTTTCAATGTAAATGTATCCTGCTGTCATCTTGGCACTCACCGGACTCGAGACAAGTGGTTCATCTTGTCCAAACCCGTTCTTTTATTGTCTGTCTTTTTTAAAAACAAAAAATGCAAGCAACTTGTGTGCATTTGGTAATATTATGTGACACTAATGTTTTGGGAGACGTATATTTCTTTTTTCCTCTGTCTGAGATGTGGTGCATAAAGAGAGCAGCTTTCCCCACCCTTGGGTCTCCCAGATGTTGTTGGGCTACAACATCTGTTGTCCTTTAACCAGCATGGCCAGTGGTTAGAGATAACGTGGGTTGTAGCCCGAGTGCGCTAACTCTAGGGGGCGGAGGTGTCGCTCAGCCCCTTGAATATTGAGGGAGGAGGCTGAATCACTGAGCTGAGTGTGGCACAGCATCAAAAGCAGGCTCCTCCAGAGTTTGAGAGAGGAGGAGCTGCGGCCATTGAAGCTGTGCGGCGCTAGGCAAGGCGTGACATCACAAGCATGCGACACGCGAGTGATGTCACAAATGCGACGCGTCGCTGGGGCCCCCCAATCTTCAGCCACAAGCGGCGCCTCTGTTGTAGTCTAACGACATATGGGGACAAAAGGTTTGGGAAGGCTGCTATGGAGGGGCACATGGCTTGGCATCTAGCAAAGAAACAACAGGAGATAGAGAAGGAGGCTAATTTTGTGTTTTGGGGGAACCATACTGAACATTTCTGTAGAGTGGAATAGAGAATCACAACTCTGCTGTAGCATTCTACAGCCTGCCACTAGAAAGTCCTACTCAAAAACAGAGACTCCATTCTCTATTAAACTGTACAATTCCTGGAGAAGTTTTCTAAATAAACATTATTTCAGGACCATTCAACTCAATTTTAACTTATTTTTTAAATCAGGGGGTCTTGCCTTGCCATTCTGAAATTCTTCTGACATTTAAGGCAGTGTGTGTATGTTTCTAACTCTGTCCTCAACCCACTACTGAAACCTTGCCTGGCTAGCAAGAATTCTCTCTGCCCCCCCCACCCATTTTATACTTGGCCTTAGATTAGAAGAATTCTTAAACTTCAGCCCTCTGTTGGTGTTGCCTTCCAAGCTCTCAAGAGGTAAGGGGCTTGGTTTGTTGAGCCAAATTCAGAGAGAATAGTCAGCAAAAGCACTTGTGGCCCCCTAAAGATTAAGCCACGTGTCTCCTGGCATCAGCTGAAATGGATGAGGGCAAAAGCAATTCCTGATGGATCGGATCCTCATTAGCAGCAGATGTCCTGAAGGAGCTGTTAAGATAAACCGGGACTCCATGTGGCGAGGTTAGATCGGTGTCCTCAAACGTAAGTAAGCTGCAGTAAAGTGGTAGGTAGAAAAACTGCTCTCAGAACTATCAGAAAAGCGGCAGATAGGAGGGCGTAATGAACCCCCCTCCGCCACTCCACCACCTCCCCTCAGGATGTTTTCTCCATTACCTTAATTTATTTCTGAACATGAAGCATTGCTGAGAGAAAAGCAGCTGGGGCAGGGGCAGAGTTTTGCAAGGAGAAAGTGGCAGCGCTTGTGTTCCTGTGTTTTCACAGCCTGAAGTTCAGTTCTTGTAGAAAGCTCAACAAGGGAGAAAAACTGAAGCTTTGCATGTTTGGAAAGCAACCATCTAGGTTGAAGGGTGCCATGTTTCTTGACTCTCACTATAAATTAATATCTGCATGTGCAGTAATGGGTCCCCCCCCTCCTGTATTTTGCTATGGTACCTGAGTAATGTACATACAGCGCATCTGAACTGCGCATGCATTTATTTATTTTTAGTTGCTTGGTCTCTCCAAAGACACGTGAGCAGTGAAGAGGATCTGGTCTCCAAGGCCAGCTTGGAAACCACACAGTTCAAATATATGGCCCATGGCAAATGTATTTTGTACTCCCATATGGCTTATGTAAATTGATCAGCAATGAGCTTTAAGCAGTGGATGTTAAACACAATGAGTGAATGGTCTTTGGTTTGTAGAGTAACATCAGTAGAATTAACCATTGTGTGCTCATGCACAAGACGTTGTTACAAGGTGCCTGTAGGCTTATGCACAAAATTACTGATTTATATCCCTTTTCCACATAGAGGGACTATCTTTGAAATAATTAGAAATAGCCAGTTGTTAATGAGGTGAAATCTGGCTCTGCATTTTCATGGCACGGCTGTTTGGGTTCAGCCCATTAGAAGCCTTTAAAAAAAATTCTGCCGCTTAGTCCCTTCGTAGGAATGCAAAAGTACCATTCAGCAGAGCCTGGAAGACAAAGACTAGCATATCTGTATGACTACATAATCCACTCTGCTGCAATATCATAATGCTCACTTGGCTACATCGGCTATATAGTTTTATTTCAATTTTTTACTTCAGTTTTAGAAAATTTGCTTGAATGGGTAGTGAAAGCACTGCCAGAGCATTGTGGAAGGGTAGCTTTGTAAAATGTCTGTTGTTGAGAGCCCTGGTGCCTTCAGAGTTTGGGGCCCCAGGTTAGAGACCTATGGTTCTTCCTCCCCGCACCCCCAGCCATGAACCTTATCTCACCATCCGCATTGCTGGAAGAGCAGTGAAGCAGACTAGGAGTGGAGCATGGGTTTCAGATCTCAGCAAGCCTCTTGCGGGCTCTTAAAGCAGCCACAGATAATCAGGCACCTATCTAGCCTTGCTGGGTGCTGGCACTGGGCATAGTAAACTAAGGAGTTTAGGAATAAATTCCTTTTAAAAAAAGAACCAATTTCTGTCCTTGAAGCCTGAGGGTCAAATTAAAGGTGATGTTTCTTTAGGTCCCTTGAATTTGATGAGGCTGCTGCTGGGAGAGGTACTTAGCCTTTCAAATTGACCCAGCTCTGAGGGGGGAAATATGTCGAGTCTTATCCCTTGTGAGGGGAGAAGCAGATGGGTGGAGTGTTTTGTTTTTAGAAAACTAGCAGCCTGCAGAGAAAGGGTTAAGTCAACTCCCTCCACCCTATAGCTCAAATAAAAATTTGGAGCGCTCTGCAGCTGCACTAAAGGAAATAAACAAGACGAAGGTATTTTATTATGCCTCCTTCATCAAACCTAGTTTAGGCCTGAGTGCAATGCATCCATCATTCATGATTCTCCATTTCTCATCTGATAGCGTGTTGTTCAGCAGCACCTGCTGTCTCTGTTTTCTTCCTTAGTAAGGCATGCAGTTAAACCAACATAGTCATACATCCTGCTGCCAATGGGCGGGCGCAGCCAAGGTGGCTTGAAAACCTTAGGAATTCTACTTCACTTTGTAGAATATGTAAGACTTTCCCCAAGCGCTCAGAATAATTCATGTACAACCTCTGCTTTGTAAGACTTCAACAAATTATCTGGGTGGCTTGCGTAAGGTGACTTGCACGGTTAGAATACCAAGTAGCCAAAGTGCATAAGGAATGCATACCTTAGCATAGGCAGCATACAGCAGAGCTGAAATCAAAGTAGAAGAAAAATACAACAAAAGACTGGAAAAACAAAAAAAGAATTGGCTTGAAGCTAGAATGACATTAAGGCAGGCGCCAGGCAAGCCTCTCTAAGGAGAACATTTTCACCGCCATCATGACAAACCTATAAGTTAGACAAGTATGTCTTGGCCTCATTTCATCACTGGAGCAGATGATGCTTGGGGGATAGCAGCTCACCCAAATGCGGTTGAACATAGAAAGCAGTATGGTGAGCCAGTGTGGTGTAGTGGTTAAGAGTGGTGGACTCATAATCTGGTGAACCAGGTTCGATTCCCCGCTCCTCCACATGCAGCTGCTGGGTGACCTTGGGCCAGTCACACTTCTCTGAAGTCTCTCAGCCCCACTCACCTCACAGAGTGTTTGTTGTGGGGGAGGAAGGGAAAGGAGAATGTTAGCCGCTTTGAGACTCCTTTGGGTAGTGATAAAGCGGGATATCAAATCCAAACTCAAACTCCTCTATAGAAAGCAGAGTCACACCGTTGGTCCATTTTACTCATAGTGGCTCTCTCAAGATTGCATCCTCACCCTACTTGGCGATGCTGAAAATGGAACATGGGGCCTTCTACCTCCTAAGCTATGGCCCACCCCAGGATTTCATGGCAGAGATACTTGAACCCAGAGCTTCCCAAATTGCAGCACATTCTCTTAACCAGTACATTGCGCTAGTTTCTTCGACAGCTTGCCCGCAGATAAAGCAGACTGAGGCCGTGGTAATTTCCATGTCTGATTGATGAGCTCGGAAATGGAATGGCTTAGACAGAGAGATTTCAGGCTGAGATGTGTGGCTTCAGTTTCAGGGTGTTTGGCAGGATAGGCTGGGTTTAATAGGCTTTGATAACCCTGTTCAGGCGTTCACCCCACATGTGGGTCAAATTGCAGGGGAAGCAGAGGGGCCCTTGTTGGCCCTGCTGCCTTCTGTCACGTTTGTGTTGCTCCGCTTCCCCTCAGTAAGCTAAAGAGGTGACTTCAATGACAGGGAGCCTGCCCTAGCCATGTAGGCTTTCTCTGTGTGGGGCATAAATGCCCCAACAGAGGGCTTTGTTAGCTGGTTGAGTGGCTCTGAGCACAAGCAGGTGTTGCAATTCTGTGTTTCCTCTCTTGATCCAGCTCACAGGGCTGCATGTATTTAGTCTCAAACACAGTGCCCAAAAAGCTAAAAGGACTCCACCTCTTTTCAACAGACATATTCAAGTTTGGCCTGATCTGAAATGAAACCATCCCACTTCCACTGCCGGCACTGTTCATCCAGCAGTTGCTAATGATGCTCTTCAGCAGTTTTTCCCAAACTTGGGTCTCCAGCTGTTGTTGGACTACAACTCCCACAAGCCCCAGCTAGCAGGACCAGTGTTTGGGGATGATGGGAACTGTAGTCCAGAAACAGCTAGAGGCCCAAGTTTGGGAAACGCTGCTATTCAGGACGGAGAGGGTGGCATCTTTTTCCCCTTACCAAACAGCTGATCAGGGTGGTTTCTGGGAAGCTTTTCTACACAAGTTCCATCAAAATGAGCCAGTGCATAATGGATCCTCTTCATTTCAATGGAACTTGTTTTGTGCTGTTTTAATGAATTGCACTTTATGGGTTTCCAGGTATGGTCTGAAAGCACATGAAGCCACCTCCTTGTTGAAGCTAAACAGGTCTGGGTCTGAGCAATGCCAGGATGCCAGGCTATCTGGGAACCACAAATATAATGCCTTGTGTTCAGTGATGAACACAAGAAAGAAGGGGTATAGGTGTAAGAAAAGAAATAAATAAGATACGTTAGTGGGAGGGTGTCATTTGGTTTTTTTCCAACGCAGTCCTATCTTAGACTGGCCTAGAGTGAAAATAATTTTCTGTAGTTGTTGGACAGCCTCTAAAGCAAGAAGTGTTGTACAACCAGCCATTGTGGCCCATAAACCAGTGTGTTGTGGAAGGGAAAGTTGAACGTTGGCTAGTGCCTCTGTTTACCATCCTTTCTCTGGTTACTTTGATAAGATTGAAGTCTGAGTCTCAGGTAGCCAAGCCGTGGCTGAGCTGGTGCCCTCATTTTAGGGTTTTGTGGTCATGTAACAAATAGGTGGTAAGACGGCAAATGGAGGTAGGTGATTTGGTTGCAAAAGGAGTGAAATTCTGTAGCCGTTTCCCACCTGAATGTCACCTTTCCATGCATCATATCAGCTCCGGCACCAGACATTTTGCTGCAGCCTTGCTCTGGGTCTTCCTTTAATTTCATATGCAGGAGAGAGGGATACTTATTCCTGAACATCCACTTACCTAAGACCTTATTTCTGTTTTCTAAAAAAAAAAGCATGAAATGCTTAGGAGAAGTTTTTATTGTATCTATACAAGGAAAGAGCTCTTTGTTTAATGGTGGCACAACCCTTGACTTGTAAGCAAGCTGAGACCAATTCATATAAAAGCCATGGGAGTGGGAAATGATTGAAGTGAGAAGGAAACAGGCAAGTATTTCTACCCTCTCCTCCCAAAACTGGTTTCCATCCAGCTGTTTTCTCCTTGCAATGCTTGCATGGTCTCAAGACCCTGCAGGGAGTGACATGGCAGAGTTAAATGGGGGGGGGGGGAGACAGCGAGAGAGAGAGGAAGAAAGAAAGAAAGAAAGAAAGAAAGAAAGAAAGAAAGAAAGAAAGAAAGAAAGAAAGAGAAAAGCACTGGAAGTGTTTAATCCACTCTGTTCTGAACGCTCCTCCAGACAAAATAGAGTACTAGATATGAGGGTGAAGGGTTCTAACTTAGACTTCTCCCCAACATAGGTTTTCCATGTGCAAGGAAGTTTTTGTATGTAAGAGCGTTTAGTCGCGTGGACCCACAGTTGCAGCCTGAAGTGGTACAGTCCATATGCAGAGTTATCCCTTCAGGGCTAAAAAGAAAGAAAAAGGGCTTCCGTGTTCTCTGAAATGGGTTCCGCTTTCTTTCCACACGTTCCAGGCCAGGCTTACCCGAACCCTTTTTCCGCAGGCATCTCTTCAGATCCAGAATGCCTTTTCCTTAAAGTCTACAACCTCCTACGTCTGGGTTTTGTCCAAAAGTCCATTTGAGCAACCTTTGCTCCGATTCCTTCTGTTGTTTCCAGAAACCATGCTATGTGTGAGACAGAAACAATTTTGTGAATATAAGCTACTATCCTTTAATATTTATCTGGTTCATTTGGTGCTGTGCATGAAGTGGTGGAATCCTTGGGGTCCTCCCAGCTACAAAATGAGCCTCAAAAATGATTTTGCAATGAGCAAATTCTTTTTTTTTAACCGCTATTTTCAGGGGTGGGCAGGGGGGGATACTACAGATTATAGGGGTTGTGTGCAAGGGAGCAATGGGGACTGATCTATTAAAGCACGTTTAAAAGTTACCAAAGGTTGGGGGCTTAAGTTTGGGTGGTTTTTTAAATATATATATATATGAATTGCATCAGGAGATTACGAGGAGAGGGGCAGCTCTAAGTCCTTTTCCTGCTCTGAATTTCTGAAAAAGGGGTGAAGTGTAGAATCTTCCCATCCTTTACGGATGACATTTATTGAGGTCTGTGACTTTTCAGGGAGAAAGGAGGGTAATAGGGAAGAGCAGGACAAGACATGGGTCTACAGTTGTAACCCTCTCACCACTACCGGCACCCCTTCTGGCTAGGGGAGGGGGAAGCCCCCTACCAGACAAGCAAACAAACAACAAACAAAAAACAGATTTGCCTTTGGTCTTCCAGCTCCAAAATGTCTTTGCTTGAAACTTTTTTGCTGGTTATTCTGCGCATGTTTTGATAATGTGACTTATGAGAATTATATCTTCTATAAATATATATATATATATACCATATATATAAATATATATATGTAACTATACAAATAGATATAAAAACTATATGGCGACCATGCCTGGTTGTGGTTCACACCCACTGAGGATGAGGGAACATGGCCTGGAAGGGCATGTATGAACCTCGTGAAGTTATTGTTATTAAACAGCACGTGGTTTTGCCATTGTGGTTGGTGGAAGTGTGTTTTATTTCCGTGCGGGAGGTCTTACCAGATGCACTGTGCGTATTCTGAAAGGGAGGTGGTGGGTGTGGCGATCACACAGGGTCCCTGGACGTTTCACCGTCTATTGGTCCCTGTGCCACCACTTTATTTCTAGCTGCCGCCACCCAGGCCCTACCTGGTACAATACTGAGTCCAGTCAGGGTTAAATTGGAACATAAACTTCTGTTTATTTATTGCAGTTTAACAAGTGTGTGGTTTCATAAACAGTATCGATCAATTACAATCATGGGGTGCCTATCCAGACCTATAACTTCCGCTATCTGCTCTCACTCACTAAACCACCTCTCAGATATTTACTTGTCTTCCTAGCTCCTAACTATTCCTGACTCAGCTTATTTATCTACACTAACTCAACCTACCCACAAACTCTATCCCAATTCACTCCCACTCCAACCAAACACCCAACTCCTCAACAAACTCCTCCTCCGCCCCTCCCAGAGCTGGTTTTATAGTCCCTCTGACTCCACCCCCCTGGGTCCTGATTGGGTAACCTGTTTAACTATTTCACCTCCATCACTCTCATATGTTAACGTCACAGCGGGGAGCAGGAGAAAAGGATGGGAAAATGTGGCTGGGCTAAAAAAGCACCAACGATATAAAACCCACCCACCCACACTTCCACAAAAGCTCTCGTTTTGTGTAGACAAAGTATTGCTTTTCTCCACCGAGTTAGAAAAAGGGCACTGTGGTATTCCCAGTTCATGTCTGGCACATATTACTACCTTTTTGACTTGCAGAACACTGGCCATCTCTAGGTCACCAAATGGCGGCAAACGCCACCCAAAAGGGCAGCCATGTTTCTCCGCTCCTCCATAAGGTCTGTAGAACTTGCCTTAGTTCATGTCACAATATCACACATTTCCCTGCCAGTAGAGCACGAGACTCTTAATCCTAGGGTTGTGGGTTCAAGCCCCACGTTCAGTGAAAGAGTCCTGCATTGCGAGGGGTTGGACTAGATGACCCTCGTGGCCCCATCCGACTCTACGATTCTATGAAAAGCCCATTATGGGGTTGGTGGGAAAGATAGCAAGGACATAATGATGGCATAACCAGAGGTAGTGCCCACTATATGGAGGGGGAACGGGCTGGGAAATGGACTCACAGTTGCGATTCCTGACAGCGAGTGCATCTACAGCAGCTGTTCCCATCCTGGTGCCCTCCAGCTGCTTGAGACTACAAATCCCATCAGCACCAGGGCGGGAAAGGTTGGTTTATAGTCATGATGTTTTGGGGGCTTAGGTTGTGTCTTTGCATTGGCCGAGCTCCCAAGCAGTTAAAAGATGTAGTATATTTAGCCAGACGACGCAGTGTATATTTTAAAATAAGACAAAGTTTAATGTTCCTGTTCTTTAACTTTACATACATTGTTAGACGTTAGGATTTTCATTTTTGGGCTCCCCCTTCTATCGATGGAGATGATGCTCAGACCCTGCCTGATACTAATGAAAGGTAATAGGACCTGTTGCCAGAATACAGCCTTTTTGACAGTGGAGAACCTGGCCTGGCCCAACGAGCCTTGTAACTTCCTTGCCCTGGCCCCTCCCCTGCCTCAGAATGACATTCCATTACAGTCACATTATATATGAAACATTGGGGATGGGGGGATCGTTCCATGAAAGAATGCGGCATGACCCAGAAGAGGAGTACAGTTCTAAGAGCCAAGATCAAGAGGCAAACAAAAACAGAGAGCAGCAACTTCCAAGAAGCACACTTCTCCTCCATGCTAACCAAGACCTGTGTTGTCAGTGAAGACACTTCCGTTCATACATGTGAGCAAGACCATTATCAGAAGAATTTTTTCCCCACCAACTCCGAGAAGCGCACCTAGACAGGTACTGGACATATGATGTATCCCCTGAACAATAATAATAATATACCACCTGTTGAGATTGTTGGCCTAGAAACCAATAACCCAACCTAAAAAGCTATGGGTACATCCCAGACCCTTCAAAACATAGGGAAGATGCTTGTTGACTCACACGAAATACAAGCAAAAAGTAACATACATAACATTCTTGCTGTCATGTTTTGGTTTCTTTTTAAATCCTGCTTTATACTTATTGACCTGTGTCTGGGCTGTACAATTTCACACTGCTGACCCTTCAGAAAGGGGTGCTCAATAGCTTTACCTATGAAATCCTATATGGAGGAGCATTCAGTTCTGTAAGTCCCCACCCACTCCTGCTGCCGAAAGCAGAGGGACACAGACATGGGCTGATGCTGTCCATGAGAACCAGGCCATATTCTGTTTGGGGGTTTTCTGTTTTTGTTTTTTTAAGTAAAACGTCCAAGTGCTGTCACTGTGTTCACAGACTATGTATCTTAACATTTGTATGTACTAATAAATATATTTTCTATGTGTCGTCGTAACTTGGATGCATATTTTGACAATATTTATTTATTGTATGGATCTGTGTGCTGCTGTAAATGTTCAAGGTGGCTCACATTAGTATAGTTGAGCCTAAGCCAAAATTGTTACTATTCCCCAAGGTGTGCACATATGCAGCTGCCTGTGAGTTTGTCTTAGCTTTCCACTAGGAGCTTGCAAAAGCTTTCAAAATTCCCATAGGACTCAGCGTTTGAGATGCTGGCCTAATTCTTACAGTGGCAGTAGCCCTTCATCTGGACTGTAACACCTGCCTGACACTGAGTTTTCTATGCGAGAAGAACTTTGGGATGGAGGAGAATTCTAATAATAATAATAATAATAATAATAATAATAATAATAATAATAATAATTTATTATTTATACCCCGCCCATCTGGCTGGGCAGCACCAGCCACTCTGGGCGGCTTCCAACCAAATATTAAAATACAGCAATACATCAAACATTAAAAGCTTCCCTAAGCAGGGCTGCCTTCAGATGTCTTTTAAAAGTTTGGTAGTTGTTCTTCTCTTTGACATCTGGTGGGAGAGCGTTCCACAGGGAGGGTGCCACTACCGAGAAGTCCCTCTGCCTGGTTCCCTGTAACTTGGCTTCTCGCAGTGAGGGAACTGCCAGAAGGCCCTCAGCGCTGGACCTCAGTGTCCAGGTAGAATGATGGAGGTGGAGACACTCCTTCAGATATACAGTGGTACCTCGGGTTACATACGCTTCAGGTTACAGACTCTGCTAACCCAGAAATAGTACCTCAGGTTAAGAACTTTGCTTCAGGATGAGAACAGAAATCGTGCTCCGGCAGCGCGGCAGCAGCAGGAGGCCCCATTAGCTAAAGTGGTGCTTCAGGTTAAGAACAGTTTCAGGTTAAGAACGGACCTCTGGAACGAATTAAGTACTTAACCCGAGGTACCACTGTACTGGACCGAGGCCATTTAGGGCTTTCAAACACATGAACTTCCACATGCAGTTTGAAAGGGTGCTGCCCAGAAGCAGGCTTACTGCTTCAAGAACTAGGCCTCTAAAGGCAGATTTGCAGGATGCTGAAGGTAGGGCTACAGGTGCAGCAGACATGAGAGGCAAGTACAAGAGGAATAAAAATAGTTTTTGCTGTTGACTCACTGTGCCATGTTTACTGCTTGGCAGGCACCATGCAGTTCTTGCCTTCCATATCCACAGCTGAAAACTCTGCAGAGCACTGAGGTGCATGCAGATGGCGAACAAAATAAGTACATTTGGCAGCAGACCTGCTTCCCTTTTCCCACAGATTTTGGAATCTGCCTAGAGCTCAGAACTGTCTAACCTTGAAATCTGCCCAGAATCACATGTTTAAATAACCAGGTTAATTTAAGGTTACCAGACATCCCCGTTTCCCGGGGACAGTCCCCAGATTTACACATCAGTCCCCATACAAAATCCTCTGAAGTTGAAAAGTGTCCCCGGATTCATTGAAAAAAAATCTGGTAACCTTAGGTTATTGTTATTATTGTTATTATTATTATTATTATTATTATTCGATCACTATCCCCTTTGTGATGAATGCATATGTCAGAATCCCCATGCACAGTCCTCTTTAACAGCAGTGAATGTGTCACCAACAGGTTGCTTAAATGTTAAGATGCAGCTGACCTGTCATTAATCCTGCGCCTACACCCTTGGGCCTGACCACATGGTGATTTTGAGTGTGACCAAGCATACTGATTCAATACATCCAGTTTTGCCACAAGCTCCCTGGGAACTGAGATGCCGCTCGTATAATAGAACAGGTGAATTGCTGGCAAAGGACAGTGAGCTGTACCAAAATGCTGTCCAAAATGGTTCTGATGGAGTTGGGGTAGGTAGACACCTGATGTCAAGCTTAGCTACAGGATTGCCACAATCTTTCCCCAGAAGGGCTCCTAACAACTGCATGGCAGACAAACTCAGTAGGTGATTTGTTTCCTAGCAGTTACTGAATTTCCAAGTAGCAAACAGCTGTTGAAAACATGCCCACGCACACCCAAATGTGCCATTTCTGAGCCTAAGAAACTACCATCACATGAGTGTATTCATAAATGTCCTTTCCAGTGTTTTCTCCATGTGTATGAGACAGCTTTCGGGCTGGTGATTTCTGCTTGTAATAACTTTGTTTTTATTTCCCCATGGAACTGTCCAAGAAGGCCGGAGAATTCTAAAAAAGGTAAACATTGCATGTCATCAATTTCACATAGGCAGGACAGGCATTTTCCTCCTCCAGGTGGTATTCCCCTGCATGTGCAAGAAATGGCAATGCAGATCCTCCTCTCTGGTAAGCCAAGGCTTGCTCAGGAGTAGGAGCAGGAACAACTGAGACCACTTCACAGACAGTGGCTGAGGAGCTTTGGCGAAGCTGTGTGGAGGCATTTGGGGGTTGGGCAAAGGCAGATCTAGGGGAGCACAACCAGTTCAGGTGCAGAGCTTTTGGGGTGCCGGATTTTGACGTTGCACAGAGAGCATATACTGGTGTAGAAGAGAGCACAAAAATGCTAACCCTAACATACAAAACGCATTGCATTAGGGAAAATTGCATACAAAAATGTGTGTATTAGAAATTGGCCCTAAAGTGTTGATGAATTTTAACGAGGGCTTTATTATTTTTTTAAAGGAAAGAAACTGATGTGGTGAACTGAAATTAGCGCAGGAAAAAGGAGGAACCCAGAGAAACCAAAATTGACTGATTCACCCACCCTAATTGAGCAGTGAGGGAACTGGAGTGCAGGACTGGAAGACACAGCTAAGACTTCAGGGAGGACAAAACTGTGTTTGTAATGGCTAGCTCAAAAGACAGGCATTTTTCTCTTTTAGATACTACCCACTTAAAACAGGGTCAGCCGTCATTCTCTCCCAGGAAATGTCATTGCAGATTGTTCATAATAGAATGTTCAGCACCTTTGCCAAACTTTTAAGTTTTGGGGAGAAGCCGTGGCTGTTAAACTGGTAGAAAGCCTATAGGCAACTGTAATAGAGATGGGCTCACAGAAGCAGCAACTGTTTCTTCCTCCACTTGCCACCTCTTGTCACATCCGTTTCTTCGCAGGAATTCTAGTGATTAAGACAACTGCTTTGCATAAGTGTCCATCATGTCATGGTAAAAACGTAAAAAAAAAACAAAAAACCTTTTAAGACTATGTGCTACCTTGCTCAAACTTTTGCCTCGCTAATGATCAGAAAACTTCAGAATACTACCCTTTCTGGTTGTATCATTTTCTTACAGCCTTCAGATAAAGCTTCAGCCATTATGTGTGCCAGAGAAGGCTTCAGCATAGGTCTCCCTAGCTGGGTGGGAAGCTATATGGGAGCAACGTGCTGTGCCTATGCTCATTTCTCTGATCCAGCAGATGTGGTGGTGGTGGCTGAATTTGTTTTTATTAATAGATTTTCTGGGGTTGAGGTGGGGGCACTAATTTATTGGCTTTCAGGGAGCCAGGTTAATTCCCCTTCTTCCCGCTCAGCAACCCAAAGCAGGATTTTAAAAGACTTCTGCAAACAGAGCCCTGGTTGTGTTACATTTCCTACAGTGAGTCAGGGCACTGAGTCTTTCCTTCATTTCATTTTCACATCTCCAAGAAATATACAAAACAAGTGATCAGACTGAGCAGCTGCCTTCTTTTTCTCTAGCGGGTGGGGCAGAGATACTCTTCTCTACACATACTGAGCTCGGCCTTTAAATTCCAAAACACATCCTGACCTGAGCCGCACACTTGAGTGGGATATATTGGAAAAATGTTGTTATTTCCGGAACATTGGACAAGGATGGGTCCGGAAAAGCAGCAAAAAACACATGTGGCTTAAAGCTGCAATTCTCAGGAGAGGGGTTTCTGAGATGTGCAAAGTGGTAAAGACGAGAGAGTTTCACTCCGGGAGCATGAAGGGAAGGGCACCACCGCATAAATTCCCCACTTATGGGCCTGTTGACAACCTGGGTTGCATTCTTTCCACAGCCAGTCTGGGTTAAATCCTTTGTCTACTTCCTCTCTAAGCTAAGTATTTCATCAAGCAAGGTGAGGAAAATGTTGGTGGCCATGTCATTTAGTCTAAAGAGAAGTTTCTGCACAGCCTGCCATGACCATCTCTCCACAGGGGATGGAGCCCTATGGAATGCCTAACACAGCATGGTAATCAAAGTACACCCCACCCCATTGATAGTGGCAGAAGGAAGAGTCAGCCCATGTAGCCAAGGCTCTCCAGTGCGAATTACCATCCGTTAGTGCCAGAGAAGCTGCCCACAGGCCTTTCCTTGAAGCGCAAGTATGGCAGGAGTAGCTTGGGTGAAGGGGCAAGACAGGTGCCTCCTCTGTACAATTATAGTGGCACGTCGTCGTCGTCATCCTCAGACACGTCTGTGGGGCGCAGGTTGAGGTCCTTCAGGATGCCTGAGATGTTCTCAGCAGCTGGGCCAGAAAGCTCCAGTTCCTCCAGTTCCATATCAGCCACTGAGGCAGAGCGCACCACCGCCTTCCCTCCACTGGGGGCAGGAGAGGGTGGCGGGAAGGGAGAGCCAGGGGCCACCGGGCTCTCTGTCCCTGAGTCTACTGCGGTACTGCTGGGAGCTGCTGCCGCCGCCGCTGCCGCTGCATCACTGTCATGCTTGCTCCACATCTGTGCAGTCCACTTGGCCTGCTCCTTGCCACCCGCCGTCTGGGTAGTGTCACGGAAGCTGGCCAGGGGAGGACGAAGGCGAACACCAGAGCTTGTGGTGCCCTCAATCGCTTTCTGGAGCTGAGAGTTACAGAGAGGGAATGAACAGATGCACCACCACCACCAAATAAACAAGTCTACAGTTCTGAAGGACCTGGAAATCTCCACCAACATTCTGAGTGCCTGGCGCCTCCTTGGCAGGTGGAGGTGGGTATGGCTATAAATGAGTCCATCTCGAATCAAAAGATCAGAAAATATCCATGCAAAGGATGCTAGGTCTCAATTTGTAGAATCTCAATAGAAATACTCGGCCATATCTACACCACAGATAACTGTGGTTTGAGCAGACTTTGCATCATCCCAGGAAACCCTGACAATGACAGTTCTACTCAGGGACTAAAGGTAAAGTTAAAGGACCCCTGACAGTTAAGTCCAGTCGCGGACGACTCTGGGGTTGTGGTGCTCATCTCGCTTTACAGGCCAAGGGAGCCGGCATTTGTCCGCAGACAGTTTTTATGGGTCATGTGACCAGCATGACTAAGTCACTTCTGGCGCAATGGAACACCGAAACCGGAGCAGCGCACGGAAATGCTGTTTACCTTTCCACTGGAGTGGTACCTATTTATCTACTTTTTGGCGTGCTTTCAAACTGCTAGGTTGGTAGGAGCTGGGACCGAGCAACAGGAGCTCACCCTGTTGTGGGGATTCGAACCACCGACCTTCTGATTGGCAAGCCCGAGAGGCTCAGGGGTTTAGACCACAGCACCACCTGCATGCAGGGCCTAGAAGCCTTTAATAAACAATCATCAGCACCATCACTAGCTAACATCCCATTAGTGGGGCAACTGTGAGACAAAACCAGCAGAAACTCGCTGGAACTGAGTTCCGGCACCTCTTTTCCTAGAAAAATAGCACTGGATAAAACCAGTGTCAATGTACAAACATGGCAAGATTGCCTTGATCATACCTCTCTTTAAAACTATTTGTCTGCCTTGAATCGTAGTGGCTGAATCTTTTACTCCTCTAGGCAAGAGCCAACTGGCATTGGACAATGCAATGACTATCTGAGACTGATCAAAGGAATACAAAGGTAGCAAAGTTAAATTTACCTCTTCCAGGGCAATCACACCTCTCAGCTTCCCCATACTGGTTACATAGGCATGGCTGAGTCCCAGCAATGAAAACAAGGTGTGTGTCTGTGAGAGGGGAGAGATAAGATAGTTTCTATCAGTGAGAAAAGAGAACAGGGCAGTCATTGTAGATTCATGGAGAATCTGAATCGGACGTGGTGGATTTTGTTGCACCCAAGTCCAGAAGAGAAAATTCAGCAAAGCCAAGAGATGAAATCTTCATGCTTGGAGCTGAACCATTAATGGTGTAGATCCCACCTACTGTAATGTTTTGTTGGTGTTGAGAAGAAATTGTGGCAAGTCAGCTGGTATTAAGCATAACATACTGAAATTAATGTAGCGTAAGAACCATAACTACAGAAACTGAATTACAGATTATGTTTTCATCTGAATGAATCTGATGAGCAGTTCTGTACTACATGTGACCCTCCAAGCTCAACCCAGGTCACTGCCAGGTGTTGGCTTGTCAGGGGCTTGAGAACCTTTTGTGTCTGCCCCACCTCCCCCATAAGTCCAGGCAAGTGGGCAAATGGCACCACACAAGTTGGGTGACCCACTAAAGTTTCAACAAACCCAGGGCTTTTTTTCAGGGGAAACTCACTGGAACTGTCAGGTGGGTTTCATTGCCATTCTATGAGAAAGAGAGAGGCGTTCATGATGAGTTCCAGCACCTATTTTTCTAGAAAAATAGCACTGAACAAACCTCTTGTTTATGGAGCTCACCTGAAACTAAAAAAACCTAAAGTTCTCAAATACCTGGCAGCTCACAGTAGACGGTTGATGATGGCTGTGCTCTACTTGGGAATCACAAGTTGTCCAGGTTATGGTCAGGAATGGCTGTGCATTCCAGGGGAGGTGGAGAGGGAGGAGAACTGATGAGGCATGGATTTGTGTCTGTAAAATCGTGGCACAGGCCCTACAACAGGAAGGTCTGAGAGTTCTGTCTTTGGCTGTTTGTCTCTTGCATATGTGAAAAAGTAGCAGCAAGTAACCCCAATCTCAGCAATTCTTGGCTTTGTGACTATGAAATACAGTTTTGACCAAGAGTCGGGGGGCAAAGTAGACAAGATTGGAAAGCAAGAGGAGGGCTGGGGACTGTGGGGGCTGGCCAAAGATGGCGGTGGGAGACGGAAAGGGACAGGACAGCGACACTCACCTTGTGCAGGGATGTCCTCTCCACCAGCTGGAAGGGTGAGGGGTCTATGCGGCAGCTGTTGAAACACACGTTTTTCTCTAGCTCCTCCTGCTCCCAAGCTTCTATCTGACACAGGAAAGATGCATTCACACACAGAGGTTGCACTCCTATCTTTTCCCAGGCTGCTGCTGCTGCCGCCACCCATATCCCATAGATCATATATGCTCTACCTTCCTTGGGCCATTTCAGGCAGGCTCCTCAAACAACGTGTGCTGCACTTAGTGCCCTGGAAGCCTGCCTGAAGTCATTTCTAATGGGGATTACGTTCTCCTTATTTCCTGTCTTCCTTGTCTCTTCTACCCCTTTCGCCCTTGTTGTCTGTTGTGCTTGGAACTCCTTGTCAGAACAACTTCCCCTCTTTCCAGCTGACCTTTTCCATAAAGTCTATGGGTTTAACTCATTACTCCTCATCCCCTGCTGAAACTAATTCTTCTTTGGAGATCACTCATAGCCGAGTAAAACTGTCTTCCATAAACACGGTCTTAACCGTGAGTCCATATGTGACTGTGGAGGCCAATTCTGGTTCCACACGTCCTTCCACAGTGGGGACACAGGTTTCCGGGTGGGAGTTGATCATGGTGAGGGTTTGCCAAGTGCGCCTTCCTCTTAGCACATTTCTCCCTTTTGTCCTGAGCTCGAGTGTCTTCAAAGCCCATGACACCTTTGGTAAAGGCTGTTCTCCAGTTGGAGTGCTCTCAGGCCAGTGTTTCCCAGTTGTCGGTGCTTATAATACATTTTTAAAGATTTGCCTTAAGAGAGTCTTCACTTAAACTAATAAGTTTAAGTGAAGCACTCTTCCTGCCTTGAATTCTGAGCACTGCAATTTGTTATGGATTGCTGGGAATTGCAGCTCTATGAGGGATAAACTACAGTTCCCACCAGAATTCTTTTGAGGGGGGAAATGTTCTTTGAAGGTATAGTGTGTACACAGCTCAAGTTTGTCCTGGGTCAGACTAGAAATTAAAGTAGGAATTTAGACCTTGTGTCCTCACCAATATGCCACTTCGGCAAATAATGAGAGAAGTTATAGACCCTAAGCTGGTCTATGACCATAATAAAGATTTGATTTGATTTGTTATAGACCCTTCTCTAAGGACATTAATGGCACACGAACGAAGAGTTAATGTTCTAGGCTGCAATCCTGTTCATGGCTATGTGGGGCTGATGGGGTATAAGAAGCAACACAGATTAAAATAGTTTCATTTCCTTTTTTGCAAATTAATTTTGAAAGGATCTGTCTCCCTAAACCTTGCTGACAATCTCTCTTAGAATCCACTCACCCAAAAATATCTGAGACAGTTCTCTTAGTTGACATCTAGGGCTGCGTACACAATTTACCTTTTTATTTTATTTTTAATATTTTTTATTACATTTTACATAATTTTATCGTCAATGTATCACTCACATAACAGAAAAGAAAAAATACTATTCCCAAATCTCCCCCACCCTTCGTGACTTCCCTCAACTCCCTCTTCTGTTTGTTTGTTTCTTACATATTAATTTCTCCTGCTTGTTTGGTATTCTAACTTTAAAAGTCTTTAAAATAGTTATTATTGTCCTCTTGATATTTTAACATCATAGTTATTAGAGAAGCTTTTAATGTTTAATAGGTTATTGTATTTTAATATTCTGTTGGAAGCCGCCCACAGTGGCTGGCGAAACCCAGCCAGATGGGCGGGGTATAAATAAGAAGTTGTTGTTGTTGTTGTTGTTGTTATATTTTCTGTATCTATTTTGGTAATTGTAAGTGTTTAATCAAAATCTACTAGTGAGTCCATTTCACCGCATTGTTTCCGTAGGTGTAGCATAAATGGTTCTCAATCTTTCTTAAAGTCTCTATTGTCCTTATCTCGAAGTCTTTCAGTTAACTTTGCCATTTCAGTGTATTCCATCATTTACGCAGTTTGCCTTTAAAACACATTTCCCGCCTCAAAGAATTCTGCTTTAGAGGCAGAGCAGAAGATTCAATATGTGTAGCTGACCTGAATGCATATATGTGTCCTCCTACGTTTTCCTCCATCTTCCTCCCTCTAGGTTAAATTTTAGATTGTAAGCTACCTGGGACAAGAAGGTGCTTACTGTTCATTGCTATGTAAAGCACAAAAAGCCCCAACTTCTTGCCAACTGAGAAAGGGGGCAAATCTTGCAATTTCTTTCCAAAGCAATCCCATGATTGGTCCATGGCAACTCCGGACATGGGGATGGCAGCCTGGTCAGTTCTCCCCACCCCTCTGCCCCTCTCTTATGCCTCAAAACATACCTCTTCTGGCTTCATTGGGTCTTCAAACTCTGGGGACTCCTGGTGGGAACAGAAAATAAATCCCAAGATTAGATCAAGTATTGAATACACATCAGATTCTCAGGATAGGAGAAATGCAGTATCTTCCTTAATAAGCCTCAGGGTTTCCTTATTTTTATTCATTTTCTTTACATAGTACAAATATGTAGAATGTTGATGTGAGTTTTAATCCGGTTTTAGGTCATCAAGGATTTATTTTAATTTTTTTAAAAAATGTTTTCAATGTTTTTACTGATCGTTTTATTGTTACGTTCTTTTTTATTTTATGAAATAACAAACAAATAAATAGTGCTCATCCCACCCACCTGGATATAACGGCACAAAGGCCCCAAAACAGATATAAAGCCCAAAATGCAAACTATATACCTGTGAGGTGAAATTGTCTGCAATCCAATAGTACAAAAGCAAAACAGAAGAAACACAATAGGGACCAAAAGGCAGTTTTAGGTCAATCAAACGTTAAGGCTCCCCGCCCCCGTCCGCTGCCATTTTGGTCACACTCCAGGACCAACCAGTCCGTCATTTTGAGGTGTCATCCCAACAAATGCTCCTGTCTTAGAAGCCAGCAGCTCCTGCTTTCCAGTCAGGCACAAAGGCCTCCTCACCTGCTCAGCCATCTCTTGCTGACGTGGAGGGTGGTAAAGGCACAGGAGGTACCGTATCAGTCTCCTCAAGCGCCAGAATCTCCGTCCTGTGGGAAGTAAGACCAGAGGAAGGAATGTGTGGTGCCCCTACCTGCTCCATAATCTAGACCAGGGGTCAGCAACCTTTTTCAAACCATGTGGTGGGTCAGACTATATTTTGGGAAAAATATGAATGAATTCCTATGCCCCAGAAATAACCCAGAGATGCATTTTAAATAAAAGGACACATTCTACTCATGTAAAAACACACTGATTCCCAGACCGTAAAAACACACTGATTCTCAGACCGTCCGTGGGCCGGATTCAGAAGGCGATGTTCCCTACAGTAGGACAATAAAGGCTTGTTCACACAAGGGTGAACACCCCCTGATGACTCAACACCTGGTGGCTCACAACAACTGAATTTGTGAAAAGTGTTGTGCTTGGGGTTGATGTGCGGTCGCATAAATGCGCTTTGTGATGCTTCATCTATGGCGGCTCATCCACACATGCAAGCAACCGTCTGGTGCTGCAGGCATCAAGTGATTAACCAGTATACGTGATCAAGTGGGATGGGAAAAGAAATTGCTGGAAGGGATGAGTTTTAAAGGGCAAATGATGAGGCACAGCAGGGATATATTCAGGGTGATGACGGGACCAGATACCGGGATGGAATTTCCATAACACCTCAGCTAAGAAAGGGGGTAAGGCCAAGTAGGGCTTTCTTCCCTTTTCCCAGGGACTCAGCTACACTTGTCAATTATATCATTATAACTATGTTATAAACATATACACCAGATGGCTCTGTAGAGCAGTGATACATCACCAATGGAATTTTGCATTGAGAGCTTTTATAGCATTTTTTTTCTATAGCTTTTTTTTTTTAATCAGTGCAGATCCAGCCCAGCAAACATGTGGCCTGGCAGCAAGTTGTCTAAACCACAGGGACTATCAAAGAAAGAGGATAGGAAGCAACATGACTGAATTTGTGAAACAACAGAAATCATGTAGCAGCATGAAGGGAAGCCTTGGCAGGAGAGGTGACCAAAGTATGGGGCTTCCTGTATCTTCGCTCCTGTTTTCCTCCAAGTGAGCAAAGATGAGTAGATGACGGGACTCATGATCCACTCTGTAGCATCATACTTGCGGTCTCTATTCCCCTCCCATTTCCCACAGAACAGACGGGCAAGGGCAGTCAAGCTTCCAAGTGCTCACTGGGATGGCCACCAGCTTTGATGGTTGTAAAAGAAGATTAGACAAAGTCATGGAGCAATACCAGTTGCTGAAAACCACGGAAGGGGAGTGTGCTCTTGCGCTTGGGTCTGGCTTGCTTGGTTTCCCATAGCTATCTGGTTGGTCCCTGTGAGAATAGGATGCTGGACCAGATGGGCCACTGGCCTCATCCAGCACACTCCTGTTACACTCTTCTGTCCCACCCCAAGACAACAGGGTATGTATTTCTGTACCTGGAGTTTCCTGAGGGGTTGGTGACTCTGGCAATGGCTTGTGAGGAGCCACTGGGCCATTGGGTGGTTCTGAGAAACTGCTAAGGAAAGCAGGCTGTTGTGGAAGCTGTAGGGGAAAGGTGAGCAAAACAAGGACCAGGATTTAACTTTAAATATTTTTCATCTATTTTGCAACTTTCCCAAATATTCTTTGCCTACATTATTGCAGCAATCTTTGCATTAATCTCTCCAAACATACATTACAAACAAAATAGGACTGATGTTGAATGAGAAGGTTCCCCATGAGTGAATTCTCAACAGGTGAGATTTTAACCAGAGACTTCCAGGTCCAAATCTCATCTTCTTATAACAATGCTACTCTTGTTTTCTCTCCCTTTCCTTCTTCCCACTCCTGTTCCTTCTTTCACTCTCCTCTTGGGCTCTGTTCCTCACCTTTTCCTTCACTACCTCGGGCTTCTCCTCTTCATCCTCATCCTCATCCACAAAAGCAAATGATTCGTGCTTCCACCTGTGCCCGTCATACGGTGTCTCGGCCAGTTTCTGCTGCTGTGTTTCCCTGGCCAGGCGCAGACGGCGCTCAGTGCTGAGGTGCCTGAGCAGAAGGGCCTGGAGCTCTGGCCGCTCCACAGAGCCCAGCAGGATCATGGACTCTACAGGAGGAGAGGGAAAGAACGAAAGTAAGTAAGGCCAAGTAGGGCTTTCTTCCCTTTTCCCAGGGACTCAGCTACACATGTCTTTTTTATTTTTTTATTTTTTATTTTTATTGATACAGCAAGAAAAAAGAAAAAACACAAATACCAAATTACACACAAGAATAACCATAGACACATAATTTTCTTAACAAACAATAAAACATACATTGGTCTTAACACTAAAGACCCAACCTCCCGTCTATTCCATATTTCAATTTCATATTACTTATTGCCAATACACACTTTTATCATAATTGAACTTTTTCTTAATATATCTAATTTCTTATATCTACCTTACAACTATTACTGAAGTTCCTCAAATGCTGCAACAGAATTTACACTACTATATTTGTTTTTCAAATATTCTTTGAAAACCTCCCATTTTGAAACAAATTCCTGTTTTGATTTATTCTTTATTTTTTCTGATAGACCATCTAATTCGGCATATTCTGTCAGCTTTTGGATCCAATCTTTTTAGATTTCATTACTCTTCCATTTTGCCACAATCAGAACTCTTGCTGCCGCCGTCGCATATAAAAAGCTACCCTTCCTCTTTTGCGGAATATCCAAATCTGTTATTCCCAGGAGGTAGGCCTCTGGTTTTTTACTGAAAGAGATCTTTAGCATTTTTTGCAGTTCTGCATGGATACTCTCCCAGAATTCCTGTATTTTCCTACATAGCCACCACATATGGTAGAAAGTTCCGACTCAGCTACACTTGTCAATTATATCATTATAACTATGGTATAAACATGTACACCAGATGGCTCTGTAGAGCAGTGATCCATCACCAATGGAATTTTGCATTGAGAGCTTTTATAGCATTTTTTTCCTATAGCCTTTTTTTTATCAGTACAGATCCAGCCCAGCACACATGTGGCCTGGTAGCAAGTTGTCTAAACGACAGGGACTATCAAAAGAGGAAGGCCCCAAGTGGGCTGCTGAGTCAACTGGACCGTTAAACAGGGGCAGAAGAAGGTGGGTGCGGACCACCCTGGGTGTCACCACTGAGGCGGGTAACAAAATGCCGGGCGGCACTCACTGCGGGGCTGCAGCGTGCCCAAGCCACTCATTTCTCCTGGGAGAGATGTGGTGGTTTGGGGGCGTGCAGGCTCCATGCTGCCCAAATGGTCTGGCCGCTGGCTCCCCCCTCCCAGCTTTAGGGCAGCTGAGTGGGAGGAGCCAGGCAGACTCTGGAAGCCCTGTGGTGCGCCCCATTCCTATGGGCGGCTCACACCGCCCCAGGCACCCGAGTGGTTTCCTCCACCGCTGCCGTCAAACTCATATGAGGAAGACAAGGTCTCTCTAGAATGACCCATGGGTCCGGACATGCATTTTGTCTAGAAAGACCAAGAACCAGGCTCTAGTCGTGCAGCAAACAAGGTGCCACTGAAGCAGAGATTGCCAGCATGGTCAAACTGCCAGTCTCATCAGCCCCACCAAGTACAACTAGGGATAGTGAAAACTTTAGTCAAACATGGGGAGAGCTCAATGTTGGCTGCTACTGCTCTGAAGGCTGGATCATACCCTAGTCCCCACCCACCCACCCTACACAACAGGCCAGTTCTATGTAGGCTCAAAGGCAGAGAAGTGTCCACTTAGTATCTCTAGGAATGCCACTTCAAGGAAGGTGACCATCTCCGCAAGTTCTAGAGCACTAGTCTTTTTGAAAAAAGAAAACTGTGTTCAGAGGAGCTCTAGTGTCTCTTGGAAGCTTATATTTGTCTCCTCGATGAGAAAACCAGGAATAATAAACATGTTTTCATAAAAGACAACTTCCCTATCTTTACTAGGTTTCATCCTTTGCAATATGTGGTGTCAGAGAAGTGTTAGTTGCATTCTAGGCCTCTCGGACCCATTCTCCATTCATGTGGGGTAAAAGCTAAGACTCAACAGGGCTCTGGCCAGTTTCCTGCAAAAGAACGCAACTGTATTGCATAGAACATGCCCCAGAATCCTCTCTGCAAACTTCTGGAGTCCCTTGGATGCAGAAAGTGTTCTCTGAAGGTAGAACGTTTGGGAAACACTGTCCTAGAGACTTGACAGAATCAAAGCCATTTTGGATAGGAAAAGGTGGTGCCCAAGGTTATTTAAATCTTTGGTCTGGAGCCAGTATGTGGTGGTATAATTTTCCACTTGGGAAATTCTGCAAGGTCCTGGTTTTCTTAGCCAGAGCTCGTTGCAGCCAAACAACCTGCTTCTGGCTCTCATCCTAGCTCTCAAACACATGCCTAACAGCACTGCTGTCCCTCTAGAAATATACTCGTCTTTCTCCTGTGCCTCCTCCCTCTTCACAAACAGTATGAGGTTTTCACACAGAGCAGCAGCAGTTGAGCCCACTCTGTATCTGACACTAGCCTGTTGAAGCCTTCCCTCCCACAGAAAGCACCGGTCCATCGAGCCAAGTGGTTGGTGGCCAATTCCTGCTGTTCATGCCTTCTGTTGCAGTTTCCCTCTTCTCCTGCCAAGTTCTCTGAGCAGATTCCTCAACCCTCTCCACCAGTCATAACTCACAGAATTGTACAAGGCATCAGAAGTGACAAAGGCATTCACATGACTTATTATTAGGCAGGCGTTCAGGGTTGGTTGTGGGGGTTTTTTTTAGTAGACCTGAGAACAGTTCTGGTGGGATCTGATGGCTCCACTGAAATTTTACTGTTTCAATACCAGGAAATACATGTAGATTATTTTCAAGACAGTTTCACCCTGGAGGTGTAGAGCCTACAAACTAGACTTGGGAAAGTCTTGGCCCTCTAGGACTAGCTTGGGAAACCATTCATGAGCAAATACAGAAAAGACTTTGGAGAATTAGTAGAACATCAACAGAATGAGGTGGAAGAGGGCAAAAGAGAAGAAAGTGCAGAAGGAGAGGAGATAGTTAGAGAAAGGAGGAAGTAAGGAGAAAGGGAGAAGGAGGGAGGGAGGGATAAGAGAAGAAGAAGTTATAAAAGTAAAGAGGGTAAAAAGTTAAAGTTAGAATATAGGAGGAGGGTAGGGGAAGAGTAAAGAGAAGGAGAAAGGATGGATTTGAAAGTACTATTGTGGAATGTAAATGGTTTGAATATTAAAAGCAAAGAGAAACAAAATAGCACATACTTTAACAAAAACTAGATATTATTTGTCTACAGGAAACACATGTAAAGAGACAAGACAGACGTTTATTGGTAAACAAAGGGTTGAGCCAAGAATTCATTTCATCAGACCACACGGCTTCTTCAGGCCATGTCCCCCAAAATAAATAAAATACTAACAGGGGATAAAAAAAATTAATCCAATGAAAACCAGAGTTGTGTTTAAACAAAAAGTGAGAATGAAACCATGCAGATAGTTTGACTTTAGTGCTTACTGAGTTGTCCTCTGCCCACCAACAATAAGTTATCATGCCAAGGAACTGACCAGGAATTCAGTTCTTAGGGTTTACTGAGCACCAAAGTGCTTGGAAACTTGGGGGGGTGGGGGGACGGGACGGATGTGCGCTACCTCTGAATTCATCAGTGGGTCTGGTCCCTCGCCCATCTCACCTGGTGAATCCACAAGAGGAAAGGTCTTGACAGTGGTGTGCTCAAGAGCATCCTGCAGGTCCCGGTATTTGCAGTTGGAGGAGATGAATTTCACGTCGCACACCATAATATCCTCCACAAAGATATTGTATTTGCTTAAGTGGGCGGAAGATAAAATCGAAGGGAATAAAATGAGTAAGTTAAAGAAAAAAGAGGTGGTGGCTTAATTAACTAATTTGTCAGCTAGTTAGTTAATAGCCCTCCACCCACCCACCAATAACTGTATTCTGCTTGAAGAATCCTCAGGGCAGCTGCTACATATAAGATTGTAGTAAAATCCAGACAATGAAAATATAGATATATGACTATGAGAGATAAAATGGTAGTAAAATCCATAGGAGGAGAAATTCCACTTAAAATAACTTCAAATGTCTGCCAGAATTATATATTGGAGACTTCTTGAAACAGACTATCAAGCAGGCTAGCCAAATGCCTCTAGGGAGGGAGTTCCCCAAAGAGGGGTCCCCCTTCTGAGAAAACACTGCCTCACACCAGTTTAATGCTGCTGCCACTTGGAGCAGGACCCTTTCTGGTGACTGAAGAACCCGGAAAGCCCGTATGGGAGAAGGGCATTCCTTGAGGTAGCCTGGGTGCAGGCTATTTGCTTCAGGAAGAAGAGGAGTTAAGGTCATAGAGAAATGGAAGCAATGCAGAGAGGTTCGCCTCAGATGGAGGCAGGAAATAGACTGTGGGCTTATCCATACTTCCTCTTGTCCTGCTGCTCTCCCCCAGGGAACACCACTCTTTAGCACTCAATCGGAGCAAACAGCAAATTGAGTTTTCCCCAGAACACCATTTGGTGTGCTCTATTGCTAAATAGACGAAGCAGGTTATTGCTAAATAGACGACGCAGGTTATTGCTAAATAGGGACGCGGGTGGTGCTGTGGGTTAAACCACAGAGCCTAGGACTTGCCAATCAGAAAGTCGGTGGTTCGAATCCCCGCGACGGGGTGAGCTCTCGTTGCTCGGTCCCTGCTCCTGCCAACTTAGCAGTTCGAAAGCACGTCAAAGTGCAAGTAGATAAATAGGTGGTACCGCTCTGGCGGGAAGGTAAACGGCGTTTCCGTGCACTGCTCTGGTTCGCCAGAAGCGGCTTAGTCATGCTGGCCACATGACCTGGAAGCTGTACTCCGGCTCCCTCAGCCAATAAAGCGAGATGAGCGCCGATGGGCCATATTGCTGCGGTAAAAATGAATGTATTGCCTAGAATGTTGTTTTTGTTTCAAACATTGCAAATTGTGGACAAAATGGACTGTTTCAAGAGATGGCAGAGAGATATTTCTAGATTTGTCTGGCAGGGCAAGAAGCCTAGAATAAAATTTAAAATATTAACAGATGCAAAGGAAAGAGGTGGATTTGCCCTGCCAGACTTTAAACTTTACTATGAATCTGCAGCTTGTTTGCTGGTTGAAAGAATGGTTGCTTCTTGAAAACACTGACATTTTGGATCTAGAAGGTTTTAACAATGTATTTGGATGGCATGCATATCTGTGGTATGACAAGGTCAAAGCACATAAAGCATTTAAAAACCATATTGTCAGGAAAGCATTGTTTAATGTCTGGATAAGATATAAGGACTTATTGGAAAATAAAACCCCAAGGTGGTTGTCACCGATGGAAGCAAAAGCTCTGAAAAAGCTCAATATGGAGGCCAAATGGCCGAAATATTGGGAAATTTTGGAACAAGAGGGAGATAGACTGAAATTGCAGAGTTTTGAGAAATTAAAAAACAAAGTGCGAGACTGGCTTCATTATTATCAGATAATGGAGGCATATAATTTGGACAAGAAAATTGGTTTCCAGGTGGAAAAATTAAAATTAGAAACAGAACTGTTAGAACCCAAAACTAAGATTTTGTCAAAGATGTATAACTTGTTGTTGAAATGGAATACTCAGGATGAAACGGTGAAATCTGCTATGATTAAATGGGCACAAGATGTTGGACATAACATAATGATGTCTGACTGGGAACAGTTATGGACCACAGGTATGAAGTTTACGGCATGTAATGCCTTAAGAGAGAATATTATGAAAATGATATACAGGTGGTACATGACCCCTGTCAAGCTTGCAAAAATTTATCATTTGCCCGATAATAAATGCTGGAAATGTAAAGAAACTGAAGGTATATTCTTTCACCTTTGGTGAACGTGCCCAAGGATTAAGGCTTTCTGGGAGATGATATATAATGAATTGAAAAAGGTATTTAAATATACCTTCTTGAATAAACCAGAGGCCTTTCTCCTAGGCATAGTCGGCCAATTGGTGCCAAAGAAGGACAGAACTTTTTTTATGTATGCCACAACAGCAGCAAGAATACTCATTGCAAAGTATTGGAAGACACAAAATCTACCCACTCTGGAAGAATGGCAGATGAAGCTGATGGACTACATGGAACTGGCAGAAATGACTGGCAGAATCCGAGACCAGGGAGAAGAGTCGGTGGAAGAAGATTGGAAGAAATTCCAAGACTATCTACAGAAATATTGTAAAATTAATGAATGTTAGAATGATGTTGGATAGAAATTAAGTGGTTTCCAGCTGTAATGCTTTAAGGGAATATGAAAAATGGGTTGTTAATAGGTAAAAATCTAACGTTACTATTTTAAGACCAAAGATTAGGATAAATAAAGAGGGTAAGGATTTGCTGAACCAACAAATTGAACTGGAATACAAAAAAGGGAGGTGTGAGGAGGTCCAGGAAATAAGCTAAGGAAAAATAAGTAATGGAAAAATTGAGTGGTTTTTAATCATTTTTATTTTGTATTTTCTTTTTCTTTTTCTTTTTCTTTTTTATATTGTTACTTTGTATTTTCTTTTTCTTTTTCATTTTTATATTGTAATTTTCTGAAAATCTTAATAAATATCTTATTTAAAAAAAAAAAGAGATGAGCGCCGCAACCCCAGAGTCAGTCACAGCTGGACCTAATGGTCAGGGGTCCCTTTACCTTTATTGCTAAAGAACAGGATTTCCCTCGGAAAAGGGATGGGGCAAAAAGGGGAAACCGCTTGGACAGGGGTGGTTGCCCTGGGCACAAAATTTCAACACCCAGCACTGCCTCAATACAGTTGTGCGCTTCCATCACTGGGCTCCATTGAAAACGGAGGAAGTGACCTCTCCAGCAAACCAGGAAGTGTCCTCTCCAAACAACGTAAACGAATCTTCTTATCACTGTGGCTGCAGTCTCCTGGGTGATGCAGACATCGTTAGGCAGCTGAATGCGCATGCATACTCCTGTCCATTTTCCTCCCCTGCTCTACGCTGCCCTGGGCAACATGCAACCCACGCTACACCACTGGGTGGACTCATCCGCACCCCCTTCTCATCATCTCATCATTTGATTCCATTCCCTCCCTCTCATCCCCTCTTATTATTATAATACCTTATTTGATTCCATCCCAAGTCTGGCAAATAGGGCAATTTCTTAACTTGGATGATGCTGTCGTAGAGACTAGGCTGCAAACTCTGGGCCACCATGTTGGCAAGGATGACGGCCACCATCATGGGCAGGATGTGGGAGATCTGACCTGTCAGCTCAAAGCAAATCACTGCTGTGGACACCGTGTGGCTCACTGCACCAGTCAAAGCGGCGGCTCCTTTTCCCAATTACAGGACATGGAGAAAGAGCGGGTAAGTTAGCAGCATATGGACCATCCGTAGCTTAGATTGAGATTTCAACCTAAGGAAAAAGGGATGTGGACTTACCAATCACGGCATAACCTCCAGGTAAGATTTTGTAAACAATGTCATCGAAGACAATCCCATCAGGAAAAAACCAGGCCATGATTTCACCAACCAAGCGTCCAAAGGCAGCCCCTATAAGCCACCATGAGATCACTGGTTAATACAAGATCAATACAAATTCGTTCCCCTCCCTGCCTTCATAGCTGTTCTGCGTCTAAGTGTGTTCTGCTAACAATGTACAAGAAAATATCGAGCAGTTAACGAGTCCCACTAGTAAAAGGCAGCAGCAGGTCTTCCATCAGCACAATTGAGCTTTTCCCTCTTTCTCCTCCCTCTGTGCCTCCCCCCCCCACCACAAATTAGCCCTGGGGTGTTGGGAAAACCCCCAGAACAGCCAGAGGGTGGTTCTCTAATACCCCAGAAGAAGAAGAGAAGAGGTCATCTCATCTGGCAAGCTGAAAGACTTGAGCTGACAGAATGATCTTCTAAGTCCTGTGTTCAATTTCCCACTCTGCCTCAGGATTTGCTAGCAGGCATCATAATTGATACTTGTGTAATATAATAGATGCACACAGGGCTTGAGCAAACTAACCCACACTTTAAATTTTAAAACTGTACGTCTGCAGAGGAAGAACAATAAGCTTACTGCTGCTCCTTTGGCTCAAGAGGTCTATACTTCAGCTCAAAGGAAGAGCTAGCTTTTCGTTTCTATTTTCCTATTCTGACCACTAGTAAATTTTCTTATCGAAGGAAGGTATTGTGTTGGAGCCACATGAATAGGAGTGGTGCAGCCCGGCATTTGTGAGTTGTAGGAAGTGGCTAGAGAGTGAGAAGGAGCCGGGAGTGAGAAGCCGGCTATGAGCTGAAATGTCAAGGGATTCCCTAATGGGCACCAGAAGGAGAACCAGGGTCCCAATCATTTCAAAGAAGCACCATCCAACATCAATTTGCATCTCTGAGCAGATCAACACCATACATTTAAAGGACATTCAAGAGCACTTTTAAAGAATAGTTTTCCCCTCACAGAGCTACAGTTCCCAGCACCTTTAACCTACTATAGTTCCTGTTAAGTTGTGGGTGAACATATCAGACGACACAGCGATTCTTCAAACAGCTCTTGTTTATTCACAGGCCAGAACAGAACTGAACTGAAGGGTTCAGCCAGCCTGCTTATATAGAGCTCCACTAGAACTCAACAGTAACCATTTTCTGTAACTATCCAATCACTGAACGTCACTTTCAATCCCTTATTTGCATATGTGGACATGAGTGAAAACTATCTACAGTAACCCCCTGCTGGCCCAGGGTGAGAACTTCAGTACATAACAGTTCCAAGCATTCTTTTTTTTGGGGGGTGGGTGTCACGTGCGTCAGAGGTGCTTTAAACATGTGGTGTGGATCTACCTTCGTTCAGTTCTCCCCTCTCTCACAATCCCAGCCTCTGAAAAATTCCCCTCTGAGGAAAATACAGAAACTCACCCAGCACAAACACAGGCATGAAGCCTCCGCAAGGTATCGGCATGGTAGTGGCAACGACAGACATCCAGAACTAGAACAGAGGGGACAGGCAGCAATAGTTAGTGTGTGGCACTGGTGGCGCCTCTCTCCCAGCTCCACTGAACTTACTCAGAAATGGACCAAGAAGATGACAGATGTGGGGAAGGAGCAAAGGAGTTGGGGGAGCATAAAATCCACAAGGGCAGTTCAAGCAAGCCAGCCGCGTCCCCTAGGGTGGCTGACTGCCCAGGACAGGGATGGTCAACCTGACTCATCACTACCACCTTCCCTGTCCCTTCTCAGTCTCAGTGTCTAGTCTGGTTAAAAAGGAAGGAAGCGTTCATATAGGTATTCTGGAATTTTGTGCTTCTGTGCAAACAGTGGCCACCCCAAAAGCAGACCTGTGTATATGAGCGCACAAAGAATAAGTTTGTTAATTTTTTAGCTGTTTTGAGTACATTGAGCTGGTCTCTCTTGCCGGAGGTATCACATGCTGACACCTGTTTTCTTTTCCCCACCCCACCTTGTGTGTATATCCACCCTGGGGCTGGTCCAGAGGTGCTGGGAAAGAACTAAAGGAGGCTCAATTTTGGAAAGAAGATGATGGGGCATGGGAGGGGAGAGTCAAGAGTTTATACCTACAGTTATTTGAACCTTGCTCTCTGGGAATCTGAGCATTGTTAATGCATTAGCTGTCTGCATTAGCAGTTCTTTTTGCCCCCTCTTATACTCTGTTTGTTGCGGAATTGTAAACAAATAAAATATTACAAAGGCACCCTAAGGGTTCTGTGCTCGCTCGCTCGCTCTCATCTAAACAAAACCCCATAAGCACTGCCCCCGGAATTTTCCACATGTAACTACATTTTTTCTCTATAGGACTTTCATTAAGCTATGGAGGAGGGAGGACTTCATGGAATTGCAGGCAGCCCAAGAGACATATTTAGGTTAATGCTAGCAAAGTGATTTCTAGTTGATGGTACAAAAGCAGTGCACCTAATGGAGAGTATTCACCATTAAAATTCATAGAGGGAATAATTTTGCATCTGCATGAAGCCAGTCTGATTCAGTAAGCCTCCCTAATATGCGTAGGTAGGAAAATTATATAGGTGCTCATTGTGTAGATTGCTTGATACTTTCAACTTCAATACTTGCTATAGCACAAGAGGCTATTTTTTTGCCACCCAGAAGATGGAGCAGACTTTTCCTGCATGACTGGAACTCGCAGGGAGACAGGTTTTGGCTAAATATCAAGAGAAGCAGCATGGGAGCAAGAGCGAATCAGCAGTGGAATGATTGCCTTGGGAAGGGGTACAGTAGGCTCTCTCAGAGATATTTTAGCAGAGACTGGAAGGGATGGTATAATTTCATCCTGCCTATGATTCTGTGAGCCAGCTGATAAATCTCTAGTAAGGCAAATAAAACCTCAAACACTCTCCGTGAACACTATGCAGAATATCTGCCTTCATGGCTATTGCCAGCCATGTAAAAGCAGGGTCCCCTGGTGCTTATTGTCTATGGCTCCCAGTGCTACATAAAAGAGATGTCAGCTCCAAGGAAGACTTAACATTGCTGCCAGGTGAGCAGCTCTTAAGTAACCTAATCACTGGCATTCTGCTGCAAGCCATGAGCAGATTCAAGGTTGATTTTCCAGACTATTGGAGGTATAGCGTTTTGTGTGCTTGTGCATTCAACACAGTCCCATAGGTGAGGAAGTATAGTTTCCCTGAGCTTTTGAACCACTTATTTCATTGGCACTATAGCACCTTTTAATGCAATTCCAAAGGGAGGATCACATCCCACCAACTACCACGTCCATCTTCTTCCCCTACTCTGGCTGCAGGACAGATTGAATAAAGGACACACTATATTCAGGTTGTTTCCACACCAGGGCCCCTTAGTGCCCCTGAGGCATTGCTTTTCAACAACCACATGGAAGCATAATTAACCTAGTGATTATACACAGCACTTTATACTGGACTATATTCTCCATGGGGATGCGGGTGGCGCTGTGGTGTAAACCACTGAGCCTTGGCTTGCCGATCGGAAGGTCGGCGGTTCAAATCCCCGCAATGGGGTGAGCTCCCGTTGCTCGGTCCCAGCTCCTGCCAACCTAGCAGTTCGAAAGCACTCAGTGCAAGTAGATAAATAGGTACCACTCCAGCAGGAAGGTAAATGGCATTTCCATGTGCTGCTCTGGTTTCACCAGAAGTGGCTTAGTCATGCTGGCCACATGACCCAGAAAAACTGTCTGCGGACAAACGTCAGTTCCCTCAGTCAGTAAAGTGAGATGAGCGCCACAACCCCAGAGTCGTTTGCAACTGCACTTAACTGTCAGGGGTCCTTTACCTTTTTTTTATATATTCTCCATGACAATCTCGGAATGCCCCATCCCATATGGGCAGGTTCTCCTTATGTATAGTCAGAAATAAGTTATGTTCAGCTACGCTCCCGTGTCCTTTAATTAGTGGCTTCCCACTTTTTTTTGAATGGTTATGATAAAAGATTAACTGAGTAATTACAGTTTCAGGAAGGGACCCGTTAAAGGGCAATGGCTGCAAATGAACAGGAAGCAACTAATTGGCCACTTTAAAATAAAGGGCTACCAAAATTAAGCTACTAATTAAAGGGGTAATAGCCTGAAAAGCTTCTATAGCATTTGACAAGTCTATACTCGATAAGGCTAGCACTGCAATTGTACTTTAAAAAGAAAAAAATGAGCCTGGAAAAAAGGCAGAAGGATATCACAGAACACACTGGGATGCAATTATTTGACAATGACACTATCTGGATTGTCCATACCAGCTAAGTGAAGAGACATTATCCCTATTCCAGACTAAGTGGCTGATGTGAAAGAAAACCCCATTATCCCTGAATGTTCTGGGGTGAATTAGGGTTTCTCATCCACTACATTAAACTCTCTCCAATAAAACCTCTTCAGTTGGCCTGGTCCAAAAGAACATACCAATTGCCTTGGAAAATAATGAGCTGTTTCTCTGAAGACTTTACAGCTCGCTACTCCCACTAAGGGAAAATAGCTGCAAGGGGCTAGGAGGAAACAATCCACATTCAGCGCACTCGGGTGGGCTCCCTACCTTCATGACGAAGAAGAGAAGAATGATGACAAACACACTGACTTTGGGATGGATCCAGACTGCAGATCTCCCCAGAATCTGGGGGTCCCCTGTATGCTTTACCCAGGTGAAGTTATCAAAGAGGCTGCTAATGGCTTCTCTGGGCATCAGCTGCAAGGAGAGACAAGGCAATGAGGGACTAGGCTTTCGCCACAAAGGGAACAATATTCTGTTTGGAAATGTGTGTATTAGGTGCTGAGAAACCGGGGGTTGGGTGGGGTGGGGTGGAGGCTCTTTGTGACAAGGTAAAACAAAATTCAGCAAGGACTGATATTTGTTATCTGCGTAAGTTATACAGATTGAACAAACAGGCTTGCCTGGCATTATTTTGCTTCGTCTCGCATCTGAGGTTTCGTGAGAAATTGCCTGCACACTTTGAAGCACATCTTCGCAGCCATTAAGAGCTAGGAAAATACTGCATTGGCTTGTGAGTTTTTGTCTTTCCTAATGAAACCTGAGAGACTGGGGAAGCTGGATTCTATAGCCAGTACCACTCTCCGCAGGTCTCTGTACTCCAATGAAATCATGGCATACACAAAGCCCTGCTTATATCTGGATGTGAACTGCAGAGGCTCTTTCCACACTTTCAGAAACAATTCTGTCTTCGACATCCTCCTGTTCAGTTTGTTCTTATAAATACCTCTTCATGCAGCCGAGAGGTTACAATTGTTCAGAAACCAAAAGGTTTGCAAGAAGGAAATACAAGCTGTGTACACTCACTAATTCTGCATCCCCACCAATGGTTTGGGAAGTGGGGTACATGCAGCACCCCCTGTGTATTGCCTCTTGTTTCTTATGAAATACTGTGCTTTGGTGACACTGCCCCCAAACCAGCTTTGAATTGACAAAAAGAATGACATAGCTATGTTTTAAACCAGTAGCGTGTTCAGAGTCCCATATTTTGCAATATAATTGTGAGCAGATCACAGTTCACAGAACCACTGAAATATGAAATATGCACTCTCTGCAAAACCAAATAAACAGAAATCTTATAAATCTATATGGCTTGTTTTCACCAGATAAGAATCTGACCCATTGCTTCTTTCAGAGACTTGCATAGTCTACAAAGACTTTCAGAGATTTATAAGACTTACGTTTATTTGGTTCTATGTTTTCATGGGAATCCATCTAGAGTGCACATTTTGTGACTTTCATAGATTTATAAGATTTCTGTTTATTTGGTTTTGCAGAGAGTGCATATTTCATATATTTCATATTGTTCAATGTTCTGTATAGATTATATAAAGAGTTTATATTGACATCGCATTGTCACTTGGTCATCGTGTTGCCTTGGATATTAGTGATGATTGTTTGCAACACGGGGTTTAATTGTTTGGTTACTTATTGCCTTATAGGAAAGACAAGATCCTCCATCTTCCTTTTACTCCAGGGGCGAATCTTCTTCAGGGCCAGATTCCCTCACAAGCCAGCCTCCCAAGGGCCACACAGCAGCAGTGGCCAGTGTCAGAGCCCAAAGTGGGCCACGCAACAGATTGGATCTTTGTACAGTGGGCTAGGTACAGCCACAGGTTTCTAGGCACATCCCACATGGACTTCTTTCCATGCACAAGATGCGCCATCAAGGGCACATTTCAGCCACAGCAAAGTGCTCTGGGGACTGCGCCAGTGGGAGGTGGGGGAGGGGTGTGACTTGAGGGCCAGACATATAGGCCCTGAGGGCCACATTTGACGCCTGGGACTAAGGTTCCCTAACCTGTCTTCGTCAATGCAAGGTAGGATGGGATTACTACTACTTTCCTTCTCAGCATGCACACAAAACAGAGAGGAATGGTGCTAGTTCACTCCCCAACGGAGTGACAGCACAATCAGTAGAGAAGTGTTTTCCCCCCTGAGGCTGATGGAAGCTACTGCTGTTGGAAAACGAGGCACAGACAAATTCTAGGTTGAGAAAACTGTACCCCTCATTCTGTGAAATAGGCTTTAGGCATTGATGGACCTATAGCAATATTCTCACCTCTCCAGCCATAAACTGCCCGAAGCCTGGGGGGAATGTCAAGGACGCTATCACAAAGGTTATAACCCCTGGATATATAAGGCGGCTAGAATAGAAAAGAAACAGAAGTTAAGGGCCAACATACATCAAACCCAGAAAAACTGCTGCAAAATCGAACCAGAGAGCAATTCTGCCCTCGCCTCGCCTAAGCCCAGTGAACTCTGTCAGGGTCTCTAGCCTGACTTCAACAATATCTGCTTTCTGCAAAGCAAGAAGGCATTGTGGTATTTAAGTTGGCAGCCTCCCTTAAACTTATTCCAAAAGAAAAGCGACACTCATGAAGGACTATTGTTTACTTTCTACATTTAAGAGCGTTTCCTGCGCCATGACCAATACAGTTTCTGTTAAAATGAAAATCCCGATCTTCCCTATAAAAAAATCAATGCAGCACAGGGTCTTTTCAGATGCTGCTGCTGAACATTTACTTCCCAGCGGCTCCTACTGGCTGGGCTTTAGAGCAGGGTCATTGGTACAGTGACTGGGTAGGTCCTGCTGCCATTATTCTTGAGCAAAGGAGGAGAATAACTCTATAAAAGCATACTCACTATTTGGTTAGGAATTGACTTAGAGCCGTATGTCGACGTACACACAAAACCACCTGCCGGTTGAAGTAAACAAAAAACGCTCCAAGGAACCCAGAGCAGATCCTACAGCAAAGGAATTTTAAAAAAAATAAAATAAATGTGGGCATTGCCAACTTCTGAAAATTGTCTGTGTATGGATTTACATAAGAAGAGGCCCATTGGATCATGTTCGGGGCCCATATGAACCCTAGGACCCTAGAGCCAGTGTGGTGTAGTGGTTAAGAGCGGTAGACTCCTAATCTGGGGAACTGGGTTCGCGTCTCCGCTCCTCCACATGCAGCTGCTGGGTGACCTTGGGCCAGTCACACTTCTCTGAAGTCTCTCAGCCCCACTCCCCTCACAGAGTGTTTGTTGTGGGGGAGGAAGGGAAAGGAGAATGTTAGCCGCTTTGAGACGCCTTAAAGGGAGTGAAAGGCGGGATATCAAATCCAAACTCTTCTTCTTCTTCTCTTCTTCCCCAAAGCCTAACTTTATTCTTTAAGCAAGGATACGCATAAAAGTTTGGGATGCGGGTGGCGCTGTGGGTTAAACCACAGAGCCTAGGACTTGCCGATCAGAAGGTCGGCGGTTTGAATCCCCGCGACGAGGTGAGCTCCCGTTGCTTAGTCCCTGCTCCTGCCAACCTAGCAGTTTGAAAGCACGTCAAAGTGCAAGTAGATAAATAGGTACCACTCTGGCAGGAAGGTAAACGGTGTTTCCGTGCGCTGCTCTGGTTTGCCAGAAGCGGCTTAGTCATGCTGGCCACATGACCTGGAAGCTGTACACCGGCTCCCTTGGCCAATAAAGCGAGATGAGCGCCACAACCCCAGAGTCAGTCACGACTGGACCTAATGGTCAGGGGTCCCTTTACCTTTAGGCAGCTGTCAGGGACTGGGCGGAGGAGGAATGGTAGAGACCCCCTCCCCAGCCTGACCCTTCCAGAGAAGAGGAAGACAGTTCAGAATTACAACAGGGGTTTGAGGGAAGTCTCAGCTCAGAAGCTGATGAGGGGGAAAGTTGGGAAATAATGGGAGAGGAGGAGGAGGAGGAAGCACCAGGAGGGCGACAGCTGGCAAACACAGTGTCTTTACAAAGCATTCCAGATCCCCCCTCTCCCAGAATCTGGCGAGCCTTGAAAGTAGGAGAGCAAAGAGCTCAAAAGAAGAGGGCGCTTGTCAGCACCTGTAGGGATGATGCATGAGGTAGTGGGAGAGAAGGAAGGGGTGGAGATTCTCTCGGGACAACGCCATTATCTAAGAGGCTGTGTTCCAAAGCCTCTCTCTGAATAAAAAGCGGGTGGTAAGAAACTTTTCCTTGTCTTTGTACATTCTTGGGCTACCGGACGTGGGAGTTGCTTCCAGCCGCCTGACAGCAGCATATCCAGAAAATATATATGAGTAACCAAAAAACAAACCAACCCTAGAGCAGCCTTTCTCAACCTGTGGGTCCCCAGATGTTGTTGAACTACAACTCCCATCACCCCTAGCTAGCAAGGCCAGAGCTCAGGGATGATGGGAGTGGTAGTCCAACAACATCTGGGGACCCACAGGTTGAGAACAGCTGCCCTAGACCCTGGTCTGTACAAATCCAGCAGAATGAGATGGGTCTTGTCCACTTCAAGCTGCAGCTGGTTAATCCTACAGTGGTACCTCGGTTTATGAACTTAACCAGTTCCGGAAGTCCATTCTTAAACATAAACCGTTCTTAAACCAAGGTGCGCTTTCCCTAATGAGGCCTCCCACTGCCGGTGCCCTTCCACCATTCGGATTCCGTTCTTAGACCGAGGTAAAGTTCTCAAACCAGGACACTACTTCTGGTTTTGTGGAGTTCATAAACTGAATCGTTCGTAAACAGGACTGTTCTTAAACTGAGGTACCACTGTATTTTGAATGCTCCTCCATGTAAACACAAACTCTCTCTCTCTCTCTCACCAAAAAAAACTCCAAGCCTCATCAGTGAACTCAGACTCACTTTGTGCACCCCTAATTTTCTATTTGCAGTAAGGGTTATAAAAAAGAAGAAGAAAATCAGGAGAACTCTTAAAAAATATGAGCCGTTACCTGCGTTATTACAGGCTATTCTACCACCTCAGGATGCCACAACCTCATTCCCACCCCACAGCCCTTGGGCAAGCCCTGTCATTTTGTCCATGGGGAAGATTGTAAGAGAGACAAATGAGGTTTGAAAGAGATACAAAAGGGGTAGATGGAGGGGAGAGGATTGTTTCTTTCAGCTCAACAAGCATCTAACACCATTTGCAAGTGGTGAACTTGTTTTTAAATGGCTTTTTTTAAATAAATAAAAAAGCCCCTTTTCCTCAACCCAGCCCTGATAAGTGAACGAAAGCAAGTTCCAAGGCTGATTTAGGAGAAAAAGAAACCCATTCTTTGCTGCGGTGGCCAGGAGCAAGCAGGATCCCAGAGTGCCTTTGAAAGTTGTGTGCAAGCGGGAATTTTGCCAGCTTTTCTCAACCCTTCGCGACAGCAAGCCGCATCCGCAAAAATGCCCGCCTAGATGCCATTCAGGGGCGCTGCCCTTTTCCTTTGCATCTGGCCACTTTGTAGGAACAACTTCTCATGAGAAAAACACGACGATGTTTCTATTCCGAACTGAGTCATTCAATGGCTGCTCGAAGCACTGCAATGAGGTTTTTTTTCCCTTTTGCTGAATGCTGTTGTGTCTAACCTGGATCCTCCAGGGGACTCTAAGCAAGCAGCAACTCTGCTTTATACAGAGAGTTTTCGACGGGGGATGGGGGACACTCGCCTTGCATCGTTTTGCATCACAATTACCCATGTCCCTTTGGGCTTACCCTATTACGGCAAAAGCTGGCAGCTCCTGCAGGTCAAAGGGGAAATCCATGCGGAAGTTGGTTCTGAAGAGGGCTGTGATGGTGACTGTGAAGCAGGGATGAGAAAGACAGGAGGAATTACGACCGTGGAAAAATAGAATGTGAGAGAATTTTAAATGTGCACTACAGAAAGCAGGAGCCCCGGGGGTGGCGGAAAGCCTAGAAAAATATGGGATATCAATGCGCAGGCACAAGGGACAGCAAGGAAGCATCACAGAAGCCTTCCTTTCAGCACTGCCACAGTTCTTAGCACCTCACTTGAAAAGACTTGGTAATGCGGATGTTATTTTGATATGTTTTGGGACGGGCCTGGAATACTTCTAGCCTCAAGAGCACTTCATTAAGAAAAGGTTTTGTTGTTGCTGTCATCAGGAAGTAGTTCTGGCTCACAAGCAGCACCAAATGGTATATAGTATTTTGATTTGGCATCCTCACACATTTTTCTCTTTCAGTTTAACAGGAAGAGGGAAGCAGCTGCCCTTTCAAAAATTCTTTATCCTGTTTGCTGTTGTTTTGGTATGAATTCCTGCATCGTCCCAGAAAAGTCCAATACTGAACCCACTTGAAAATCCCCTCTTGAAAATAGCCTGAATATCAAAGGCAAGCAAACTAGTAGAAAAATCTCTGTGGCCTCCAATAACCCCACAGCACAGCAATGAGAAAATCGGAGGCAGGTTGAATAGGGCTGACATTGTTTAAAGAGTGGGATAGTGATGGTTTCATACCACTGTTCCTGTTTGTAATGTGAACCAATGTTCTAGCCAGTGCAGGTTTCGCAATTGTTTAGCAAGGCAGTCAAAGCAATCAGCTCCATATATGCATGAAACTATCCTGAGGATGAGGGACGCGGGGGGCGCTGTGGGTTAAACCACAGAGCCTAGGACTTGCCGATCAGAAGGTCGGCAGTTTGACTCCCCACGACGGGGTGAGCTCCCGTTGCTCGGTCCCTGCTCCTGCCAACCTAGCAGTTCGAAAGCACGTCAAAGTGCAAGTAGATAAATAGGTACCGCTTCAGCGAGAAGGTAAACGGCATTTCCATGTGCTGCTCTGGTTCGCCAGAAGCGGCTTAGTCATGCTGGCCACATGACCCGGCAGCTGTATGCTGGCTCCCTCGGCCAATAAAGCGAGATGAGCGCCGCAACCCCAGAGTCGGTCACGACTGGACCTAATGGTCAGGGGTCCCTTTGCCTTTACCTTTATCCTGAGGATGATGTTTCTGACCAGGGGTGCCAACTTGAATAAAATTTTGGGGAGGGGGCAAGTAAACCCCGCCCCATGTAATCGATCACACACCCCATTCAAATATTTTATTGGGGGTGACGAAGCTCCCTCGGTCCCTAGGAGTTGGCTCCTATGCTTCTGCCTGTCATGTAGATGAATGTAAGAACTGGAACAGGGAGCGAGTAGCAATTCACAGCACTAGACCAGCATGCTAAAAAAGTTCGCCTGACTCTCTCCCTCCATCCCTACAACCTTGAAGAAGTCGCTTGTCCAGTGACACCCTTGGGATGGAGGAGGACGTACAGTCAGAGCAGAGACTAGGAAGGAAGTCAATCCTCGAATCCTACCTGCATCTTTGTTCCAAACAGCAAAGACTCGGAAAACAAAGGCACTGAATGTAGCCGCAAAAAATCCGCGCCAGTAGTTACGAACTGCAAAGTAGGTGGAAGTTACTTCGATGCTGAAGAGCACACCTATGGGGAAGAAGGACGTTCTCAGCAATGCGTAACAGCTCCTCTCCCCAACCACAACCTGCTCCCAAAGTCACTTGAGAATACCTTGACTTCTACCCCCCCAGCGCATGAATTAACAGGAATTTGCAAAAGTAGCAGAGAGAAAATAACAGCAGGGTTGTTGTGTTTGAACTGTTTCACCTTAACTCGGTTTCCTTCAGCTAAGGCTAAGCATGAGCAAAAAGAAACAATTCCCAATTTCAACAGCACATGGGTTTCCAAACTTTCTGCTTTGAGGAAACCATCTCTATCTCTGCTGAGGGAACCCTGTGCATTGCAGAGGATTTGCGGATCATATTCTGTGCATCACTTCACATGAAATTACGGACAGTGTTGGTCTTTGCTGTGTGAACTGAAAGTGCTGGAAAACTCTATAATAGTGAAACAAGCTGTTTTCCAGGGAAGCTCGTCCACCATCACAGATGGTCTCATTGAGGAACTATCGATAAACTTCCAAGAAAATGGCAGAATTCCCCTGAAAGAAGTTTGGAAACCGCTAGCTCAGTGGAGTGGGAACTGCTTCCCAATTGCTTTCTTTCCATACTGGTACACTAATGGGTGCTTCTCTGAACCACAGCATCAGCCCTGGACACATGATTCCAAGGTAAGTGTTTGGCTGGAATGGTATGAGCCAATATGGAAGCAGCTTCTGTGCTGCCAGGGTAGAGGGTGTGCTGGCCAGTTATCCAAAACCAAATACTTAAAAATACATAACTAGAGAAGAAGGTAGATTGGGGTCTACTGGTAGATCCCTGGCCTGGGTGATCTGCTGTAGCTCAGGAATGGTTTCTGACTCCCAACTGTTTAACAATGGCAGGAGCAACATGGCTTTCCCCACATAAATTAGGTTGCTGAAATGAAGAAGAGTTTGGATTTGATATCCCGCTTTATCACTACCCTAAGGAGTCTCAAAGCGGCTAACATTCTCCTTTCCCTTCCTCCCCCACAACAAACACTCTGTGAGGTGAATGGAGCTGAGAGACTTCAAAGAAGTGTGACTGGCCCAAGGTCACCCAGCAGCTGCATGTGGAGGAGCGGGGAAGCGAACCTGGTTCACCAGATTACGAGTCTACCACTCTTAACCAATACACCACACTGGCTCTCAAAAAGAAAGCTAACCAGGAGCAGTCTTTTGTGTGAGAGAAGGATGTCCAGTTCCAGTATTGAAAAGCAAATTCCTATGCCTAGAGGCACCCTGTTTTTTGATTCACCTGTGTGTGTCTCACACTTGGTAGACCGTGGGTTTCTAGTTTAACAAAAACAACAACCAAAGAGTCCTAACAAACCTGGAATCTGCCTGCCAGCATCAGAAAAAGGAATTTAGAGGATGGGTTATAATTTGGGCTGGGTGGGGAGGAGGAACGATGCAATGTTTCTAGCGAAAGTTAGACGACAGCCAGCATTCACTTGCCTCCCAATGGTGTCCCGAAACAGCAGCCAACCCCTACTGCACATCCCACAGTCAGGACATCTGTGTAATAATATGGCTGCTACTGGTGGAAGAGACATGAGAGAGAGAAAGACAAAGACACACACAAGACACACAAAGTGAGACACAGAAGCAGAGAAAGGGAAGAATGAGTGACAGAATTGGTAGCTAGTGTCAAAGAATGATCAATACCGTAGATGTTATCTAACAACGCACACTGAACCCACTGGAAGATCCTGTACAGTGGTACCTCTGGTTACGTACTTAATTTGTTCCGGAGGTCCGTTCTTAACCTGAAACCGTTCTTAACCTGAGGTACCACTTTAGCTAATGGGGCCTCCTGCTGCCACCGCGCCGCTGGCGCACAATTTCTGTTCTTATCCTGAGGTGAAGTTCTTAACCCGAGGTACTACTTCCAGGTTAGCGGAGTCTGTAACCTGAAGTGTTTGTAACCTGAGGTGTTTGTAACCCGAGGTACCACTGTATATGCCAAGAGTTCCCGCCTCATTTCTCACCAACACACAAGCTTGGGTGCGCTTAGCAAGAAGGTGATGTAATACCAAAAGGGATTCATGCAAGAGACAAGGCCTCAGCTCCTGTAAATGCAGAATTCCCCCATCTTTCCAGAGTCACATGTGAATAATGTATTCAGGTGTCAATTGTTCAAGGGGTTAAGAGATGTAGTGTATGTTACAAATTTCACAAATCACACAGCTCCAACCCAGAAGTGTAGGAAACTGCAATGATTTATCAAGTAGATGGTCATGCGTGAAAATTCGGGGCATGTGTCAATGGCTGCATGTAAACGTGCTAGGAAGCTACAATAGGGAGCATCTACCTAGGGCAGCGCTTGGCACATGTGTAGGATTTCCACAGTTTCCTGCAATAAAACAAGATATGAGCAGTTTGGAGACATTCAATAGAAAATGGCGGAATAGGTGTACAACGCTTTCCTTGCTTTGTTGAAGTTTGGACAAGGAAAGATGGGGAAGTTAGAGCCACACTCGATGTGCAAAAATATAATATGGTTATGGAACTGTGCTACTTCAGAAGGGAAGTGTGAATATGGAGATACTGAAAAACTCCCGCTCATCTCTATCTGGATAGGCAGTTATGGGAGAAGAATGACAGAGAAGGTAGTACCCCCAGCTGTATCCATGCTAACAATGTTATTTTAAAAGCACCCCAGTTTTTCCCCAAGAGAAACTGTGATTTACTGGAGACACAGAGAGAGCTGGAAAATAGGGACTGTCCCTGAAAAATAGAGGCAGCTAGATATTATTGGCATATGTGATTTATGTCATTCCCTGAAGGAGCATCTCCACCCCCATAGTCCAGCTCAGACACTGAGGTCCAGCTCCGAGGGCCTTCTGGCAGTTTCCTCTCTGCAAGGTTACAGGGAACCAGGCAGAGGGCCTTCTCGGTAGTGGCACCCGCCCTGTGGAACTCCCTCCCATCAGATGTCAAGGAAATAAACAACTATCTGACTTTTAGAAGACATCTGAAGGCAGCCTGGTTAAGGGAAGTTTTTAATGTTTGATGTTTTATTGTGTTTTTTAAATATTCTGTTGGGAGCTGTCCAAGTTGGTTGGGGAAACCCAGCCAGATGGGTGGGGTATAAGTAATAAATATTATTATTATTATTATTATTATTATTATTATTCCCTGCCCAACACATCCTTGCACCAAAGTCACTTTCTATTTCCCACAAGATGTCCCTTCGCTGCATTTTCTGTTTCTCTGTTGGGTTACGCGAGGTAAAAGAACCACACCGCAGCACCACGACGGTTGTCAGTTGAGCAGAAAACATGGCTTCCATTCCAGAAACTTCCTCAGTCGGGAGCGGGGGGTGGGGTGGGTAAACACCTGGCATAAATACGGGAATTGCACTTGCCTCCAAGAGGAGCCCCGAAGCAACATCCAACTCCAACTGCGCAAGCCGCCACCAGGAGGTCGAGCTGCCTGTGCACATTCTGGAATAGAGAGGCCAGCCAGAGAGAAGCATGCCAGTGTTAGGAGGGAGCACAGCCACAAGGTTAGTCCTCTCCTCCCTCCTCCTCCTCCTCCGGCACAAAGCAACAGCGAGCAGCAAAACCAGCCTTCTCTCACAGAGGAAGTGAGCAGTGAGCCAGTCACTACCCACAGCCAGCACCTACGGTGACCCCGTTCCTTTCTATGCACCACCAAATACTATATAGCCTATGTGCCAGTTCTCCATACTAGCCTGGCAGTTGTTACCAGCTATTGGAACGGTATTGCGCAGCCAGTCACCAAGCCAGCCACTGCTACAGAGCTCGAGCCTCTTTAGTCGTCCAGCCAGCATTGTGTGCAATAAGCGTCCGGAGCCACGCCAGCCTCAAAACACAACTGCTTACAACAACCATGTTTCTTACTGTAATGTTTATGTGTTGTTATTTATTTATTTTTAAAAGCCCCCATCCCACCGGACGTCTTGATGCCTGCTACTAATGCACAAGCCTCGATGAAATTTTATAATGAATGATTTTAGAGTGTTGTTTGTGCTGTACTTTTGTACTGTTTTATTGTTGTTAGCCGCCCTGAGCCCGGCTTCGGCTGGGAGGGCGGGATATAAATAATTATTATTATTATTATTATTATTATTATTATTATTCGTGCTTATTTACAGCTGCTCAACCACACAGTATATATATGGGTAGCAGTGACCAAAGTTTGGACCTTGTGCGCCAAAATACAAAACACTATTTCTGGGCAAAAGAAAGTGAAATTGTGCCGGTGTACACTGTTTTATGTACGTCCCACCCGTTTTGCATAATTTCGCTTCCAAGATTCAGGCTTGCAAGAATGCGGATACATGTTTTTACAAGGTCAGGTGTTGAACAGGACAAGTAGAGTGATGCATGAGGAATAGGCGGATGTACAGATTATCATAGGCTCATCGCCAGCTATCAGGAGCCCTGTTCAAACCCTCTTTGATTTCTGATCCTTTGACAGAAGTCCTTTTAACTTTTTCAGCAAATGCTCTAGAAACCGGCAATTTGGTTTACAAAGAAGCTGTGGTTTTCGGGGAGCCAAGCTTTGCTTCCGATATTTTAGGATTGGTTGTTTGTTTTTGTTTTTTTTAAAGAAGAAAATAGGGTGACCCTAACTCTGACTACAATCAGGCATGGAGTGGTTTTAGCTTCCAAAGCTTTTTGGGTTCATGATTCTTGGAGGGTTCCTCTGTATTTTATTTAACGGACAGCTAAACCTGCCAATTGCTGTCATTTCCCTCTTGCCAGCTAGTTTAGAATTATTCTGTTTTTTATTCATTCTGGTCCTGCCTTCAATATTCTGGGTCTCTGAGGCTCCCCGTCCCCCTTTGACAGCCTCCATCACAGACCAGATGGAGCATGCAGAACACTTACCTCATACACACCGCAAAAGATGGACATGAACTTGCTGAGGACGGCAGCACAGATGCTGGCAATATGCACAAAGGGGCCCTGAAGAAGGAAGGAAGGAAGGAAGGAAGGAAGGAAGGAAGGAAGGAAGGAAGGAAGGAAGGAAAGTTGAGGATTCAGTTCAGTTTTATGCCAAAAAGTAGCAAAGATTCTGCCTCTCCTATCTGTTTTTATCACTCCCAGACCCACCAACATCTTTGTAAGACTCTCTCATGCTACTGAAAAGGCACACTTTCGAAATCTACCTTTAGGCAGCCCATGCGTGGCTGGCAAGATCATCAGTGTAATCAGAATGACAAGGTGAGTTAAAAGGTCCTTAATAGGAGAGGAAGAAGGTTAGGTTTGTGTCTCCCTCTGGAGCCTGAGAGAGAGGCCTCCAGTCGAAGGATCGGCTGCTTATTATTTCAAAGCAATGTGTGAGCATCAGCCTTCCCCACCTCAGAAGCTCCTGGGTCACATGATAAAGCTCACATAATGTTGTATTTTAATGTTGTATTTTAATCTTGTTTTTGAGTTGTATTCATTTAACTTGTTTTTATTATTGCTTGTTAGCCACCCTGAGCCCGGCCTTGGCTGGGGAGGGCGGGGTATTAATAAAAATTATTATTATTATTATTATTATTATTATTATTATTACCACCTGCCCTGTTCTTTCTCCCCAGCCCTCCTCCTCCTGGCCCTGTCCTTGTTAGGACTGCTCTATCTTCCACCTTTACCTTCGACCTGCCTCCTTCCCCAGGAGATTGGACTAGATGACCCTTGTGGTTCCCTTCCAATCCTATGGGTCTGCCTACTGACTCTGCATCCCCATGCCCCTTCCTAGGAGCTCGACCAATAGCAACTCTTCTGCCTGGCCTGCCCCCCCCAAGAAATTAGAGTGGCTGAATTAGCCACCATCAACCTCCTAAGGCAATATGAAACAGACGGCCACAAGTAGAAACTGCAACAAAATGTTGCAGTGTAGGGTGCCGCTGTTCTGTATCCCAGCTGTTTCATTCTGTTCTCTCTTCCCCAACAGCTGAACAGCACTCTGTGGCCACTAAGCACCCTCAGTCCTCAATGGGCTGTTTTGAGTTCCCCTAACAGAACGGGTGGCACTGTAGCTTAAACCATAGAGCCTAGGATTTGCCGATCAGAAGGTCGGCGGTTCGAATCCCCATGACGGGGTGAGCTCCCGTTGCTCGGTCCCTGCTCGTGCCAACCTAGCAGTTCAAAAGCACGTCAAAGTGCAAGTAGATAAATAGGTACTGCTCCGGCAGGAAGGTAAACGGTGTTTCCGTGTGCTGCTCTGGTTCGCCAGAAGCGGCTTAGTCATGCTGGCCACATGACCCAGAAGCTGTATGCCGGCTCCCTTGGCCAGTAAAGCGAGATGAGCGCCGCAACCCCAGAGTCGGTCACGACTGGACCGAATGGTCAGGGGTCCCCTTACCTTTTAACAGAACATCTTTCATTTTAAATACAAAAACTTGGTTTTTGAACAGATTAGTTCATTAACAACTTGGAACTTGAACGCCGCAAACCCGGAAGTAGGTGTTCCAGTTTGTGAACTTTGCCTCAGAAGCCAAACATCTGGCATGGCTTCCGCGGCTTCTGAACGGCTGTAGGACACTCCTGCAGCCAATTGGAAGCCGCGCCTTGGTTTCTGAATGTTTTGGAAGTCAAATGGACTTTTGGAACGCATTCTGTTCGAAAACCAAGGTACAACTGTATATGTTTCTATTTTTGCAAAGCTCAGGGTTTCCCCAAGCCTGAGAATACTTCCCTTATGTGTAGGTGGTGCTGTCATTAGCAACAGCACTCATAGTCTGAACATCAGAAATAGAGGTGATGGGGATGAAATCTGCCTCCCCAGCACTAATAATAATAATAATAATAATAATAATAATAATAATAATTGCATACCATCATATACCTGCAGGTCTCAGGGCAGTTACAACATAAAATCACAAAATACATAATAAAAACATAAACAACCCAGTAGCCTCTCCCCCTCCCCAACACATTTTAAAAAGGCATTGGACGTCAATCAGCAAAAGGTCTGGTTAAAGAGAAACACTTTTGCCTGGAGCCTAAAGGTATATGATGAAGTGTATAATGGAATTACACCCCCTGCCTTCTGCAACTTGCCCTTCTCCCCTCCCCAAGCCCTGGCAGTGCTCACCTCTTTCCCAACAGGTATCCCACTTCCTAGGCCAGCTGTCAGGCTTACAACTTTGGCCACAAAAGCTTTGGGTGTGAGGTATTCCTTGAGGACGACTCCCCGCATAATGGTTTTCAGCTCAGGGATCCCGGAGCCTGAACAAAGCAGAAAGGAAAGGTGAGGAATTGTGCCACAGAATGGACCCTGCGCAGAGAGACAGAGGCTCAAACTACAGGGGACAAACACCTGTTAGCTGAAAACAGGTTGGCTCCTATTGCAAAGAAAGCAGGGGGTTCTGAACAAACGGGGTATGTGGGGAGCCACATTCTTCCCCCTCTCTGCAGCTAATCTCCCCCCATGGTCCCTCTCCTGATGTCACCCCCCTCACCCCACCCCAATCTTCTGGGAGCAAAACGCCTAAGGGAATTAAGAGGCAAGAGAAGGAAAGATCAGCTCCCTCTGACTATGCTCCCTTCTTGCTCTAAAAATGGGAGGTGGGGGGAGACTGCATACATGACTGGGGCAAGCCTAGGCTTAAAAGAAATGGATTTGTTGCTGTGGATAATCTAAGAGCCCCTCTAAACTGGTGTTTTATTGCAGGTATATTTTCTGCAACATGTTCTTAACATAGTAACAGTGCATTGGCAGTGGGTTTATTCTGTTTTACAGTATAATAATAATAATAATAATAATAATAATAATACCCTGTCCACCTGGCTGGGTTTTTAAATGCTTCAATAATAATAATAATAATAATAATAATAATAATAATAATAATAAATTATTTATACCCCGCCCATCTGGCTGAGTTTCCCCAGCCACTCTGAGCAGCTTCCAATCAAGTGTTAAAAACAGTACAGCATTAAATATTAAAAACTTCCCTAAACAGGGCTGCCTTCAGATGTCTTTTAAAAAGAAGATAGCTGCTTATTTCCTTCACATCTGAAGGGAGGGCGTTCCACAGGGCAGATGCCACTACTGAGAAGGCCCTCTGCCTGGTTCCCTGTAACCTCACTTCTCGCAATGAGGGAACTGCCAGAAGGCCCTCGGTGCTGGATCTCAGTGTCCGGGCTGAACGATGGGGGTGGAGACGCTCCTTCAGGTATACAGGTATACAGGTATAATATGCTACCATGTTACTGCTTTCTGGAGGAGTGATAGCACAACAAAGAAGGGACAAAAAATAAACTAGAACATTTGTGGTGTGGAAACTGACGGAATTCCAGCAGGAAGTTAAAGTTATATCCTGACTAGAAATGAAGCAGTGCACACCGTCCAACTTTTTCAGATTAAAAAACGGGACATGTGTCTTCAAGGATGAACTCCTGGGCAAGTCACGTAATTCACGCTGCAATCACGACCCCCAAAGTGCTTTGGCGGGCAAGATTGCGGCGTGAGAGCGCGTAGCACCCTAAATGCCGGCCATGATCTTACACAATAAAATAGGATTTCCCGTTTTTTCCAGGACACTTGACGGTTATGGCAGTGTGACTGCCTCCAAACTTTTGCAGGCACAAACTGCAGTGAAAGAGGGGTTGTTTATGCCTCACTGACAGCATCACCAGCACAAATCATCACAAATGCATAACGAAAAAGATGTCAGGAGGCGTTCTTAGCCTTAGACAGATAGGCAAATCTTCCCATCCCTTGCTCTCTCTCACCCACAGCCTGCGGAGAGACAAGTTGGCAGAAGAGGGCAGCAAAGAGGATCAGGACGAGCGGATAGGTCACCCAGGCCAGGTACTGCATAGGGATACTTGGGTGCAGCGAGTTGTACATCCACTTGTAAGCTGTAGTGGGGGCATAAAAACAAAGGCCAGCAACTTCAGAACATGAAAAGAATCCAATGAGCAACAAACTAAACCAAATTCCCCAACATGGCACCCTCCAGATGTTGAGGATTACAATTCCCATCAGCTACAGTGCTGAAGAGAAATGTTCATTGTGTGCTTCATAATTGATTGGAGTGTTATGGTTACCCAATATCTTAGTATGTGTCCCCTGCCTCCCTGAAATACAGCAGTGGCGGGGTCATAGCTGTCAACTTTTCCCTTTTCTTGCGAGGAATCCTATTCGGAATAAGGGAATTTCCCTTTAAAAAGGGAAACGTTGACAGCTATGGGCAGGGTGGGGTGGTTAAGTTGACTGTAGCAAGGTGACTGGTTGCTTTCCTACCGGGGGCGGGGTTTGATGCTGCAGATAAAACACTTAAATGTTTTTGTTGTTGCAAGGGCACAAGATTTCAAAGCCTTTTTGCACAGAAATGAAAAAGGAAAAAAAATGCTGTGCTTATTCTGAAATATTAATAAACCGTCACAACAAATGAATAATGTTGTTTAACTATTTATCCAAGCATGAGCATCTAAACAAAACTGCCCTAAATCTTAAAATCACTTTTGACCCCCTGCACCTGAAATGCCATGTCTGGTCTTGCACTGAATGTAGTACAGTGGTACCTTGGGTTACAAACACTTCGGGTTACAGACTCCGCTAACCCGGAAGTAGTACCTCGGGTTAAGAACTTTACCTCAGGATGAGAACAGAAATCGCGCGGTGGCAGCAGCGGGAGACCCCATTAGCTAAAGTGGTACCTCAGGTTAAGAACGGTTTCAGGTTAAGAACGGACCTCTGGAACGAATTAAGTTCGTAGCCAGAGGTACCACTGTATTGCCAGCTGAAGATGAGCTGGTGAAAGACCTACGGCAGTAACATAGCTTATTTTGCAGCTCATGAAACTTGAGTTCTTGGCATAGTTTTAGGGTTGGCATTGGGGGAGAGCAGGACTCTTGTTGCTTTAACAGCTATGTGGCAGCATATATTAAATATAGAAAGCCCTTTGTAATATGGAACTCCAATTAGGAGGAAAACGTCACCTTCTGATATTCTGAGTACTTACAGAGTTACAATTCCCAGAAGCCAGTAACAAACTACAGAGCCCAGAATTCTCTGAGGGGAAAGAAACTGCTTCAAATGTGCTTTAAAGGTATAGGGTGTACACAGCCACAGTGGGAGATGGAGGACTAGCAAGCATCAGATACATGCAGAACAATGGGTTACAAAAGCTGGGTGCCTCCTCTTCTCTCCGCTGAGTGGTGGCAAGTGTCCAGGGGGTTCCAGGCACTCACCCAGGGTCTGTGTTCCTTTGGAAAACTGAGACATGGTTAAGACTGTTGTAGCTTTAAGAAATATGGTTTATTCATCTATTTACACCTTCAATCTGCATGGAGGGGGTCACTGAGGCTGGAGCCACATGCAGACTGAATGCTGCTCCCTGACTCTGCGTAAGGTAAAGGCAGCCCTGATAGCTATTACTAAGAGCCTGAGTTCAGGAACAGGGATCCGGATGTAATTTCTTCAAATTGGCAGGTGAGAGTTGGTGTAGAGACACCCTCCATCTGCTCATGGCTGTCTACACAAGTATACATATACGCCTTTGCAAACCTGGTCTGTTTTTTTTAAGAACTTTCAAACTTCACACAGATCCTCTCCCTTTTTATTGCTCTTCCCAGCAGCCTGTAGTATGGATTCATTAGATAGATAAATAGATGATAGATATAATTTATTGGTTTACAAAATATGTGCATTGTCTCTTTTTCAAGTTGCATTTTCTACAGATCAGTTTCATTTGTTGTGAGACATTAGTGTTACATACACCAATTACATGCCCTCTTAAACAATCCAGTAGTAAAATCAGCAGCAACTAGGCCCTTGACAACCTTCGAAAACCTCCTCCTAACAACAAAGGGACATGGCAAAGGGATGGTATCCGCAATAGACAAAATATTGCTCCAAAATCCCACAAACCCCTTTGACGTAATCAAAAAACAACTGGAGGACAACATAGGCTATGAGATTAACCCCACTCAATGGACTAGAATGTGGTCTAAACCTCCCTTTAAATCCATATCAGCGAAAAGAACTCACTCTGAAACTCATTTACAGATGGTACCTAACACCACATAAACTAGTGCTGATACGCCCAGGAGTCTCACCAAAATGCTGGAGAGGATGCACCTCCACAGGCACATACTTCCACATGTGGTGGGAATGTCCTAAAGTCCAACTCTTCTGGATTTGTGTTATTAATGACGGGTTTTTGGAGCAAACAATGTACCCCGTGAACAACAAATGAGTTGGGGGGGGCGCAAAGGGTCAGTCCACCTACCTTGCAGGCTCTTGGCACTGGAGTAATCCACCCCCCAGCTCACCAGTGCCATGACAAGGCCCAGGAGGACCAAGAAGATCCAGTCTTCTCCCATCTTCTTGGTAACATAGTTCTGGATTCTTTTAGCGCAGGCTGTGGAGGATAAAGAAATTTCAGACCATAACAGTGCGAGCTGACAAAAAGCTTCTGGACACGAACCAGCAGAAGTTCAGTATTTCATAGTCCTATTTATTTCATTGGGAGAGTTGGCATGTGCTTAGATCTTTCCCACAGAAAGCAATGCCACTGAAAAGAGCCAAACTGACACCAGACTGCTCTTTTCTTCTCATACAGATGATGGTGCACCTTAAACTTGCTGGTGGTCCACTTCATAACTCAGGTAAAGCTGCAGTACTTGGATATCAGTTCAATCAGCTTCAATGAATTCAACAGCAATCAAATCAGCTTCGATCCATGTACTTAATCAAATATTGACTGTGCATTTGGCTTAAAATCAGCAAACAGTAGGCATAAAACAAACAAGAAAAAATAAGAAATGTTTCCCATTTCACCTAATCTGTGAAAATTGTAAAACTGGCAGACCTGAATAGTCCATCTAACAGGACACTACATGTTGTGCATTCAAGAACAATATGATAAAAGCCACATTGTGGTGTCAGTCACTGGTCTCCTTCCATGAACTCCTACTTTCCAGAGCTCAAAAATATGTGAGGCGCATTGAGAGTAAGTTATCATTTCTGAATTATCTCATTCTGTATATTAATGGCCCCGAACACCATTACATTCGCCTAACCCTTTTCTTGAGCCAATTTATTCCACTGTCTTCCTACTGCTATGGCTAGTCATTCCTGGTGATAGCTTCCTTTCGACTGTAAGAGCATTTAAGTTCTTATTTCTACCACCTGCGTTCAACATGCATATTTGTAAATAAACTCAAATGCTACAGAACCCACCATAAATGTCCAGCGACCTCAGAAACCAAACCCAGGAAGCTGCTCCTGGAATGCATCACCTTGCTGGGAAACGAGTAGCACATAATAGTGCCATTTAACCAGTTAGTCACTTGTGAAAAGTTCCTCAACTCTTATCTCAAGCCTGTTTCTGAAAACCTAACCCTCTGTAACCCATGCAGCAGGTGTGGGAAACTCTGGCCTTCCAAATGTTGTTGTGGTACAGTACGTCTCCCATCAGCCTAGACTATTGTCTATGCTGGCTGGGGTTGATGGGAGACGTAGTTCAGCAGCATCTGAAGGACCAGAGGTTCCCCACCTCTGCCACAGTTATTTGGTGGTCAATGTGCAGCTCCTCACTACACACCAGTGTAGTAGGAAGGTTCTCCTGAAGGTAGATAGCTTCCAGAAGAAGGAATGGAAGTACCAAAGCTTTCTGTTTACCTCTGGGATTGTTTCATTGCATCCACACATGCCCTGACACAATTAACTCCATCCATTTTCACGCTGGATAGTGTACCAGTGTGGAAAGCCCGTTGGAAAAGCAGGGCTTCACTGAGGCCTACCATGGCACTTGGAGTAGCGTTCTGCTTTCACTTCGGCCTGGCTGACTCGCTTCAGGGGCCCCTGGCCATTGCGTTGGGGCCTCTTCTCCCCCAGGAGTTCATCTTCTTCCTTCTGGGAAAGACTGCAGAGGTTGTCTGTGTACTGGCCATAGAGCTGAGGATAGAGGAGTGGGCAGTTAGCACAACCAAGTCACTCATAAGACAAGAAAAAGAGACCAAGGGGGACTTGATAGCAGCAAGACCCCATAGGTGGTTTCCCTAGATCCGTGCCGTCTTTAATTTACATCTACTTTAATGATGTGTAACTAGCATGCAGACCGTAACCACCTGATGAATCTGCATGTGTGATCAAGCCATATCTCTGGAGAAATGTTGGGTCCAAACTAGATGCCTGTAACAGTCTCCAAACTTGTGCTTGTACTTTAAAAAATGGAAAAACTGCATTGGGATGTATAGCCCCTTTCTGTGGACCATTTTCCCCCAATTATGATGTTTTTCCATCTGTAAGGGGAAAGATATGACCACAGCCTGTGTGTGTTCTGTGTACACACAGATCCTGCTTTCTGAACAGAATGCATTCCCAGGAAAATCATTCATTAGGTGAGTGTTCACATAATGAGCTGGTGATTTCCATTATTTCCGAAGGGAACATTTCTAATCTGTGATTTGTCTCCTTCTGTCCCTGGTTTCTGCCCAAAAAAGGCAAAAAAAGGTGATTTGTCTGATCTCTCCTGCTCCCTGATCTTGCTAATCTCCCTCCTTCTCTCCATGATTTCTGCCTGAAATGACTGCCAGTGACCAGCAAAACACAGACAACTAAAGAAGTGGGCAAACTCTGGACATTCAGATATCTGAATCAACCATTTGTGTAGCAAAGTTTGAGTATAATTCTTTGTGTTCAGATAACTGAAATTTTGCATGAGAAGTATTCTGATAGCCAGACCTGCATGTACAATCCCTGTAACCCATGTGATCATATCCTTTACAAATCATTATCCTTTACCTCTGTGTAATTAGTTCTTTGGCATTAAAATCAACAGACCAGCCAGACACAGAAAATAAGCCAGTGCTTGCAGAGCAACAGGAAGAAAATAAGATCCATTATTTTCAAAATGACTATGGTCAACAATAAATGGAAGATGCTGAGGCTGCAATTTAAAAAAATAATAATATCCCCCTGTGGCGATCACACAGGGTCCTCAGACGTTTGACGGTCTATTGATCCCTGTGCCACCACTGTGATTGCTTTTTCGCTGCCACCAACCCGTTTCTCTCGGGTACACACGGAGTCCAGACAGTTGTTAACATTAAACCAAATAAACAAGTTTATTTTATAAGCCTTAACAAGTTTATGGTTTCAGATAATTTTTCTTGTCAGTTTCTTAATCTTAGTTTCTTTACCAGCCTATACCTTCCTAATAACTTCTAAATGATTATCCCAACTGTCTATCTGACTCCTCTTAACAGATTCTCTCACTCTCTCACATCAAAACTATCCCAACCCACAGACTTATCCTGCCTCTCTCTTCTCTAACACCCGACTGACTCCTCAACAACTCCAACTCTAACTCCTCCCCTTGGGTTCCCACTTGCCAATCACTTCACACTCATTTAACCCTTTCCTTATGACCCAGCATGATGTCACCTAGGAGGGCAACCATCACCCCCCCTTAAGACAACTCACCAAATGGAGCCATCATACACAGAAAGCAATTGTTCCTCCTACTTCTGCAGAAGCTCAGAAATCATCCCAACTTTCTGTGTAAACACTTCTGTTCATATAGTCTTTCCACCACCCATGCCAGCGAAACAAAATGCAGCTGCTCTCACAGAGTGGCACGGGGTTGAGCCGCAGGGGTGGCATGAGGATACAACAGGTATCCCCCCCCAAAAAAATGCCCTTAAAAAATGCGCACAGGGCCACGGCCACGGCTGCCCCACCCATGCTATGCCACTGGGATAGCAAGCCACCCACAGTCCACAAAGACTAACAGATCCAACAGATTTCCAAAATATCCAAAGGATGATGGAGAATACTATGACAACAGCTCTGTCGCTGCCCTGGTGGAGATGTGGAATGGAAGACAATCTGGAGCAATTTGACAAGGTTGCTTCTCAGCATTCTCTCCCCAAATCTCTTCACGACCTGGGCTGGGAAGAAGCTTATATCCATTTGCTGGTCTCTGAGGTGGCAGGAGGGATGGCGATGAAGAAATCTTTATCCGCTGCTGCCATGTACCCAGTGAAGCTCATCCTTTCAGTCTTCCAGTGAAATTATCAGCCTTCTACTTACTAATATTCATTAACAAACAGAAAAAGCCAGGAGGGTATTCAACCATCTAATTTGTCCCTCAGCTGCAAAATTCACTGAGTTACTGTATTTCCCTGCATAATAGTCACAGCTTTAATGCCAATTCTTCTTTTCCAAAAAAAGGATGGTGTGGCGATTATGTGGTGAAAAACCGAGGCACAACCATTATGTGAGGAAACAATTTTTATTGCCGAACAAGCTTATGTTTATGTTGCTTATTAATTGTTACTGTTTTTGGTGCAATCAAGGTCTCTTGTGCCTCACTCATGGCAGATATGTCGGCCCGTCCGCTCCCCTTGCACCTTCAGCTGGTACTGAGAATGCGCTCTGAGAATGCCCTGCCACTATTGTGTGGTGAATGCTCTGGGACCGATTTCAGGGCCCGAATAAAGGGGTGCGACTATTATTAGGTGGTGACAATGATGTGGTGAAATACGGTATTTTGTTCCGGCCCCGGTCTTTCTGCCTAACCTGCCTCACAAGGTTGTTGTATGGATGCATCCAGGCAGCCTCACCCCTCCCAACTCCTGTCAGAAGTCCATTTCAGAGGCTTCTCCCCACTGAGCAATCCACTCCTGGTGCTAATTTAAACATGGCCGTCGTTTGAAATTGCACTTCTCTGAATTTTGTGATGCAGTTCTCCAAGCAAATAAAGATAAAGGGACCCCTGACCACTAGGTCCAGTCATGGCCGATTCTGGGGTTGCGGCGCTCATCTCGCTTTATTAGCTGAGGAAACCAGCGTACAGCTTCCGGGTCATGTGGCCAGCATGACTAATCCGCTTCTGGTGAACCAGAGCAGTGCATGGAAACGCCGTTTACCTTCCTCCTGGAGTGGTACCTATTTATCTACTTGCACTTTGACGTGCTTTCGAACTGCTAGGTTGGCAGGAGCAGGGACTGAGCAACGGGAGCTCACCCTGTCGCGGGGATTCGAACCGCCAACCTTCTGATCAGCAAGTCCTAGGCTCTGTGGTTTAACCCACAGCGCCACCAAACATGCCCATTAGGGAAATGCAAACAGAAAAATGCATATATTGCTGAAAATGACTTCTGGGAATGCATTGTATTAGGGAAAGCTGCTTGCAAATGTGCGCATATTAGGCAAAAATGTATAGAAAAATGGGTATATTTTTGGAGAAATGTGCTCTAAAATGCCGACATCTCTTTATGAGGACTTTCTATCGAAAACACACACAAGCTGATGCAGATATGTGGTGAACCGAAGTTAAGTTTGGAAAAACAAGAAACTGAGAGAAACTGAAAACGGTCGAGATTCATCCATCCCTGATCAAAATAGCTTTCATAAAGCACACTGCTTCTGTAAGGCAGAAAGGTAAGTTGTTCAAACTAAATAAATCAATGTAAAATAAGATTTCCAACAGTAATAAATACGAAACTTATTATTATGTTTTCAACAGACTTTTTTTTTTTTTAAGGCTCATCATATCACAAAGCACAGGCAGAATACTTTAGCACTGAACCTCAGAAGGAAGTACTACTATTTTCAGCCACCAAAGAGACAAAGCCTCTCCCAGTGGGAAATAACACAGTCCTCTAGTCCAAGGCTGCAATATATTTTATAATGGGGCTCAGTGAGAAACTCTGGAGTGGCTGTGTCTTGTGCGTGATCTTCCACCTAGTGGTTCTAGGTGAGTTTTGAGTTGCAATAAAATAGAGGAGTAGTAAAAGAGGGTTTTCCACTGCAGCAAAAAAATAATAATCAAAGGGTTAGTTTCTTCCTGTTCTCCCTCTTGCTTCTTTTCTCCAATTTAATTTCTGCCCCGGGGGCTTGCAGGCAAGATTGTGGAGCCTAGGTTGGGCAGAGTTCAGGGTTCAAGGTGCTTTTCTGCTCTTGAAGTAGTGCTGTGGATCAACAGGGCTTTGAGCTAGCTGAATATGCTGTCTTACACGCCAAGTAGATTTCTGAATCCCCTTTCTCCCTTTCTTTTTGCATGTCCCCCATTTCTCGGTGAGCGGCCTGGGGAAGGATTTATTTGAGAACACACAGCTCTTTTGTCACATGCCCTTCAATAACCCAGCACTGGCTTGAACGCTCACTAGGAGGCTCGTGTTCCCCCACTAGCAAATGTCCTGAGCTCTTGGCAATTCACACCTCGCAGAACACGGCCCTCCTCCCCATCTTCTGCGCGCGCACACACACACATGCTCCAAGTGCCAGGAGGAGGATGGGCGATGCTTGAATCAGCAGAACAAGACACTGCCCTTGCCACTATTGCTGGGGAGGGACAGAGAGCATTGAGCCAAATAAAACTCAGCTCCCCCGCTCTGAATCTCCTACGAAATGATGTGGGGGGTTGGTTGGTTAGGGGTAACCACACGCTGACAAATGTGACGTTGTGATTCTTACAGGGAGAGGGGAGAGCCATTGGATTTGCAAAGGTTAAGAATACATGAATCGTCTTCTGCTTATTTGCTCCAAATGTCCTCCTCCTTGCTTTTATTAAAAATAAACCATGGTGTTGGGGCTTTAAAACACAGATCCAAGCATAATGTGCAGTGGGACTCCCTGTTTGGGACATCTTCATTACTACTGATGGTTTTCACCACTCCTAAATGTACCCCAAGGGACGCGGGTGGCGCTGTGGGTTAAACCACAGAGCCTAGGACTTGATGATCAGAAGGTTGGCGGTTCGAATCCCTGCAACAGTGTGAGCTCCCATTGCTCAGTCCCTGCTCCTGCCAACCTAGCAGTTCAAAAGCACATCAAAGTGCAAGTAGATAAATAGGTACCACTCCAGCGGGAAGGTAAACGGCGTTTCTGTGTACTGCTTTGGTTCACCAGAAGCGGCATAGTCATGCTGGCCACATGACCCGGAAGCTGTATGCTGGCTCCCTTGGCCAATCAAGCGAGATGAGCGCCGCAACCCCAGAGTCGGCCACGACTGGACCTAGTGGTCAGGGGTCCCTTTACCTTTAAATGTACCCCCTATTTCCTCATCCATCCTTGTCCTAAGGACCTAAACAATTGTTTTTTGGGGGGCGGGGCATGGACAAATTTTTTTTCTGCACAGGGATAGCAATGTGGTGCCCCTCTGATGCTGTTGGACTCCCGTCAGCCCCATCCAGCGAGGACAACTGGTCTGGGATTGTGCAAACTGTAATCCAAGATGCCTCCTTCCTGTCTGGATGGAGAACAGAGAGTCGTGTATACAGGTGTGTGCAGAAACAAGCTTACTATACAAAGGTAAAATTAATATCTGTTGTTCCACCCACTTTGGGCCTGCCCCACATACCGCTGATGAATGGCTCACAGATGGATGTCACATATATAAAAGGTTTTTATATAAAGTCACATACTTTATATTAAAGTCATATATATATATATGTGTGTGTGTATATATATATATATATATATATATATATGGATGTCACATAGAGGAGGGAGAAAGGTTGTTTTCTGCTGCTCCAGAGAAGCGGACACGGAGCAATGGATCCAAACTACAAGAAAGAAGATTCCACCTAAACATTAGGAAGAACTTCCTGACAGTAAGAGCTGTTCGACAGTGGAATTTGCTGCCAAGGAGTGTGGTGGAGTCTCCTTCTTTGGAGGTCTTTAAGCAGAGGCTTGACAACCATATGTCAGGAGTGCTCTGATGGTGTTTCCTGCTTGGCAGGGGGTTGGACTCGATGGCCCTTGTGGTCTCTTCCAACTCTATGATTCTATGGTTGCCCTGCAGGTCCTTGGGCTGAAGAAGGTTCCTCCCTCTAGAAATAAGCCATCATTTATCAAAAGGGTGGGCAATCTTTTTTTCCACTTTTCTTCTTTTAAGGGTTCCATTTCCTCGTCAGCAGTATGCTAGGGCACATTCCCATGCTACCAATGTGTGGAGCCCTCCTCATATAACCATAGAGTTGAAAGGGACCACGAGGCTCATCTAAGTCCAACTCCTAGCAATGCAGAAATCTTTTGCCCAACGTGGGGTTCGAACCCACGAACCTGAGGTTAAGATTCTCATGCTCTACCGACTGAGCTCTATTAACAGTTGGCGGGGTGTTTGCATGCCAGGAAGGGGCAGAGCCAAAGCCAAGAACGGGCAGAACTAACCTGCAACAAACACCTCAGTACATTTTCACCGTGGCTACCTCAGTGAATGATTCCGAATCCTCTGTAGATTTATTCAAAAGTAAGCCCTACTGTACTTGATAGAGTTACTCTCAAGGACTGCCCACACTCCCGCTTGTCCCATGCATAGAAGGCATGGGTCCAAGCAGTTTTTTGCCTATCCCGTGCTTTCTAGACACAGGTCTGAGCGGTTTTACACTTGTCTCACTGCTTTCGCAGGGAAAACAGGCTCTTTAGTGCTAAATTGGAGCCAACAACCATCTGCGGAAAACCTGGTTGCCGTTTGCTCCAATTCAGCACTAAAGAGCAGGTTTTCCTGGGGGAAAGCAGCAGGACAAACGAAAGCCTGGATGAGCCTTCAAATAAGTATACAGAGATTTTTATTTTTATTTTTATTTTTATTTTTATTATTTTAGTAGAATGGACCAATACAACTACTGTTCTGGAAAGCAAGTGAAAATAATTCCTTTCTGACTTTACTATGTCACAAATACACACATGCACATGGTGGAAGCCTACCAACTCATTCCCAGAGAGCTTGAAAACAATGACTTCTTTTCCCCCAAGTCAATCGGGAATAAAGTAAAAAGTCATCAATATATCAAATAAAATATTGACCCTTCTGATTGTTTTTAAACTGCATAGAAAGAGGAGAAAAACACTCTTTAAAGCCAAGAAATATAGAGGAAACATAGAGGGAGGGAGGAAATATGATGGGATAGAATAAGAAAGCAGCTTCAGGAAGCATTGCAAACAGCATAAAATGTGACTACCTATGATGTTGACCTAACTATGATGATGCAGCAATAAACAACTATAAAAACAAAACAAAAACAAAGTCCTTATACTGTACTTATACACTGTAATCCATTGTGTCTTATTTCTATTCAACCATGCTATGACAGGCATTGATGGTGTCTTAAAACATACGTACTAAAGCATGCTTAGCTGAGGACTAAATCGTACTCCTACAGCTGCATACATACTTTAAAGCACAACTGAAGCACCATTCTTTCCCCTCTAAGAATTCTGGGCACTGTAGTTTGTTAAGGATTGCTGGGAACTTTTATCTCTCTGAGGGGTAAACTACAGCACCCAGAATTCTTTGCAGGGGAGAATGTGTTTTGAATGTGCTTTAAAGGTACAGTGTGTGCGCACACATTCAGCTATCACAGAATATATAAAACACAGAATATAAAACACCTATATTTAGAATAGAAAATACAGAATATAAAAACATCTGTATAGGCCAGTGGTGGGGAACCTGCTGAAAGTGGGATATATGTGGTTCCCAGCCTCATTTCATGCAGAAGGGAAAGGAGGGAAAGAGTCAGAGACAGAGAGTCCACGTGCTGTTTTCCTTTCCTCTCTCCCCATCTCCCCTCTCTACTGTAGGTTTGGAATATTGGAAAACTTCTATTAATTTTTTTTAATAAAGGTGCTTGTGCATGTATGCCCAAATTGAACCTCAGGTTTCTGGATTTTATGATAGATGAGTAAGTACTAATTGAGGGGAGGGTGACAACAAGACAAAGTACCAATATCCTCAAGCATTAAAAGGGCAAAAATGTAAAGGACCCCTGGACAGTTAAGTCCAGTCAAAGGTGACTCTGGGGTTGCGGCGCTCATCTCATTTTCAGGCCGAGGGATCCGGCGTTTGTCCACAGACAGCTTTCCAGGTCACGTTGCCAGCATGACTAAACCGCTTCTGGCGCAATGGAACAACACAACAGAAACCAGAGCGCACGGAAACACCGTTTACTTTCCTGCCGCAGAGGTACCTATTTATCTACTTGCACTGGCGTGCTTTCGAACTGCTAGGTTGGCAGGAGCTGGGGCAGAGCAACGGGAGCTCATTCTGTCACGGGGATTTGAACCGCCGACCTTCTGATTGGCAAACCCAAGAAACTCGGTGGTTTAGACCATAGTGTCACCCGCATCCCCCATCAAGCATTAACCTACTAGTGTGGAAGGAAAACATGGAGGTGGATTCTGGAGGAATAAAACTCAAAGCACTCATGTGAGGATGAAGGCACTTAAACCCACACGTGGAAACAGCAACCCATGTATGTGTGGATATGCCCTAGTGTATGCCCTAGTTTGACCAAACTGTGGGAGGCAGTGGAAGACAGGAGTGCCTGGTGTGCTCTGGTCCATGGGGTCACAAAGAGCTGGACACGACTAAACGACTAAACAACAACAATGCCCTAATCTGAAAATCTCTAACACTTACACTGGAATAAATCCAGTAGGACTTGCATACAAATAAATCTGAATAAACCACTGTGTGTCTCTATTTCTCTTACTTGCTGAGTTGAAAGGGAGAATATGTTGGACCTGGAATTGGACCTAGAAACAGGCTGGGGCATCCATCAAGGAGACCAAGCAAGCTTTTATGCCAAAAAAACAGGTCTGAAACATGATTGAAATAGATGTAGATAATTGGTCTCATTCAGGAGCAACTGGACTTGAACTGCAACCAACCACTCAAGCACCTTGCCCAGGAAGGCAACATTTGGAATTTGCCAATATTTATTACAATCTTCTGTGTCTCAGAAAGGCTTTTTCATTAGCGGATGTACGACTCCCTCATCTAGGGCAGCCAGGTCTTTCCCCACTTATGAGGTATTCACTGTCTCCCTGGTCCAGCTGATCAAAGTTACTCCAGACTTGATGTTATATGCCGGGAAGGGCAAAGGTAGGGCATGTAGAGGTACATCTGTCCATACTGGTTCTATACCACATTAAGCTCAATAACAAGTTTTCGTCCATGTTTGGCGAGACACACTGTGAGTCATCTACCACCTTGTGTTCAAGCCGCCTCCCAAACTGCTTCATAGCTTAGAGCTTTCCAGTGAATTAGGGAGCCAGCTGGACCTTTCTCAGTGGAAGAGGATATTTGGATCAAGTACATCTATTGCCCTAACTTCACAGGGAGACCAAGGCATCAACAGTACTGTACAGTATTGGAAATCCTGCAAGAGCTCTCAGAAGCCTCTGAGATGCCACCATCTTCCGGGGTCCAGCAGCCCTTCAGAACAGAATAGTCATGCAAAAGAGAGAGCGCAAAATTTCAAAGATGCTAAGAAGAACAGGTTCTTTAGTCATGCAATATGCCCAGTGTGTTTTGCCCCAAACACTTTTGTCAAGGGCTTCTCTTAAAAGATAAAAAGTAACATTTATTGGACAATTGTTAAAACCACACTTAACAATTAAAAAATTAGATTCTATGTAAGACCAATGAAAAAACTATTTTAAACTAAAAACAGCTGTAAAACACAGTCACATAGCTTTTTTTTTTTTTCTTACTTCTTAACCAGTCAGTCTCAAAAGTTTCCAGAACTGGCCCTATTGAATATTTTTCAAGACAATAACGCACACTCACGCTACAAAGAACTCATAAGCCACCTACTCTTAGCAGCCAGGAACATCATAACTAGACTCTGGAAGGACCTATCAGGAGTGAACCTGGACCACTGGTACCAAACCGTATGGGAAACAGCCCTACTAGAAAAGCTAACCAACAAATTGAAACTAGAAACTCATCTGAACATAATAAAGGAATCAACAAAACACCCACTACCACCATGAGTGTAGCCAGGATTTATTTTAGGGGGAGTAGGCCTTTTGTTGGGGGGCAGAACCTCAGTTAGCTATTTTTAATTATTTTTATTGATTGGGGGGCAGCTGCCCCTCCCTGCCCCCCTTGGCTATGCCCATGACTACCACTAGACCACCCTTTTCTGAACCAGATAAGAAAACTGTCCCTTGGTTGTCTTGGCTGCCAGGAAATCTGGAGTCTTCGATGACATAAATTTTGAGGGTCCAGTGAAAAATACAGACTGGAGCTCCATAACACCCAACCACATATTACATCCATTAGCTCAGGTAGGTAGTTTGTTAGGAGTACAACTTTTCCTATTTGAGGAGCAATAATCATGTGAGGGAGGAAAGCTGGACCCCACACACTTACCCCACCCCCTCCACTGGTCCCTCCCCAATTTCTTCTGTGCATTCGGGGCATGCCCCCCCCAATATATGGAAAGAGCTGGTGAGATGTGCAAGGTGCATGTGTGCAGCATTACTTATCTCCTTTTTGTGTGATCTTAAACACCTGGATAGGGCTAAAGAGAACCCCCAATCTGTTTTGTGAGATCAGGGCACAGTACAAGCCTTCAAAACTGGAACTCATCTGGACCAGAAGGCAGGTGAGGAAAGGCCTCTGCCTGTACCAGCCTTCCCCAAACTGCTGCCCTCCTGATGTTTTAGACTATTACTTCCATTTGCGGGTGGCACTGTGGTCTAAACCACTGAGCCTCTTGGGCTTGCCAGTTAGAAGGTCAGCAGTTCGAAACCCTGCAACGGAGAGAGCTCCTGTTGCTCTGTCCCAGCTCCTGCCAACCTAGCAGTTCGAAAGCACACCAGTGCAAGTAGACAAATAGGTATGGCTGTGGCAGGAAGGTAAACAGCATTTCCGTGCGCTCTGGTTTCCGTCACAGTCTCCCGTTGCACCAGAAGGAGTTTAGTCATGCTGACCACATGACCCGGAAAGCTGTCTGCGGACAAATGCTAGCTCCCTCGGCCTGAAAACGAGATGAGAACCCCAACCCCATAGTCACCTTTGACTGGACTTAAACGTCCAAGGGTCCTTTACTTTTTTACCTTAATTACTCCCATTATCCCTGGGCATGTCTTATAGCAAAAAACACACACACAACCCCACCATCCTTCAGTGGCTATGTTCTCCCTCCATTGACAGAGAATTTAGTTGTCCTTCCTCCCCCCTCCCAGATGCTGGGAACCACAAATGTGGAGAGTGCTGTTGCACGCAGGTGTCCTGCCTACAGATTTCAAATAGGCATTCTGGTTGGCCACAGGGAGAGCAAGATGGTGATCCAGATGGGGCCTGTGGCCTGATCCAGCATACTCCTCTTACATTCTCAAGCCTGGAAAGCCATAGAAATACTCTTTTTGGGGGGAGGAAGGACAACTTAATTCATTATTTTAAAGCTTTAGTAAATTATATAGCTTTGACACAGATTGACTTTACATCCATGTTTCCGAACCTTGGGTCTCTCAACTGTTTTTGGACTACAACTCCCATCATCCCTGACCACTGGTGCTGCTAGCTAGGGACAATGGGAGTTGTGGTCCAAAAACAGCAGGGGGGGGTTATTGTTCCATACTGATTGATAAGCCCCACTCGGTCACAAATATATCATTAAGTTCACCACAAAAATCCTGGGTATAGCCTGGAAAGGATGTGACTCAAAAAAACAACTACCCTCTTCTGATCAATACTGAAAATCAGTCCAACTGCTTCTCCCGCATGCGAGCTCTATAATATTGTGCTTGCAAGTTCTAAAGAGAGCTTTTGCAGTATGTTGTTATGCCACGGCGTGGGCACAGGGCCAGAAAGGGCCTGCAAAAATTGCAGGAGATCCTTGGACAGCAGCTGGTGAGACTGACCTGAGGAGAAAGATTAAAAGAGCTGGCTAAACGATGACTAAGAAGCAATATGATAACGGCCCACAAATATCCGAAGGGTGTAAACACCAAGCAGGGAGAAGCTGAAATTGTGAGTAAAAATGCAAAAAGAAAATAAGGATAAATGCACACATTGCTACCCGGTATATTAAATAACCAGTTCTTAATACCAGAGACTGCTGAACTGCAGGATGGAACGGGGAAAACCCTAGCACTTGAGTTGACTCCGATGCAGCCTGAAGATATAAGCGCTGTGGGTGGTGATGACCTCACAAGGTTTTTCATTTACTATTCTCGTCTTGGGCTCCACACATAGCAGCGGGTACACAAACTTCAGACCCCTTTCCATTCTTCTCAGCCTAATCCGTGAGCTCCTTCTCTCTCCTGATCCTGAACTCCTCCTCACCCCTTGCAGTAGCTCTCCAAGAGCACATGAGGCCAATGTTTATCGCTACACAACCTTGCCGATTGCTATTTCTGTCCTGGGCTCCCCCCATACCTCTGCCATTGCTCTTCGCCTTTTATTGCTTAACCCTTCGTTAGCAATGCACACACACTTCCTCTTGGGACTTTGAACTGGGAGTCAAAGCAGCCAGGGCGGGGGTGGATACTTATTTTTTCCAGTATCCTTAAATACTAAGTCAAGTCTGCAAACTGAGTAACTAAATAATAGTGACATTGCTTTCTTCGTTTTCCCCACTGTTGTTTCCTACACCTCCATTCGGCAGTTCTCTTCCCCTAGCTGAGAGAATTCTCCATTTTTCATTTCTAGAATCAGTTTTAGAGGTGCATCAAAAACTCTCAGGTTTAATTTTTTTTAAACCAGAAATACTAGTGGAATAGCATCCCCACGACCACTGCACTGATATTTAATTAAACTGTGTGAATATTCACACATTAACCCACTTTACAGGAAGTGGGCAGAGCGCTTCTTCCACTCGCATCTTGCATATGCTCCAAGTGTCCCTATTTTCCAGAGGCTGTCCCGGAATTACGAAAGCCATCCTAGCTTCTGATTTGATCCAAGGATATCGCTATTTGCCCAGCCAGTGCCACTGCCACCGATCTTGCAAATGAGCCAGCGCTTGACCTGAGTGGTGATGGCAGCAGCAGAGGAGGCTGCAAGGGAGCATCCCATCGCCTCTCCTTGACCACCACTTCCAGTTTCCTCCTTTGGGCAGCTTGAAGCAGCTGCTGGAGGGTGGATGAGTAGGAGGGGAGGTTGTGGCCACTGAATCCCAGCCCTGTGTGATGTGCCGGCTCAGAGGGGCAGGCAGAAAGCAGGGCCATGCTGGCCAGGAAGAAAGGGGGAGTAGAGTGGAGCGCAAGAAGTCTTGATTTTATATATTTATATATACAGTGGTACCTCTGACCCGGAAGCTGTATGCCGGCTCCCTCGGCCAATAAAGCGAGATGAGCTAATGGTCATGGGTCCCTTTACATTTACCTTTACCTTAGAGGTCCGTTCTTAACCTGAAACTGTTCTTAACCTGAAGCACCACTTTAGTTAATGGGGCCTCCCACTGCTGCGCGATTTCTGTTCTCATCCTGAAGCAAAGTTCTTAACCCGAGGTACTATTTATGGGTTAGCAGAGTCTGTAACCTGAAGTGTCTGTAACCCGAGGTACCACTGTGTGTGTGTGTGTGTGAAAAGGTAAAGGACCCCTGACACTTAAGTCCAGTCGCGAACGACTCTGGGGTTGTGGCGCTCATCTCACTTTACTGGCCGAGGGAGTTGACGTTTGTCTGCAGACAGTTTTTCCAGGTCATGTGGCCAGCATGACTAAGCCGCTTCTGGCAAAACCAGAGCAGCGCACGGAAACGCCGTTTACCTTCCCACCAGAGCGATACCTATTTATCTACTTGCATTGAGTGCTTTTGAACTGCTAGGTTGGCAGGAGCTGGGACAGAGCAACGGGAGCTCATCCCATCGCGGGGATTCGAACTGCTGAGTTTCTGATTGGCAAGCCCAAGGCTCAGTGGTTTACACCACAGTGACACCCGCATCCCATATATATATATATATATATATATATATATATATGTATGTATTTGTGAATCCACATCTAATCTTGCCCCCTCCTAAAATTTATTTATTGGTGTGTTTTTCTTTTTATAAATCTATCAAAGAATAGAATAAATCAGGATTAAGGGATTTTCTCAGGATGGCGGAGGGTGTCTGTGCTGTGTCCCGTTGATGTAGTGGTGGTGGAAATGCTCAGGGTGGGGGGCAAATATGGGGGGTCGAGGAGGGTCAGTGGAGAGTGAGAAATGTCCCTATTTTCATCTGAGGAATGTTGGAGGGTATGCTCTTGCCCAATCAGGGATCACGGAGTGAATGGAATGATGTGATAACATTGCATAGCAAATCAGATCTGGTTTGGTTAATGAATGTGAACATTTTCACAAGGAGTGCTGGAAGATAACTTTTTAAAGGAGGGGTGTTTTGTGACTGCTGATTACCTGGAGTATGATTTCTGAGATAAAAATATTTTAGCATCAAAATGATGCTTCAACAAGGCATATGAAATTTTTGACTTGTGCACATACTTGCCTACCTGCAACTATGTAAATAGTATAAAATGTATTTGATATGTATTACAAAGGTGATTAGCTGTACAAAGAGACCTGTTTCTGCACACAGAACTCGTGGCTGGTGCTGTTTCTTTAGATTCTGTTGGGTTTAATTCTGATGAAGTATCAGTTTCCTTATTCGCATGCCAATGGGTTCTCAATGAGTTGGCTGATGAATGTAAGTCAATGAAGGAAGAAGGCCCTTGATTATCAAAGGGATGTTGTCAAGACTCTTCTCAGCTGCACTCAGATCCCGATGCCTCATAGAACTGCCACATTCAGTTACTAAAAAAATGAATGAATGATTACCAATTCCCACTTCAAACAAAATATTCCCAGGAAACCAGCCTAAGTAATTTATGAGAGCTTCATCTAATCAGCATTCATCCATGCTGCATTTACACAGTGCACCAATTTGCAAAGCCCCAGAACATGTGAATTCTAGTTGCAAAACTTGCCCATGTCCAAAATGCACCTAAGGCTACATATGTGAAGCAGTCGTGACATTCTTAGCCAAGATGTGCCTTCCATCCTCCTAGAGCCTCTTTCCCCCATTCAACATATAAACCTCACCCAAGTCATTAAAAAACAGAGCCATTCTCATGGACCAGCGTAGTCTGCTTTGGGCATTAAAAATTCAAAACACGCCACCATGCCCCCTTCACCCTGACTTTGCTGTGATGAGCAAGCTCTAAAGGGAGGCTTACAAACATGTTCACCTGAATGCACTTCCAACCTGATTAAGAACCCATTATGCAGGGATCACATGGAAGCATGTTTGTGCACACAGGCAAATACATTTATTAACCCCCTTTAGACTTTGCTGCTCAGCATGGCAAAGGCAGCGTTGGCAAACGTGCCTCTTATTCTGAATATTGCAATGCCTGAAGAGGACTTGTAGTCTGCTGGTTAGAATGATGGGTTTGAATATGGGGGACAAGTTCCAAATCCCTCCTACTTTCTGGGTAGCTTGGGGATAGGCCCTATTTCTCAGTCTAGCCAAGCCATGGGGCTCCCAATACAGTTTCTGTGGGCAGAATTGTGCCACTGAGCACTTTCCTTGGTGCCTGCAAAGCTTCCAAGTTCCTAAGGAGATGAAGGCAGATATCTTATTCTCCCTTGAAAAGTACATGGAGATGAAAGAGGAAGCGGTATGGATGATACTTGTTCCCACTTCCTCTTTCAGCTCCATATGCTTTTCCAGACCCAGATAACCATGGTGGAAGATGATCAGAGAGTGGAACGACCTAGTGGATTGGAGGAAATGAGGGAAATGAGAGAAATCTGGGAGACTAGGTGGAGGAAAAGCGAGTGACACAGGACTCAGGAAACAGAGAACAGACTGCAAGATACTCTTTATTGCCTCCCTTTCTCTCACACACAAGTTGGACCCAGTAAAATCGATCCTCTAGAAATTGGTTTTTTTTTTTCATGGGTCTCTCCCCTCACCCCCCAACCACCACCACAGACCATAAAAATCATGGATCTAGTGTTTTCCAGCTTTGCCTTGGTATAAAACCATGGATCCAAGGAAGATCCTTATGAATCGACGTAACTTTGAAGGGAGTCTTTCAAAGTCATCATAAAATCATAACTCGCCTCTTTGTACACAGACGCATCCTGTGATTTGTTGGTAATTTTGCTGCTATCCATCCAAGAGAATCCATACCAAACACTGGATCTGTGTTGTTTACTGTGCTATCTACTGATGTAAGCTTTAATCTAACAGTAGGGTTTTTTTTGGGGGGGGGGGAGACTGTAAAATTAAAAAAACCTCAAGGGATTCCATTTAAATTATACAGGATCCAAATTTTACCCATGCACCTCAGAAAAGCATAGTGTGTGCTTTGTGTGTCTATGTCTATTCCTTCAGTCTTTTTCTCCAAGGCAGTGAGAGGCTGACCCTTGGGATGGGGGAGAGAACTGACCAGAAAAGGTGGTACCCATGGCACTTGTTCAAAAATCCAAATGTGAAGTAGGCCCAAATTGGTTGGCGACCCCTGGCCTAATCTATCGCACAGAATTGTTGTAAGGCAACAGCATCACTCTGCGCTTGTTGGACTGAGCTACAAATAACACACTAACAAGATCCTCAGAAGCAAAATACATCCACTTGATATAGAAAGGTGAAAGGACTGAACAGGCTGATCTTTGCTGTGCATAACACCTATATCATTGACTACTTTATACTACGTTTTATTTTAGCATCTCAAGGCCACATTCTTACTTCCCACACCGAGAACTCCAATGTGGCCTGGTTCCCCTGACCAGCTCCTAAAACCACTACAGAGGACTGGCCATGTCAACCACACCCCGTGTGAAAGCAAAATCCCAAAGTCTTCTACATCACAACCTTCCAAGTTCATAAACAACCTTTCCAAAATTCTGACACTGAATATATGTAGAAAGAGTCTGGTGAAAGGCGGGTAATAATAATAATAATAATAATAATAATAATAATGGTCCCTGTACCAGATAAGATTGAACTGTGGCCCAGATGTTCAGGTCTGGACTTTTCCTTCCACGCCATCTCCAAGGAATCCATTTGATTGCTGTGGGCGTCGTGCTAGAAATTACTAACACTTCCATTCAATATATTACAGCGAGACAGCCATCTTTCCCACATCGTACATACATGCCTCCTGGTTCACCTGGTGCTCAGCAAATTTTAAGCAAAAAAACTTTAGCAAAAATTTTAGCCTGCTCTCAGGACCAGCATGCATGTGATGGGCTCCATTCTGACACATCCGCCTATGATTATTCCATAACATCCACCCTACCTGCACGTGGTTGAGGGCCTTCTCCTGGTACTGCACGCCGTCCCCAGTTCCCCCGGTCTCGTGCCCCGCCTCGGATGGGATCCCATAACTGGTGCAATTTTCATAGTGCATGTAGTCGTACTGGGGGGCACCGCCCCACAACGCTGGGCCCTTCTTGGCGTCATCCGCCTTGTGCTCCGAATGCTCCATTGCGCTATACTCGACTTCTTCTGAGCTGGGACACGGGTGCTGCAGGACGAACGCCGAGCCCCACAAGCTGTTTGGCCCAAGGCATGGCCTCTTGTCTGCCGACCTCTCCTTCCCTATCCCTTATGTCTTTCTCACTTTCTTCTCTTCCTAGCCCCCAAAGGCGTCTGGGGTAGTGATAGCTGGGTTTAACTATATTTAGAACAACCTTCTTCTGTCACATGACCCCCCCCCCCACCAAAGCCACATCTGATCTGAGCAAGAGGCATTAACTCGGCCTGGATTGAATATCAGGTGTGTGACAGGAGGGAACCCTGAAGGAGCGGGGGTGGGGAGAAGAAGGCAGAAATGAGGGAGATAGGAAGAAGCAGCCGGGCAATGCAAGGCCGGCAGGATGGGAGGGAAGCACACAGAGTTCTCTTCTTGCTCACGGTAGTCAGTCTTCCCCTCTGCATATTTACGTATTCATACGCTAGGATACGCATTGGTATTGGCAGTTCATTACGTCGGCTCCTAAAGTCCAAATAACAGCACAACTAACGCATACCCTCCTGCATATCCCAATGAAAATAGGGAAACTCTATTCCATTATTATTATTATCATCATCATCATACCCCACCCATCTGACTGGTTTCCCCCAGCCACTCTGGGTAACTTCCAACATCTATAAAAACATAATAAAACATTAAAAACATTCCCTATACAAAGTTGCCTTCAAATATCTTCTTAAAAAGCATGGGTAGGCAAACTAAGGCCCAGGGGCCGGATCCAGCCCAATCGCCTCCTAAATCCAGCCCGCGAACAGTCCGGTAATCAGCATGTTTTTACATGAGTAGAATGTATGCTTTTATTTAAAATTCACCTCTGGGTTGTTTGTGGGGCATAGGAATTCGTTCATTCCCCCCCCCCCCCTGTGCTACTGCCATTTGGTAGCACATACATTTTGCAAAACAGGCTGTTCGGCAATGACTGTTATGAAGAGAAAATGCAACGGCAGGCCGTAGATCAATAATGATCTGAGACCATGTCTGACACCCATCAAACCTCACATTGGCCTAATCATTGGCAAAATGCAAGCTGTTCCACTGATACTTGCCCAAATGGGCTTTATTGTGAATAAAACTATTAAAAATATACATATTTGTGTAGCTGTATGCTCTTAGAATAAATGTTTATCGCTTATGAAGAAATATCATGCAATAAGATCATTGGTGTTCTTACACTCCCCCCCCCACAAAGAACTGTGATTAACTTTGCCTTCCATTGAGCCATGCAATCGGCTTTGTGTTTCCAGCTCCAGACCCATTGAAGAACATCTCATCCAGTTCAATCTTTGAAAAACAACTTTGAAAAACTTTTTCATATTCTCCAGTGTGCTACCCTTGCCGTTCTGTGATTGCACGGGGTTGCCGTTCTGTGACTGGACTTACGCTACTTGTTGAACGGTTCGTTTATCCAGTCTGTATAACATTTCCTGCACATGTAACTTGTTAAGATACAGCTGTACATTTATCCACTCCATGTTTACAGTATCTCCAGGCTTTGTCTTGCATATGGCACCTTAGTATGTTTGTTGTTTGAATAGTTACAAGTCTATCTCTATTCTAGCTATTATTCTAGTAAATTTGGTTTTATACTTATAAGCCAGTTTGTGGTGTTGTTGTTTTGTACGATAAATACATCATCGAATTCCACATATAAAAGGGGAATTCTTTGCTTGCATACCTCAAGCAATGTTTTTACCTTTCTTTGCTTTTAAATTGTTCTTAACTTGTTTACACTATTTTGTACGGGTTTTTGTTTTTGTTTAATGTTGTAAACAACTTTAGATATATTTTTATGATTAGATAGTATATAAATATTTTTATAAATAAATAAGAGAAAAACAATATAAATGGTTATGAAATAGACATACCTGCAATTAAAACGTATGAAACTGATGGCTGCCAAGGATGTAAGATCCAAAATTCACTTGTCAACAAACTGATGGGTCATCATACCATAAAGGCTAGGAAACACTGAGGTAGAGTGTCTATTGATTGTCAGAATGCCACTATCCACCCAGTCCCCAGACTCTATGGTTCTCTGCTTAAAGGAGCAGCACATGTTCTGTTAAGTTGTGGGTGAACATATCAGACGACACAGCGATTCTTCAAACAGCTCTTGTTTATTCACAGGCCAGAACAGAACTGAACTGAAGGGTTCAGCCAGCCTGCTTATATAGAGCTCCAGTACAACGTAACTGTAACAACTTTCTGTAACTATCCAATCACTGAACATCACTTTCCATCCCTTATTTGCATATGTGGACCTGAACTATCTACAGTATCCCCCTGCTGGCCCAGGGTGAGAACTTCAGTACATAACATGTTCTTTGCTGCTTCTTTAAACCCATAGGTGTACCCCTATGGGTACAACTGACCCCAGTGCTGTCGTCTAGTGCTGGCTTCCCCAACACAGACTTTCCCCTCTTCTCACTCCGTTTTCTATTATATACACTTCTATCTGCAGCAGCTGGGAAGGGACCCGCTCACTTATTTGCTTAGCTGTGAGAAGAATGAAGGGCACATTTTTTCCACCCTGATGGCCCACTGACAGCTCTTGAACCTGCTCATGACTTGGCCTGTCTGTAAACAAGACAGCTCTTACAAGGGCAATTAATAGGAAGAAAAGAGGAAGTGAGTGTGAGACCCCCAGATCATATTCCAAGCAGGAATTGTGTGCAGGGAAAGAAGACCCCTCTGCCAATGAGCAATTTTCAGCACCTCTTTTTTATCTCTTGATCCCAAAGAGAGTATGACACAAAGACAGTGGCAGCACCAGGGGGAGAAAAATTGTAGCAGGCGCATAGGGGGAGAAAAATACATTTTTGTGCCAGTGAACTTGGTCCCCACATGTTGGGGGGGGTGGAGGGATAAAGATTTTGGGGCATTTTTCCTGCAGGAATACTTGTCTCCTGCTCATCCTCCCCCCACTTGCCCCTCTGATGCTGTCTATGCATAAGCAGCAAAACTTCCAACAACTGGTTAGAAGCTGATTTACACTAAAGTGACAATAATTTCTGCTTCCCAGTTTGCTAACAGCAGCAACAACAAAATACACCCCCCCCAATACTCTGAAATGAAGAAAACATAGGGTGACCTATGGAATTTTTTGCATGGAAGGAACATGGGCTCCATTCAGTACCAGTACAGTGGTACCTTGGTTCTCAAATGCCTTGGTACTCAAACAACTTGGAAGCCAGAAACAGCAAACCTGGAAGTAAATGTTCCGGTTTGTGAACTTTTTTCGGAAGTCGAACATGCTCCATTTTGAGTGTTATGCTTCCGATTTGAGTGTTATGCTGAGTTTTTTGCAATTTATTTTGCATTTTTGTTTTTGCAGCTCTTTTTTGTGTGTGTGTGACTGTGTGGAACCCAGATCAGCTACTGATTGATAGATTGTGTGACTGCAGTACATTGTTTATTGCTTTCATTTTATGGATTAATGGTATCGTTAGATAGTAAAATTCATGTTAAATTGCTGTTTTAAGGGTTGTTTTTAAAAGTCTGGAACGGATTAATCCATTTTGCATTACTTTCTATGGGAAAGTGCGCCTTGGTTTTGGAACGCTTTGGTTTTAGAACGGACTTCCGGAACGGGTTACGTTTGAGAACCAAGGTACCATTGTATTCAAAACAAATTCCTGGGATCAGAAGACTTTTAATTTCAAGTGCACACCTTCTGTAACTGGCTCTGGTTGGTGGGTCTCACAAGGAGAGTAGAGCCTGCCATCCTGAAGTCTGCCCATCATAGCTGTCAAGTGTCCCTTATTTGAAGGGACAGTCCCTTATTCCAGCGCCATGTCCCACTGCTGTTCCTTATTGATGGATGTCCCTTAAATGTCCCTTAAATGATGTCCCTTAAATTTCAAAGGAAGCAGCTCCTCTCCCTCCCTCCCTGCCGGCCAGGGAGGAGGGAGGCTCCAACTGTGTTGCTTGGCTGTGTTGCTCACCCAATAAGAAGTCTAAGAACGACTGGGGGGTGGAGCTTGCATGCCTTGTGTGTGGCTAGTTAATGCAAGCTGAGGGGGTTTTTGAATGCTGGACGACATTTTGTTGCACGTGCTGCTGCAAACTTTGCAGTGCAAAGCCAGGCCGGGGAGCCGTCTTAAGCTGAGGCTGCATAGGCCTTGTGGTGCATGTGATTCAGATTCTAGTCAGTTGAACCTCTGGTTACAAAGTTGGTTGGACAGTGTTCTTGAAGCTACCAGCATGAGTTTGACCAGACTGCAGGACGACAGGAAGACTGGAGTGCCTGGAACAGGTGAGGCTGCAGGTCCCTTATTTTGGCTGCTGGTCCCTTATTTTCAAATCTGTAAGTTGACAGCTATGCTGCCCACCCCTGTTTTAAAATACAGTAAGGCAGCTTTTCAGCTGCACACTAATGAGGCTTAAATATACAGAACCAACTAATTAAAATATGTTAAATACTCAAGGTGTTGGTAATCTGCTAAGGTTTGCTTTGCGTATACATCTGATTCAAACACTATCCATCCATATACTCTCAGCAGAAAAACATTCGCACTGCAGTTCAAATATTAACACATACCGTGCCAAATACTAAATTTTTGACATTAATGTTGCTGTTTCTGAGATCTGCAAAAAACAAAAACAAAAAAAACCTGCCTTTCACTCCACATATTTTTCACACTTATAGCTTCTTCAATGCTACTTTTTTTTTTTTTACTTGAAAGGGTTTCTTCACTATATGATCCCAGCCAATCACATCTGGAATATAATGACAGTAGCGAACCATATACAGTGGTACCTCTGGCTGCAAACGGGATCCGTTCCGGAGGCCGTTCACAACATGAAAAGAACGCAATCCGCAGTGGCGCATCTGCGCACGTGCGGGTTGTGATTCGCCGCTTCTGCGCATATGCATGATGTCATTTTGCGCTTCTGCGCAAGTGCGAGCGACGAAACCCGGAAGTAACCCTTTCTGGTACTTCCGGGTCGCTGTGAGACATGACCTGAAAGAACGTAACAAGAAGCGGATGTAACATGAGGTATGACTGTAGCCAGACAGATCTGACTATGTGTTGACTACACTGATGGCAAATAAAGTCTTCTCAACGCCATCGTTTACAGTGTGCATGTGTGAGGTGAGGGATCATATCCCTATAGCCCAG